ATTATTAGACCTGTATTCATTCACCACTTTTTAACGCCAAGACAGCGATAAGACTATATTTATTTGATTTGTTTACACTAGCGATCTTATAAATGATTATTAAATAGCAGTAACTCTAAAATTATTGTAATTTCTATTCTCAGTAAAATTATGCCATTATCATTAAGCTAGATAACAGGAGATTACTTTCGACTCTTCACTTGCTTTCTTACTTTCTCCAATATTAAATGCCGACTCATTCTTAGTGAGTAAAATGCTATGACTTCTTTGTCTGGCCGTTAATGCAAATTTTACGTGCCGATTCTCATCATTATCCAAAAAAAAAATTTTTTGTCCAGTACAAATCATAGAATAGCATTGGTGTAGCAAACTCCTAAAACTAAATTTGGTTTCCACGCATGTTTTATTATAATAATTATCATAGTGCTAAGTAAATGGAAACTCTTTTCCAAATAGAGCAATAGTTGCAATTTTCTTACGGACGAAATTCACTTTCCAATATCAGATCCTAAGTTAACTTAATAGCTGAATGAACACATTGCAATTTAACAGAGCTTTAATGGGCTGCATGAGACTCCGTATAATTAGACTTCTCTTGTTTATTCATCCACTAAGGATCCATTAAAATATTGCATTTAGAACTTTACTAAAGCCTAATCCTTTTATGAAGGGTCTTATCTCTGCCAAAGTGCTAACTTGCTCCTGGATTACATTCTAAAAAGAGTCTGTCTGGAATTTTACAGCTTTCAATCCAGCTATAATAATGTAATACACTAAATTATCTGCTTCAAATTTTCTGAGATATTAGCCTTAGGCAAGACTTGTCGAAAATATCATATAACGTAGTATAAGTTATAGTATAGTATAAAAACTGCATTAGTAATGGTACAGGATATAGCATTAAAAGAGTGAGTCTGAAATTTTACAGCCTTCAATCCTATACAGTTATAATAATGCAATGCGCTAAATTATTCGCTTCAAATTGTCTGAGATTATAGGCCTGAGGCAAGGCAAGGCATATCAGAAATACGACATAAGTTACTATAGTAATATTGAACATAGTTCCATTGATAGGCAATAGAACCGGATTTAATATTGGAACTTTTTTAACTAATAATTGACTGCCAGACTTTATAAGCATACAAACATCAGATACTGCATTTCACTCATGGGCTTATAGATTAGTAGATTCATATCAACAATATAACAGCTATGGCACTCTAATACTAACCATCTATTTTATAGAAGATGCGACTTTTTCTAGTTCTTCAATATTAGCGTCTTGATCCTGTTGTTCGACTTCATATACACTCATATACACTTGTGAGGTTGATAGATCAAGAATCTTCAAACCTATCGAAAATTAAGGTTTATTGAAAAAAACCTTGTTTGCAAAGATACAACGTAATCGATCAGCTGAGGATCACTAACGAGAAAGAAGTATTTTATTGTACTAAACTACTCGCTTATATACTTTTCCGCCTTAACAATCTTAGCACCTTACTTACTACACACTCCATTATTAGCATCTTAAATACAGAATCATTTACACCTTTCATGTGAAGCTCTAGTGTGAGCATTGTAGTAGTTCTCTTCAAAACGATACAGTTACTAAGCTAGCTATATTCGTATTTAATACTTAAGCCTCTAACGAAATATCTATTACACGTTGAACACAATACCTACGTGTAAATAAACGCAATATCTACGGTAGACATTACTAAATATATTATCAACTTAGAATACGATATTTCACTGTCTTACAACACTCTTATCGCCAACATCGCTAACTTTAATTATGTTTTCTTTTTCGTTACTTGATTTTTGAATTCAAAATGATCTTAGCAGCGTAAGTAATTATCAAGAGAAGTAAGACGCGATCAAGATCAGCCAAAAATTCATTCTTTTATAATTATTCTATTATACGATCAATTCAAGTACGAAGTAAAATGGCTTGAGTATCTTGCTCTACCAAAATATCCTATTTATTTGTCAAGTCAGTCTAATCTGCCTGAGAGCAATATTAAAATAATGAGTTCAAATATGATTGGATTAACAATTGTGTGTCGATGTTACGTAAGTATCCATTCTAGATGGCTACATATAATATCCTATGATATATAAGGATTCGTCTAATGTTGTTTTAATAATCTCTAGAAATGGCCACATTCCTATCGCTCTACTAAGATTAACAAGCCACTTGCCTATGTAGAATAGACTTACGTTCAGGATAATGAAGTATCGTCAAAATACGTATATATACTTATAAAATTTGGCAATCTAATCAACGTAGACTAAGTAAAATTTAACTGTATCTCTTTTACAACGGGTATTACAAAGCTAATTTTAGTTAATTTATGCCTTTGATCATTCGATAGCTATGTTTACATTAGTATCCAGGTGTCAACAAATAAAATTTCAACAAATTAATATTTAATTCTATAGTAATATAACAATCACATCATGATCCTATGAGCTCAAGCTTTTAGTGCAATGATAATTATTGAAGCCGGATATGGAAGTAAAATCTTCATAGTTGCCTGTAACGTAACTTTGTATTGGGATTGTAGACTATTAGCCATGTTTAGTATGATATACGGTAGCGTGACTTTCGATATTTTTTCTTAATACTTAATACATATTTAGTAGTTCATAAGCATGGACTGTAATGAAAGATTCTACGCTAGAGTACAGATGATTATACACTGTACAGTAGGGTTTCGAGTTACTATTGAGGTTAGAGGTAAAAATAGAACTGTAATTCATACTCATATATTATGATATGGCTAGTTTATCGTACTCTAACTAGTAAAAATTATGCGTACGTAAATACTTTAGTAGTTTCAACATTGGATTGATGATGATCCGCTTTAAAATGGTGTCACTAGTAATAATCTGAATATCTATAAAATATGGTAGAATGTTGCAACTATGCTGATTGTCGTTGTAAATGTTACCAAAAGTATACGAGCTGGCAGCTTAGATTATTCTATTAGTTCTTTCTAGAAGTGTTTAGTAGTTATATTCAGCTAGAGTAGAGGCGTGCGTAGATTATATTTGTATAAAGATCTAATAAAGTTTTAATTTTCTATAACTTTTGGATTTTCATGATCAGTTATATCACAACTTGCTATATGCGTATAAGATCTTTAAGTCATTTTGATATTAAGATAGATCTAGTTGCGAAAAATTACAATTCACAATTAATTATGAGAATGTTAGGATAACTTGGCTTTATGTCATGGATAGTAAAGCACGAAAATACGTCTAATTTACATCATAGCATACCATGAGTTGTGATTTATGAAATTATATACGATTGGAGTAATCTTACCTACTTGAACCGATATATGTAAACACATTTTTAATGAAGAGACAGTAAAATACTTTATTCTTATAATTCTTATAAATAATCCATCTAACAACTCTACTGATAGGAAAAAAATGGCAGATAGTCAATATAACGTTGTGATGATAACAGCCTATAATATACCATAGCTTATTAATTGTTTAAGTTATATGAATGCATGCTCTGTAAATATCCTACGCGTTCGATCTTGATCATTTCATGGAGTCTATTATGGTACTATCCATAATTTTAAGTTAATAACGAAACTTCAATAATATCTCAGATAGGTAAAAGGATATGCGTCTATTAGTTTTATTCTATATATGGGATATTATGATTCAATAATTATTTTATACCAGTAGATTATGTTCAGAAAATCCATCTGTATCAATATATCTTAGCAGGAGGTGCGAATGCACTGTCTTTATTTCATTTGCATCAATTGACTTAATTACAGATATAGTAGCATTTTTCACTTCTTAGGATAGTAAATTAGTAATAATTAATAGTAAACAAAGAAACTACTTCATTTCAGTTATTTCAGTTTCTGTCGCCTATAGAAAAGAGTAAATTCTCAATTTCCTCTATTAATGCCACGGTAATCATTATTCAATAAAATGACGAGTTTAATAAGGATATACTGTACGTGTATAAAGCGGTATAGTACCAAATTACTACAAAATCTTAGTACATTTGCGGCACCGTGTGTACTACCAGGGATAGATAATTTAAAATTTAATTACGCCTACTACTAATAGTCTACGAGATTCTCGCGAGCTTGAACTTATCTTGGATAATTTTGAATTGGCTACCGTAACTTTTATCTACAGTTATGGATTGTGTACATATAAGAGTACTTAAGAAACTATATCGATATCGAATAAGCCATTTAAAAATTTTAAACTATATTATAAATGCGCAAAAGTATATCAATGTATCAGTAATCATACAATTATTGGCTGTACTCGGTAGTGACTATTTAGATCAGTCTTGCTAATCCAAACCCAACAGATATTATTCTATCTTGAGTAATAAAGACAGCAAAATAGACCAATCTATCTGAAACTGCTTGTAACTATGTCGCTAAGAAATAAAATAGGCACAGAATAGTTGTTCAATCCTACACCCAAGTACATGATCACGTACGGTTTTAAATCTTGCTATATCTGCATACCTATCGATTTTTCAAAAGTAAGTATAGCAATATTCGGATTACTAGCAGCACTTTTATGTACTGAAAGATTTCCTAGAATGCTTTTTAACTCTCTGTTAATATTAGCCGTAAATTTTAAATATAACAAGGGTTGAATAAACGGAAAAATGAACGCCATATTTCGCAAAACGTTGATATAAAAATAATATAACGGCTTGCTGAATGGCAAACGAGGTAAAAAAGCAGTCACAAAAAGAAAAGGTAAAAAGAAGACCAAGTAAACACCAAAAAGCAAACCAGTTTGTAATACTGCTTTTTTACGAGTTTTAACTGCTATTTTATCTGGATTCGATAGAGTAAGTTGCCGACGAATCTTGTCTTGGTGGCGTCTTATGATGATTAAAACAAGTGTATATACGTAAATTAAGATGATTAGCGTTAAGCAGCTTAATGCAACGCTAAATCCGGCATTAATAAGATTGCTGGTGTTTTCGAATCCTCTACTATAAGCACATTTATTAGCAACTGTCTGATTAATTTGAATGAATTCGAGTCCACTAACAATTGCTTGCAAGCCAATAACCAGAAACCATAAAAATAAGATGATAACCATTACAGTTCCTCTAGTTATAAATCGTTGGTATTTGAATGGATATACGATAGCGAAATATCGTTCAATAGTCATTACAGAAACGTGGAGACCAACATTAAGTAAAAGTGCTTGACCTAATCGTGGTAACATATGGCAAATTACAGGAGTATCACGAGAAAAATCTGTGCCATACCTTGGCATTAAATACAAACTACCAAAGAGTATCCCATTAGTACATAAGCTTATAAAGGAAGCATAACTTGGTGACCGTAGCTGGCGGCGGCTTAACGTAAATATCACTAGAGAAAAACATAATAAAGCGCCAAATCCTCCTACTGCAGCCAAAAAAATATAAGCCATGGTTAATTCTGGAACTTAATCTTGAATTCGAGATAATCGTTACGGTCTTCGTTAAATAGTTAAAGTTATTCAGTAAATTAAAGACATTGAACTGGTATTGGAGCCAAACTTCTTTGTCCAATTTACCCTGTGGTAAAGTCTGCAAGTGTTTTGAGTTATACGCCGGGGAAATTAATTTGTGAATACAAGAATAAAATGCTGACCATTCATCATTGTATGATCGTACCACAGATCAAAAATATAAACGCTAATCATGGTCTTGACGTTAATGAACTTGACAAGTCTCAAACTGCCTATACTTCCACGAATATCCTTTAATCATATTAATTGCGGTACATTCGGTATAGAAAGTTTAGTAACATTAATTCAAGTGAAAGAAAATAAAAGAGATGCTTAAGCATGGAGTTGTTGTTCTTGACGTACAGCCCTAATTATGCCTTTCATTACATTTATTGGGGAAAAAGTTAACCAGATCGTATTATACTATGGAATAATTAATTTTCGTCCAGATGATGCAGATTGTATACAAATGGAAGAACAATGTACCATATAAATGAAGTTTAGCTATAGTAAATAGATTATTACTAGACTTTGGATATAATGCATTCATTAAAGTTTATAGTAACTATTATCATCAAATATTTCATGCCCTGATTTATGCAGCTTTTATTATTTTACAGTTAGAATGTTAAAATAGCAATATATTTGCAAATTTTAATACCGCATACATTGCTGTTAGCAAATGTAATCATAAGAAGCGTAGCACAAATAGTTCTAGAAGAATATATAAATTTTCTGTTGAGCTTTACTAACCTATTATTTAGAAAAAATTCGGAATACAATTCAAATAATTAATAAAGAAAGGATTCGCGTAGTTTGTACTCGTATGCATAGAACAAATGCAGTAATTTACGTTTATTTGTGTAGTAAACTCTATTAGAGGATACGCTAAGACTTGCACACATTTAGCACTATTTACTCTTAACATTACTTGTTTACGGAGTATACATTTCGTTATAAATAATATGAAGAAATTCTCCTAACTAAAATGAACACTGATTCTGGTATTGATATTGCATTGCAATATTGATAGGTTTACAAATCTAATCAACTTGTAAATTGTTTAATGCCATACAGTAGTCGAAAGGAGAAAATAACATCAATCCGGGAATGGTAATTTTTTGTGAGTTATTCACGATCTCTTAAGGCTGTCTTTATCATTGGTAAGAATTTAAATCATAACTAAATATCATCCTTAGTAGTAATAAATTAAAGTCAAGCTTTCATATTTAGAATTACAGCATTTATAGTTATGTGCCAAAAGAAACCTTTCTAATGGAGAGTTCGGTCTTTTGATAAGTTAAAATGATGCATTCTTATTCACGAAATGTTTTACTTTTTCATCTTTGCGCACATCTGATGTAATTTATTCTCAGTAAAGAATCAAAATATAATGTTATTAAGATCTAGTTGAACATAGTTTACTTTCTCATAACAATAGTGTTTGTTTCAAGCGTTAATAACATGACTATTCATCGACAAATTTTTATATTTTCTAATGACTATAATCAACTTAAATATATGTAAATTATGATTAATGTAAGCCTAAGCATTCTATGAATTTGTTGACAGTTAACCTTCTCAATAGTTATTGTTAGGTCTTTCATGATTAATTGGTTACTAACAAAAATGAGGACACTATAATCTCAATATTATCCCGGATTATTAATGATATCGCTCAATAAATACTACGGTATATCATCACGACATGTACTATTTATTGCAGCTAAATGCGTTTATTTGAAAGCGTATCTATGAGACCATAGAGCCATTACTAAATTTAAACATCTCTAAAGCAATGGAATTTAAATTGTTCACTTTCCTCAATATCAATGATTGATCCAAGAAATTTAAATTTTAAAGATTTATTTCTCAATCAAACAAAGATAACGGTTGCGTAAATTATAAAATATTGATAAAAATACATAAAATAGTATGGCCAATATCTGCATTTTTAGACATAGGTATTTCAATTTCGCCTATTTATGAATTACGCGTGCAGAATTTTGTATATTCTACTTTGACATAAATCCTCATAAGTAATAACAATTATCTATCTAGTTTTGCATAAGGTAAATATGCTGTCTCTAATGCTACTATGAACTACCTGCACTTTACATACTATTAAGGGGAGTACGAAGTAACCTTATCTTGTCTGCATTCTAAACGTTTTATGGTACATGAAAATGGCTGCGACGACGCCAAAATGGACGTTGAGGAATAATGATAACTCGACGACGATCATGACGACGACGACGACGACGGCGCCACCAGAACTATATTTTAATTTAGAAATAGGCATTAAGTTGAGAAATGCCAAAATATTCAGTAATAAAAATTCATATTAATAACAATAGTGGAATATATTCAAAAGCAGGCAAATTACTTACTAGTCACGGGATACAAAAGCTATAGCAATTAATGCATACTAAACACTAACCGATTTTTTCATTGGTGTTTCAAGCTCTTCGCGGTCCTTATCAGCATCAATCATATCCACTGGCTGCTCAGTCTCATCATCTTCATCGCCTTCATCTTTATCCATGAGAGTTGCATCATCGGTTGCATCTTCTTCCTTTAATTGATTTTCGAATTCAGAGTAATTTTCTTCGGTAGCATTTGCCACCGCAAAGAGAAACAGCGACGCTATCAAGGCCAATTTAATGTTCATTTTCCTATTTGCACCTGTAATCATGAAGAGAGAAGTTAGACAGTGATCGATAAATTTCTTACGCTAGTTAATTTCAAAAGTAAATAAGACACAATATTGTTAATCGATTCATACTATTATGTGATCCGTACTCAATATATACTTGCAAACACAATTTTGTTAGTAAAAAACTAACTTATTTCTACCAATAAGACCTGTCAATTTTATTACTACACGTAATCAAACTCACTACTAATCACTTCGTACCTTATTATGAGACAAAGTAAAATGTTTGTAATTTCGTGGAGATTTAGCTACTTGAATACTTTTGCTAAGACAAAAAAGAAATGTTATTTTATTCATATATTATTCTTCTAGATATAGATAAACGTAATACAACTGAGTAACTTCATTTGTTAATTGCTAATGCATGTATTGTCTTTTCTAGGATAGCAGCGGTTAATTTTAAAAGACTTTAACGGTGATTTAAGAATAGCATTTTATTACCATAGTACTGTTTTACATGGTAAACGTTTGAAGATATTTTATAATCACATTGAAATCAACTAGTTCATACGCAGTATTAAATATAGAAGAGTACTTTAATAATATCACTAAGAATTGAATAATTTAGCAGTTATCGTTGCTATGGAGTCTATAAGATGGTCTTCAGACAATTTCGAGTGCTAGGGTAAATTGCGAATATTAGCTTATAGAATAGTACCATAAGACCATTTTCTGGCCTTCATAGTACCGGTAGCTGCTATAGTAATGGGGCATAATGGAGCTTTTAAAATTAGTTTTAGCGGAGTGCAATACGGAAGGCTAGAAAAGGATAGATCCATTCAGTACCTAAATTGTATAATCTGCCAAAATATCATTATGAGCCTTTAAACAAGATGGACCGAAATATTGTCCATTAATGAGTAATAATATAATTGACCGAAAGCATAATATATGTAGTCTATTGATTATCAAACTGTGATGCCAATAGCAATAGCCTACCATTGTGGAATATGAAATTAGGCCACGATAAGAATCAGATGAATAATCCAAAACTTCAGATGAAACGGCTTTGGTCATGGGGGCAGATTTACTTAGTAAATTAATTGGTTGACATAATGTTAAGGAGTGCTTTCTTTGATATACAGTATAACACCTTCAAAAATTACTCATAAAATGTACAAACAATTTGATACAACTTCCGAATGATTATTTCATTACTAGTTGCTTATGATGTTGCGTCTTTGTTTTATTTATAGAAATAAATAATGATACCGAATTACTGATTATAATTCTGAACGTAACATATCCAGAGTAGTTTAGATTGTATGTAAATACGAAAGTAATCCTGAATTAATAATTTTGAATAAACAATATAGGCATAGATATTCGGATGTTACTACCGGTATTAATTATGCAAGATGGTTTATAAGGATCATATATAAATTATCTACCACCTTTAGTCCTACTCGTATACTATTAATAAGATTTGTGTCTCATCTTGTTTACATTCCGAAACTTCGTCAATAAATCATTATGTATTCATTTAGAACAAGCTAGAGTTAGGTTTTTATACTTACCTTTAATTATACAAAGATCACTTATAAAGAATCATTCATTTTTTATCTCTAGTACTGTACTGCCGTTCCATAAATAAGATTTGCGCTTCATCATTGTTAACATCCTATCATTTCACTAATAAATCATAATACCTTCATCCACTACCTATGGTGGTAGCTCCGCTCTCTCATGTTAAGGTAATGAAAAGGTCAAATACTGTATAGATTTATTCTTTCCGTAGGTATAAATCATAAATTCTATACTTTTCATGTGAAGTAATACGGTAAAATACATAATATGCAAGTGCTTTCGATAATTAACAATAGCTATATATATACTTAATCTTCTAATTGCTTTCGTCTATCATTAGATTATTATATTTACTAGTCTAGATCTGTCTCATGTGGATTATAGCATTATTTTATTGATATTTCTTATGAATTAAATGGGAAATAATCTATGAAAAGTCGATTGTCGTTTCATGGTAAAATGATTATTCAAAGCTATTTTAATTCACTTCAATTTCGCACACAAAGAAATTACTCTAAACACAATGATACTAAAAACCTTATACTACGACGGCAATGTGAAAGGATATCTGACAATAAAAATGATATTTAAAACAATAATAAAATTATTAATTATTAATTGCGGTGAAATAATTTATATGACAGATAAAGCTAAAGGGCTTCATAGCTTAATCGCTGTTTGTCTTTTCCCCTGGATTGCAGTAATTCAAGCATAAAAACTTAACTTTAATTAATATACTTGAAATAAATCAAACGATTCATTTTGGCCTTAGATAAATATTTTTTATCTACATTCTCATAAACTATTCCTTATGTATATATGTTGATCTTTCTAGTGGGATTTTCATTTCGATACATAGTCATCATAGTAAGATATTCAGAAATTTTTCGAAATATTGTACGTCATAATGTCAGCAAATGTTGATATATTAACTCACTTTTAGTAACTAGAATGAAGAACTATGGACACTTTACAATTCCGGTAGTTTTAGTCAAGTCAGTTTTGATTTGACTCTAGGCTAAAAATTGTAGACCTATCGGCCAGTTCACATTTATTTTTACTCTACTTAATCAGCCACAAATCCTTAACTGTACAACTTTAGATATATTACTTAATCAATCACAAATTCTTCATGGTATAGCATTAGATTTATTAATATGCTTACTTTGAGCCTTTATTTATGTACTATCAATGTCGAATGATAGCTATTCGTTAAGCTCATCCTAACTAGATAGCACTTTATGACTATGATTTTCGACATTATTATTTTAATACCTCTCATGAAAAAAGTAATGGAGATGAATCATAGGCTGCACAATATTTGATATATTTAACGAATATGGGTAGCCTATAGCATAGAGATTCAAACTATTAAGGTGTAATGACAGGTCAATTACTTTTTATACCTGTACATTTTATTAAAAATTTATATTCTTAGTTCAAAGGATCCTTCATTAGAAAATAGATATTATTTATTTTCAGTAATTTTGCATATAATATTTTACCCTTCCAACAGCAGCAAAGTTTATTGCTTTATGTAATGTATGAGAACCATGGTAGTAAGTAACTACAGCGTTTCACCCGATTAAGGGAGGTCATTTCTTATACACCTTCTTACAGGTACAACAATTATAATTATTAAAAAGAAGCTATTTAACCAGCTCAATTGTTAAATAGAGTGAATATATAACTGCAAATAAATGCAGTCATCAAGGCTTACTTCTCAGTAGCTTTTTTCTATCGAAAGGGTACCATACTAGTTTATAAAATACAAATTATAATTTAGAATTGATTTTCTATCTCTTGTAATAAATTTGTAAAGAAGGTAACCTTAAGGATAAAGATACGGTATAGTTTTTGAACAATCATTTAACCAATTAAGCATTGCCATGATATGGGCTTTCCAATTAATCCGTAATTTTTTATACTTGTTTCTCTTATATTGTATGCTCCTTGTTTATAAACTTGTAGTAGGTAATCAAATAGCTTGAAAATGGAAACAGAAATATCGAATCGATCGAGCTCATTATGATAAATGGTAAGAACTACCGGTACGCTACTAATAATTATTGGCTATCAGTAATAGAAATTGGTGTACTTTTGTGCTGTGAGACTCTACAATTTGTATTTACAGTACGTACTAAACAAATTAGTAGACTCATCCACTATTACCAAAAGTACATTGTCTATTACTTCTTAAATCTATCTAGTATCACCTTATTTTACCAGTAGAAGTTGGTTTATCGAACGGCAAATACACTTTTGCATCGTTGACAGTCATTAACACCACTAATAGAGATCGCATGAAAAGTAAAATGTATGAAGCCAATATAGCACTTCAACTAGAGTAGTAAAGAGGATACTAGATGTGCCTTGCATATTTTCTTTGATAAGCAAGTAAATTACATAAATTAGACATGATAAAACTATTTTCGTTATATCATAAGAGATTTGCATCGTTAGATGATATTTTTGCATGTAGATGGAATTACATCGATTCTATATTTACTCATAGCAGATGCTAATATCTGTTGAGAATAGATCAATCCAGTCAACTTAGCTTGCAACTGTGTGAAATGGCATATCTCAGCTGCTAACATGCTTGAAGTATTAATATAGTCATTTTGAATATGGCTAATGAATGATATGTCCATGGATCCATACAGAATGATATATTATTTTATTTATAAATTTATCCAACATTACTAGTCATATTTACAATGATAGCTACATATATATCTATACCTACATGAATAGCATGTAGGTTATTTTAAGCAGTAAGCACTAGAGTAAAAGCCAATATCGCGTTATGATCTAATGCATACAAACAGAGTGAATTAAACTACTCTAAAATTTATACGAAGCGTTACGTATCATTTAATTTTCCAGTACGTTATAAATATAGTGGCTAAATCGTTGAATGTGATATTATAAATCTCTCCAATACATTACAGAACCATAACATTAAAATAGTACTATAATAAAATTACTAATATTGCAAGGTAATAACTATTTAAATATCTCGAAAAAACAAAGAATGGCTAATAAATTAAGATCTGACTTTTATCCAAAAAATTGATCAATCCAATATTATTGTTATAAAACTAAACTGGCCTAAATTCGACATGAAATTAACGGTGAGTAGCATCATCCAATTTAAAGCGGTTATCATGCCATCGCGTAAATTTTAAGGCCTATAATCTATTTTTTCTTCATTTTTGATTTAAACAAATTCGATAATTTGTGCACATAGGCCATCAAACGATCCATACCCCATCCCTTTAAAAGCAAATATAGTCATTTATGAATGACAATAAAGCAAGATGAAATTGCTATATAAGCAATTGAGATATCATTATTAAAAGTTATTTTACCCTAGCGAAATGAAATGCCGTAATATTTCTACTTAGTTAACTTTAGTAGAGGCCTAACCTAAATTATAGTGATCTATTCGTATGAATTTTTCGTCATCGCTAAAATTATAACTGTAGTTTGATTTTATGACTATACGATTATTATAACTATATGGATGTTGCGTAAAGGAGCATTTGGTGTCAACGAAAGCGATGTTTTAATTCTTACCATTTTCGAGGTTCGTGGTTTTTTGGTTGTACCACCCGAATACATTTTCCGTGATGGTAATCCCCTAGGTTCTCCCTGATCAGGATCATCGACATCATCAGGATAGAAATAGTCTTCTTCTTCGGATTCAGGCTGCTCCATACTTTGACGTTCTTGTTCAGGACCCAAAATGGTTGCAACAAGTAATATAGCGCTAATAGCGATTAATGTCCAATTTGCTTTCATAGTTTGACCTATAAAGAATCGTTGTTTTCAATAAATATTCGATCAAAACGGTCCTTACGTGTAGTGCATAACTATCTGATCCTATATCTTAATGATCAAATTATGGCATATCATCTTTACATGTTTATCTTTCACGTACAATATCACAATCCTGCCACAAAGCTATAAACAAGTTTAACCAGAAGACGTTAAATGATGAACAGTTGATGGCTTGTCGACTGATTGGCTGAAAATAGGAGCTCGTCTCTCCTACGCACAAGGTGGTGTGATCGGAAATATACGGCGATATTATCCTACTGCATCTAATCTGCTGTATAAGTAACCTAGTTGAATTGGCACACCATTCTGTTTGCCTATCAATCAAATTCATAAAATTGGACGGGTGACAATAATGATGTTGCGGTAATGTTATCCTACAGCTTGTAAACTGTTGTATAAGTAATGTAATTGAATTGGTACAGCATTCTGTATCTCTATCAATCAAATTCTCAAAATGGGATGGGTGTAGAGAATGATATTACAGGTTGTTGCTTCTGACTAGAAAGAATATCATGAATCGGCAACTTTACTAAGGACCGCTATGCAAATATACTCTATTCGAGAATGCCCCCTTCTCTATTTATGGCTGGTTATTGTCTATAGTGTGATGGAAAGGTGTCATTGTTTATCTGATTGAATGGCTACGCTGGAGAAGACTTTAAACTTTATCTTGGCCTTAGCTCCGTTATTGCAATTAAAATAATCCTCGTTTTCTCAACTACTACTTACAGATTAGTGACAGTATGCGAGCTAGATCTTCCGATAGTTTACGAATGCTAATTAGGATGGTTCATTCAGTCACTTAACAACGTTAATATGCTTAGCTATGAGTATGATAGCCAGCACCTTGACGAAAGACAAGCGCATTAGTAATAGTAAAGTTCTACGTGATAGATATAGAACTTGTAACAATAAATATCATAATATCATTCAATACTTTATTTGCCTGTCAATTCTTCGTTTTTGCATACAACGTTTATTGCAAAGGCAAGTGGTAGAAGGGGATGGCATTTTGAGCCATTTGTTTTGGTCATAAGAGAAAGTATTCCTATTCCATAATACAGCTAAAATTAGCCGCAGGGAAATTGCTGTCTTTAGCAGTATTGACTAATTATGTCTGATAATTAATTAATAGTCTTAAACCAATTATTCTACGCCATACAGTCTGTTACTGCAGACTATTGACAGGCTTCCAAGGTAGGCAATTCCTGTAATAAGCTGCAATCACAACAATCTGCAATTACATTATTAGGTTAAAAACTGACGATTCTAATCTAGTGAAATCATTATAGGCTGCAAATAATTTATTAGGTTAAAAATCGACTTTTCTACGTCATATAATCTTGCACTGCAGACTATTGCCATACTTTTAAGGTACGCAGTTCCTGTAATAAGCTGAGATCATGACGTATTTAGACTTGTATCTTGGTTTGAACATTAAATAAATCTACGTTATAGATAATATTAGAGTAGAATAAGTATGATATAATATAATATAATTTATTATAAATATTGTCTGGATAGACCAGCCTCAAAGAGAAGTGATCTATAGAATATCGCCGTTGTCTTTATTTATGCGTGAAAGTACTCCATGTTTTATGATATCAGGGTCTCTTAGCATTATTGATGTCACCTTTGTGATACGTTCTTGACAGAAGTAGTGGTAAAAATATGGCTAAATATATATATTCCAGTGAGAATTATTTTTCGTTGAAAGCATAATCGCATCGCATGTTTGCAAATACTATACAGTTAGCACTATGCATGTCACCTAAGTGATATGTTCTCTTATGCTCTTAAGTGACATCACTTTCGTTTAAACATCACCCATAGTTTCGAAATTTATTTACTGTACAGTAAACATGAGACCGCAGTATAGCTAGCACTATGAATGTCACCTATGGGATGCCTTCTTATACGAGTATTATTGGAACGATAGGCTAATCCTATCACTTTTAGTGACATCAGTTTTCGTTCACACACAGTACAGTACAGTACAGTACAATACTACACAATGTACAGTACTGTAGCTATAAAATTCACTGTAAACAAGCTGGAAATCACTGTAGCCATCGTATCTAAGCAACACGAAGCCACACTGTCAACAAATAGTCCCTTAGCTGACTCAGTTGCCATGTCGACCAAAATGCTATTACTTTAGCCCGTATTGGAACTTGTATGAAAGTTGTATAGAAGACTAACGCCTTGGCTACTTGCTACACTTCTACGTTAAATGCTGTCATCTCACACACTAATCATCTCTGAATTATATACCATATTGCAATCGAGTAATACAAGTAATTTTGAAACAATTTGCAGGTAAATTAAGAGTCTTGATGATTTCAGGATCGATTCTACTTGAATATTAGGGTGCTGTTGCGATCTTATTTAGGCCTAAAAGTATTTCTACTTAATTTTAATTTGGATCATTCGTTAATTTCTTCAGTTACAGTTTTAACTATCAGCAATCATCAACAACGATAGGCAAGAAATCATGAGTAATTTACCATTCCTACCAGGACTTTCCTTTAACCAAAATGTAAGCACTCTTAAATTAATATCATCATTTTTTAAATAGAGTAAATGTATAATCTAGTAAAGCATGATAACGTTTCCCTTTTTTATCTCTATAAAATGTCTTAAGAGGGTTGATAGTACAATTGAAAGGGCAATACGTTGCTACTAATATAATCATCCATTGCTTAATAAATGAATACACCGAAATAATTATACAGAAATGAATATTCTTAATGACGATGGTTACGATAAAATATTAACAATATATTTTAAAACCTTTGAAATAACACACTTACATCAATTCTTCTATGCGCTATAGCTTGGTAAAAACAATTTTAGCAAATCACATCAGTTTGATCTTCAAAATGGCGTTGCAGTGTTTGTTGGAGAAGAAAAACCCGGTATCGGTAAGTTTTACGCTGATGATGATTAAATCAGAATGGAATGATAGTGCAAGTTGAACGCAGTATTGGAATTGTTTACTTAATTAAAATTTGTTGCATCTATACGAAATCTTGATAGACAATTTACAATTTATTATGAAGAATATTCAATTCTTGGCGTAATCTCCCAGTGTTAAATAATGCTAACTATATTTAGGTGGAGAGCCTGTACAAGGACAGAAACTCAAGCCAAAGTTTACTACCTATCCAAAATCCGATGGTTTTGGTAGTACACCGGCCTGGATCGCATTTGACAAACAAGTAATTACACAACGGGTTTTTATCCATGATTTCAACGCACACTTTTCTACTATTGTTGAAAGTATATACCTATCTATTTTACAGGTTTTAAGATTTGATGCTTACTTTCAAGAGGCTGTTCAGGAACGACGCGAAGAAAACTACAGAATTCGAATGTAATGCCTTACAGTTATATTACATTAATAAATTATTGATATAACGTCGCGTTTTTATTGAGAAGGCTTAATGCATTAATAGGATTCAATTGCATACTGTAATATATTTTCAAACCCTTATGAATTTAATTTATAAACTTATAAAGGTGTAAAGTCTTATTTTACTTGGAAGATGACACCATCCAAGTTGTAGAATCACAGCAAAGAAACAGTGGTATGCCACAAGGTAGAATTTCCTAGATAGAATACACAGGATTTAATCAACTAATAATCATAGAATTGATAAAGATGCAAAATGATGCCGTCTGTTTACGAAACATATGCATGATTCCAATTTCCTAATCACAAAAACAACCGTTTAGGCACTATTCTTCGCCGCCATCGTATTGCGCTACCTTCACCTAATGACGACGAGTTTTATTCAGTGGATCATTTTAACATTGGAAACGAACTCAGCTTTTATGGTAAAACATTTAAAATTGTGGTAAGTAAAGTGAATATAACAAAATATTAGGACAAATCAAATAATTCATTGATAATCCACAATCCAATTTTGATTGAACTGAATTCTATTTTGTCATTTTATGCAGGATTGTGATGTTTTTACTCGTAATTTTCTAAAAAAATTGGGAGTTAAACTTAATGATCCTATTGGAGCTCCGAAAGATCCTTACACTGAACATCGCAGAAAAGTAAGCAGAATGCTCTAATTAAACGTATTTTATTAATTCAAAGCTAATGATATCAAACTACATTATAAAACAAAAATTAGACAAGAATTATACGTAAATAGATTATCCTAGAAAGATGATTTGCATCATCTAAATATTTTATATTTATAATTATAATTCTACCTGGAATTGCTCAATTAAATTTATTTATTATTTTTACCAGCTGGATGACAGCATGCAGCCTAGGCGGCCATATGAGAAAGAAGACAATCTTAAGCAATTCTTAGAACATGATAGACATGTTTTGCGCTTTTACTGCTTATGGGATGACACAGAAAAGTAACTGCTACATATTTAGTTACATGCTGTAAACATTGTTAAAACCTATTTGGCAATTAACTTGATTTACGACCTGTGGTCTACAGCTAATGTTGTCTCATTTTGTAACTCTACAGTATGTTTGGCGACGAGCGGGAAATGATCTTACACTTCTTCTTAGCTGATGAAACCATTGAAATACGTGAAGCTATACCTCCCAATGCTGGCCGGGATACCACATCTATCTTTATCCATCGCCAGAAGTTGCCAAGGGGCCCTACACCTTTACTACAGCCTGGCGAGAAGACGAATCGAACTGTCTTAAATGTATTTGGCACAGCTAGCCGTGGTGGACGCTATATTATTGATAGCTTAAAGGTGAGTTTATATTGTTACCTGTCCAGTCATTTAATTTTTGTTTTATCTCCTTATGTTTTACAACACTTAAGCGAATGAGTATCTGATAAATGTGTTTTTCGTATAGACCGGATCTATTGCTAGCGATTTCTATACAGAGCGCGATCTAGCTATTGGAAACGTTTTAAACGTATATGGTCGACGATTTTTGCTATGTGACTGTGATGAATTCACCAAAGAATATTACAGTACAAAATATGGAATAAGTAAGATATTGTATATGCCATGAAATAATTAATTTTTAAGTTCATAAGAAATTGTAAATTTTGTTCACTATAAGTGTTTAACATAAAGATTCTTGCTCTGCAGAAGATATAAAACCAATCCAAATCCGAGCCCCTCCACAACCTTTACCTCCAAGACAGTACCCACCCTACAACGGATTTGGTTCTGAGGAAGACTCCTTGGGTAACTGTTTAAGCTTAATTCCAAAACCACCGAGAAGAGATTTCATTAAATTCGTAGAGAAGGATCGGTAAGTATCTTACATTAAAGCTGTATATGTATCGCTATATTAGAATGGGGTGTATTTACGTGAATCTATTATAATGGTTATATGTAAAATGCAGAAAGGGTTTGGAGACCAACATTTTGCGATTCTACGCAAAGATGGATACGGCTAAGCCAATTGATGTTGATCGACGTTTCATTGTCTCGTACTTTCTTTCGGATGATACAATTAAGGTTTTTGAACCACCACAAAGGAATTCAGGTGAGAATTGAGTGATGCATGTTTAAGTAGCATAGCAGGAATTGGAGATACAATCTTCCTACGTTACAAGATAAAAATTTTTCTTCATTTATATTTCATAAGTTAGAAATTGTATCTGTAAAGCTACTTTAAAGTATAAATATATAACCATTATTAGTAACTACGGTGATTTACTACTTTAAATTGAAAATATGCGAACGAGTAATGCATCATTATAATATCGTGCTCAATCGATGTTAGAGATTGATTGAGAATGTTTTCATGTATATTAAAATGCAATAAGGAACTAGAATAGGATGATAAGGTAAATATTAAAATGTGCTTCTTTCCTGTGCATTTGCAGGTATCATTGGTGGCAAGTTTTTTGAAAGAGGAAGAGTGGCTGATCCTAGCCGTAGTACAGAAGGCAATACCACTTACTACAGTGCTAACGTAAGTATTGTAGAACCGAAATATACGTATATCTTGAAAGTGGTAATGGTCAAATACGTAGTGAAATCTAAAAATAGTTGTCATTAATGAGCAGAAATTAAAACCAAGCAACCTTTTTTTAAATTAATAGGATTTATTTATTGGTGCAAGAGTTATCTTTTATCGTCATCAATTTATACTAATTGATGCTGATGAATACGCATTTAGATATATGGAGAAAAATGCTCGTGAGGTTAGCCAGCCTATCTAGTTAGAAACGGTTAAAACTACAATCATCACTAAGCAGTTGCATAGCAATCAATAAATTAATTGGCATTTTTTATAAACTAAGCGACGGCATTACTGGACCTCTTTATCTAAATTTCGAATATATTATTTGCTTCTAGTTTCCATATTCCGATATCAACCGAATTATAAATGTCTTAAGGAATCACATGACAGATAAAGAGAAAGTCAAAGGATTATTGATAAATCATGATCCAACTGGTGCTGGTGAAATTCCATATGAAGCGCTACGACATGCTATTCGCCAAATTACTGGCAATACTTTGAATGAGCACGAATTGATGACTCTTGGGCGATATTACGGAGATGTTCGGGTGCGATATTAAATAATTTACTATAACTACTATATACACGAGTACACATTGTAGTATTCTCAAAGTAAGAGAGTGATAAGAAATACTGAAACACTACAGATTCTTAATCAGTTATTGTTTAACCCAAATCAATAAAGTTTTCTCATATTAAAATATACAGTAAGATTATTGCAATTTCCCTATAAAAATTTATTGTGTTAAAGATTATTAATTTTATTTTAATAATTAATTATAGGATGATACAACTATAGAAGATTTAGCGGCAGCTATGCAAGAGCAAGTAAGTGATATAGTTACTGGTTCAATAAAATCAACTTCGAGTGAATAAAAAACTCGATATTCATCATATACAAAAATACGCCTAGTACCGAACGAGAGCTTATTAAGTTATTATTAATTATTAAAATATATTCTCGGCATGGATTCAAGAATTTCTTTGTAGTTGCTGAATGTGTATTTCAGTAGATAGTATAGATTCTCTTTTTAATTTCTTCAAAGCTAGGCCTGCAATTAATTTAGCAATTATTTGTTTTCAGTTAAAGCAGAGTGGATACGACAGGTACCAAGGCTTAAGGGATATTTTTACACACTACGATAATGATAGGTAAGTAAAATTACACAAATCTAGTATGAATTGAACGTTTTCTAATTTAGAAATTCAAGTGTTCTGCTGGATTATCCCTCAATATGAGGTTCATAGTCAAGATTGTTCAGTTTCAAGGTCTGATATCCGAAATCTTTCATGATTTTTTATAGGAGTGGCTGCTTAGATAAATATGAACTGTTAAGATTGTGCCGATCTCATCAACTGCCAGTTAAGAACGGTTTACTGTGGGCATTGATCGCTAGGTTAGTCTAATCATATTGACTATTCATTTTCGGCAGGCTTTCAAATGAAGTTATAAATACTATCATCAAGTAGCGTTTAAGACTCAAATATAACATAAGGCTTTATATAGAAAACGCAACTGTACACAGTATGATAAGCCTTACTTGTTATGATATTCCAAAATATAAACATCAGTGATAACGTATGATACTTTCTCATGACTAGAATGCCAAATAATAAAAGAGAGATGGTATCTTATAATGAATTTATTCACCTTATCAACTGGACAGTTAATCCAAGTAAGTTGACATTTAAAAGATAGCCACTACAAACAAACGCAGTTATCTTCTGTACGATAGTTAAAGTTATATAGGAATTAAAAATAAAAGTTGAAATTCATAATAGATTGCATTGATACCAGTAAAATTAAACTTTTATTTTTATAAACTCTTCTATAATCTTGTAGTTGATGTAAGAACTCCTCCAAAAGTCAAACAGACTCTTGACAGGTTGGCGACTGAGAGATGGGATGACCAAGAAAATGATCAATCCAAGCCGCAAAGTGTCAATCTTGTTTACTATAAAAATTTCTTAAATGATGTATGTGGCCAAGAATCATAATCTGTCATGGACAGTTATTGTCCTTATAAGAGCTTAAATTAACATATAATCATGGCTAGGAAAAAAAATTATTATGAAGATATCAAATCTAACTCATTCTGTAATTTTAAATACATTTTTAAAATATTCGGCTAACTTAAAATTGATAACCTTAGAAGCTTCAATTTAGAAAAATTTTAATAAGTTTATCGAGGTTATGCAAGTTAATTAAGTATTTGCCTTTGAAGAGCAAGTATGACATGGACTGATCTTTATCAACCCATTTGAAATGTAAATTTTAGAATTAAAGTTAAGTTGACGAACTAATCGTACCATAACCATAATAATTGCAAAATAATACATAAATATTAATGCACCATACGTTGTAATGGTAATAATGCATTGATTCTTACACAAACATTAGCGCTAACGGTGGTGTTAGAAATTATCGGACATTACGTGATGAATAACAAGGCTATTTTCTCGTCTACTATGGATTTCATCATCATATTAAAATAGTAAATAGCCAACTTAATGTTTAATTTTTACGTTTATTTTATTCTTGGAATATAATTGTTCACATTAACTACCACTAATCCTGCTATACATAATAGATTAATTGCTCCTTCCTTAACGCATATCTGATGGACTAAACTTATCTATTGATAGTATGGTCTTGTAATTCAGCTGTATGTTAATCTGTAATAAAATTGCTTTTATACCTTAATCCAGTCAATTTCTTCAACTTGTAGTTTCACTATCTTATAAAAAGTATCTATTCTATTACGTGCAATTTAGTCATTAAGATATAATTACGTCACTTTTAGAAACATCTTTATTGATATTTTTTAATTGCGGACATGATCTAAAAAGGATGTTGATTTCCAGCAGGCTTAAGGTTTTTAATTACGAAAGATAAAAGTGTCAACATGTCATACCATAAAGCATAGTTTATCTGCAGTATATTTTTAAGTACACGGATTTTTTACACCTGCAATAACAATTTTAGACACTGCAATTCAAGAAAAACCTTTTCCTATCCATTAGGAAAATAAATAGGACAAATAACAAATGAATTTAGGGAATAAAACTAAAAATATCTTCTAAAAACCGTTTTCTATTTATCGCTAATCTTCTGAATGAGAGCTGTAGGAGCGTGGCTCCGTTAGTAACTGGTCTACCATAAAACAACTTTTATATCTAATAGAATTTATATACACATGTATTTGATATCAGCGTAGTATATCATTACCTATTCATTACAATTATAGAACGGCATCAGTAATTTGTCAAAGCTGACATAAATAAGGGGGAGAAATTTACAGGCGCATTGGTAGAATTCGTGAACACTAACGGAGAAATTGATTCAGTTATTGCACTTTACAGACTTTGATTAACGAGAATTTGGGTCGCCAAGTTTCACTGCTCCTAATATCATATCCAGTAAGCATTTTTTGTGATGAAATAACCTTTTACCAAAGACAATCGCTACTCGATGCTGGGACATTTGTCTATAAATGATTGCACTATGGCAATAAAGAGCTATCATTAAGATTTCCTGCGCTAGAACGAAGGTGTATCTTTACAGGTTATCCATCCTGATCATATTGTACATAGCGTAGAAGAGTCGTTAATGGAATTGGGCAAATTCTTGAAGTCGAAAATGATTGCAATATTCAATAATACGAGTATTTTCTTGAAAATTGAATGCTAATGCTACCGTTGAGATTGATCATCCCCAAATAATTATAAATAATAACAGCTTTATGCTACTTTCTCTAACGTATTTTACATGCTTATTTATGTCTTTAAAACGTATAAGCTACAGTGGTATAAGTAGTCCTTTGCCTTGTTGTACCTCATTTGTATGCCAATAAATAAGAACAGTTAAGCCAGGAATAGACGATGCAGTGAGGTCATGATGGCTTCTTAGGCAAAGGTTTGATATGATCTCTACCTCTGAATCATTGGAAACAGGCAATATGTTAGACAGTAGAACGGTATCCGATTGAAAGTAAAGATGATAGCAAGAATAAGGATCTATCCATTTCAAGATGATTACCTTAATATTGGCAATAATCGATTGGGCAATCGAAAGATATATTTGACACCATTTCGAATGGAGACTCTTCTCTGAGGGTTTTGAATCAACCTATTGCTAATGGTGATAATACGCTTATAGAGTCGCGGATAACCGTAAGCCTAAATTAATGAAAAGAAGATAGAATGTGAGTACAGTCCCTTTCCTCTCCGAAGGCTAACGAATTGGCATCCAAGAAGTCGAGCTGATCGATCAGATCCGCATCCTTGCGACCTTGCCACTTCCGCTAGCTAGCCACTAGACTACAACATGACGCCCTGACCATCTGTAATTCGACCGTACGCATACAATCAACGATTCAATAGCACAACAAGAACTACTTACACGTCCTAATAAATAAACTGCAGCCTTCTTAGACAACGAGAAAGCCACCACTTTGATTAATAAACCAAGCATGTTGAGTGGTTAATGGCAGCATTTCTAATCCACCATGCGCTGCACAAGCTGAGGCAATGTGTGATGAGATTGGTAAGGCAAGCTAGCGTATTCGTCATCACCTGATGTCACGGTACGGTGCGGTACGGTACGGTACGGCCTGTACTGTACCAGAGGCTTCTCACACTGTACAGTGTACAGTATGCAGAAGTTCTGACTTGGTACTGTACGGTACTGTACTGAATACTGTACTACAGTACAGTATAGTACAGTGCAAAGAAAATCTCGGCACTGTACACTGTACAGGGCCGTGGTCTGGTGTACTGTCGTCCAGATCTCTGTACACTTTTGCATTTCTATGGCGACTAAAGCGATGACGGAAGGTCTTTTCGTCTTTTCGTTTGCGTTTTCCTAAAACGCGATTCATTATTATTTCAATGAATTTTAAGGGAAAATGAACAAATTTTCCTTGTATAATACTATCTATCCCTAGCTATACCATGCTGTACTAGTCCCAGACTAGCCCTGTCGAGCAGGATTATTTCAATTCTAGTTACTATTGCAACAGCTTGCCCTCGATTAAACGGAGCGAGGCCTCCTCATTTCGGCTCTAATAATATAGTAAGAGTTAATACTACTCGATAGACTTGGCTGCTTGCAGGCAGCAATGAGTAGTGTATTCCACTATTAGCTTCATGACTAAATTCTCGGTGACTATTTTGGAAGGCACCTTTGCATACTAGCATCCTTCCTGAGTAGAATAAGGGTATTTGGCTATAGTCCCAGTACTACCTCTGGTTTTTTCGACTTGATTGAGGGAGATGAAAACGCAGACGGACAGAATCTTTCCTGTACTCAACATGTATAAACATGATTGAAACTAGGATACTTTTCATACAAACCTGGATTGCAAGCATCGAGCATATTCGAAATGGTGGAAGCCATTGCAAGGCAATCATTCCATTGGAAATGCTACCAATAGATGGATAGTTAGGCTATCTATCAGTGATGATAACAATCCTTAAGTGATTAGGAGATTAGACAAGGGAATCATTCTGTGCAGTAAGTTGTACTCGATACTTGTAGCTGGCCAAAATAAGACGGTCTAATCCTACACGCCAATGGGAGTCAAAGGCTTATGGAAATTATTGGAATCGGCTGGACAGCCGATTACTCTCGAATCGCTAGAGAATAAGATCTTGGCTGTAGGTGAGTTAAAGTCAATAGAAATAAATTTTATATTCAAGCCATGCCTATGTATCAAGCTATAAATACAACGACTGTACAGGAATAAGTATTTCCTATCAATGGATTGCCAACAGTAATTCAGCAAAGGAATCAACTGGAAATAATAATTACGCGTATTAAGATGCAGAAGTGTAGTATTCCCATCAACTAATCAATTCATTCTACATCATTGGTATTGATGATAAGCGATTGTCGTATTTTACAGATATTAGCTTATGGCTCAATGAAAGTTTACGAGGGATGAGAGATCATCAAGGGAGTTTAATAGAAAATGCCCATTTATTGGGCCTATTCTATCGTCTGTGCAAGCTCTTATTCTTTAAAATCCGTCCAGTATTTGTTTTCGATGGTGGTGTACCTCTGCTAAAGAAGCAAACGATAGTACGATCATCATACAAAGATTAGCCTACTATCAAACAGTCTAAAATAGCCGCATAAAATAAATCTTGTTCTCACATGCAATGTTTATTTTTATCAATCATGAAATCCTCATTAGGCCAATAGGAGACAACGACATGAATTAGCTGTAGCCAAGCATGAGAAAACAGTTCGAACAATCTTGCAAAATTACATGAAAAAGCGCGCCTTAGGTGGTGTCACCGGTAAAACAGATCGAAATAATCCAATCAAGACCGCAAAAGTTATCCATTCCAACATGTTTGAATTACCACCAATACCTAGTAGTTCAACCGATGATAGCAGGTAATCGATAAATGTAAACGACTATTTTAGGGCTATTCCATTGACTGCGAGATTGATTGCCTATTTCAATACTTGATATACTGTTTAATCATCCACATGTCAAGCCTTGGCCCTTTCTTAGACATTGGATTTATATTAAACTTAATATAGTGCATTAGTTTGTGGGTAAAAATCGTAGTAGAATGTGTATCTACTGTAATGATAGAAAAATAACTTTCAGGAACTTTATTGTCTATTGTCTCAATGTTTTGAACATTAAATAACAAAAATTGATGCATTACAGCCATAACCTGATTACTGCTAAAGTATGTTTTGAATAGGACAGATCATAATAACATCTCTAGTGTCGTGGTACACAAAATTAACTTACTAGAAAAGTAGATGTTAAACATGACATGCCCGAAACAAATGGGTCTACTCAATAGGAATACGAATAGTGTCGATTACACTTGTAAAATAGACTAATTATCTACATTGATTGATCATAATTTACAATGAATTATCATGTTTAGTGTATCTAGCAAAGCCAAGGCTTTGTAAGTGATACTAAATAACAGAATCTTAAAAGAGATCAATTGAGCGATGGCTTGCTACTCAAATATAATATCATGTACAGTTATCACATTACAGTATACTGCATAGGAGACTTACTATACGACACTGTTTACTGTATTATGATAGAATCAACCTTAAGCAAAAGAAATTGGCTTTAATAGTCTATTGAAGTCAAATTACTACATAGATAAATAAAATCATGGGCAGCACATATACTGTGATACCGTTGAAATGTATTGTATAATGTGGTGGACTAACAAAAATATAAAACTATCTACGAATTATCGTATAGAGAATTTTTTATATTTATTACGCGTATAGTAGCGGACGATCATCTAATGCAATTATCTCTTTGTAGTATCAGTGCCGTTAAGGAGGAGGATCAAGACAATTCAGAACAAGTAACGTGGGATAAAAGAATTGAAATGAAGCAACACCTGCATCATGTTTACGGCGATTTAAGCCAACTTGACGTTAATTCAGACGAATTTAAGGCTTTACCGCCTGAAATACAATATGAAGTTGTCTTAGAAGTTCAGTCATCCTATAAAAGTTATTCAATGGTACGAATGGATGATTTACCGCAAGAATCGAAAGATTTCTCAAGCTATCAACTAAGTAATTTAATGCAACGTAGTCGATTAACGCGCCAGCTCGATAATATTAGGCGACAATTGAATAATGCTGATTCTGGAGATATATCAACCATGTTCGAATTAGAAAGTCTCGAGTCACGGCGTGTTGTATCCGAAGATGCTACTCATTATTTACTGGTGAAAAACCAGCCTCAGCGGAATGACAATGTTGAATATATGGACTTAGCCATGCAATCCGATAAAAATGCTTCCAGTTATCAGTCTAACTTAGTTATGAAGGATACAAGTACACCATCGGTACTGAATCAATCTAAGGATAAACAAAGAGAAAACATATCCCTTGAGCCTCATACGTCTTCATATCAAGAATTACAGAATGTAGACAAATCTAGCGATAGTGTCAATATCGACTCGATAGATAAAAAATCACAACTGTCTCCAATTGAAATTAAGATTGAGGTAGCAGAAGATTCACAGCAACCATCAAATGTACTTCAAAGTGATTTTGAACAGAAAGAATCCCAAAGTGAAGAATTTGAAAACCCAGACAAAGAAATTACTTTTCAAACGTATAATAATGAAGCAATAGCGGAAATAGGAAAAGCTGCTACTAGCAATGAGGATGATATACGGTGTATACAAGAAGAACAGCTACCGCCATCAAATGATCTGAGTATTGAAAAAGTCACGAAGGATAATTCGAACAATGCGCCAGTCGTCGAAAGTAACAGTGAGAGTGAAGGTAAATTACATCTGTCTGAATATTGTTTAGTATTGGCTGTATTAGCACTAATGAGCGTATGTGGTATGGCTCTTTTAATAAATATGTAGATGATTTTATTGAAGTATCTGACGAACCTTATCGTAAAGTTCTTGAAGAATTACATCCAACCCAAGCAGAGGGCAGCCAAGAAAACGCAGCCAAGTCTCCAGGGAAAAAGGATGAAATCAAAACAGAAATTGTATACGAGGAGGTAGCTGAAGATGACGAAGCAGGTGATAGTGAGGCTGAAGTTGAAGATTGGCTTGTGGAAACTGTGTCGGAATGGGATGGAGCAAATATGGTATTTTTAGAACGAAAAATGTGAACAAAATTTATGTATTGCGTGCTTTAATTTGCCACTATTTATCATTATTAGTCAAAATTAGTAGATGTCCAACGTAGCTTGGAAGAACAGCAAACTTCGCTTATTCAAGAACATAAAAGGCAAGAAAGAATGGCTGCTTCTGTTTCCAACGAAATGTATTCTGAATGCCAGGTAAATTCCATAATGCTTTCAATGAACCATTTTGAACGGGCATATGCTTGATAGCTATGCAACTATTTCTTTTTGAAAACATCAAAGGAACTTCTCAGTCTATTCGGTATTCCATACATTGTAAGTCCAATGGAAGCTGAGGCCCAGTGTGCTGTATTAGATTTTACCAACCAAACCGATGGAACAATTACAGATGATAGCGATATCTTCCTTTTTGGAGGGCGCAATATTTACAGATACGTCTTTAGAGAAAGTAAACTTGCAGAATTTTACGATTCTCAGAGAATTCAGAGGCTTATGGGTACGTTGAGCTAATTAGAAGACGAATTTATTCATAAAAATAAAGCATGAACCTATAGCTGACTTTTAATGTCAAACTATACGCGCACTATCTTGCAGGTCTTGATCGTAAAAAGATGATTACTTTAGCTTATCTACTTGGCAGCGATTACACCGACGGAATTAAAAGTAACGTAGCTTCATTCTATCTCTTTATACGAGTATCTATACCTTTTAATTATCTTTACTTTATGTAACTATATTATATTTATCATAGATGTTGGAATTGTGATGGCTATGGAACTTCTTAGTACATTTGGTGACGACCTGACAGGATTGCAAAAAATAAAGTAAAAACAATTAAAGCATTCGTTACAATTATTCTCAATATGCATTCTATCCGTAGTATAAGATAAAATTAGGTGTATAAGATTAAATTAATGTAATGTAGTGGTTTACTTAACCGATCATTACATTATATAATTTCAACAACAATAAACTAGCTCAGTAAAAAGCAATATTTCTACCAAAGTCAGAACTTTAAAATAAAGATATCCTTAATTTTTCAGAGAAAGAGTTTCTGATCTGAAAAAGCGATCAATCGATAAAACTCAAGGATATGTGCCGAAATTGGTAAACCTTACGCTATAAACTGTATTTTTAAGCTGGCGATTGCAGTTATATTCGTTCTTTCTTTTTCGAAAAGAGAAAGTTAGATCTTCGTGATAGTTTCCCTGATGCTAGAATTAAAGACGCCTACTTAAATCCTACGGTTGATCATTCAAAAGGAGCGTTTGAATGGGGAATGCCTGACCTGGCTGGACTACGAGAGTAAGCTACGTTATTATTCTAAGCTTACTAGTATATCTCTACTTAAGTAGCCAAAAAAGTATTGGTGGAGATCAAAGTCTCTATTTTGTGCATTTATGCGTATATTACAGATTTACCCATGCAAAATTCTATTGGTCACAGTCTAAAACCGATGACATTTTGTTGCCTTTACTTAAAAAGTTCAACCGTCGGGAAGATTCGAAGGTGAGTTAAGTAACATTGCAACTGTGACAACCAATCCATGGTAATCAGGTCATTGCTATTAACCATGGATTAATTTTAAATTTCTAGCAAAATGAATTAGGTCAATATTTTCCTATCATACATAATCCTCAACCTGCGATTATCAGAAGCAAACGATTGCGTCGTGTAGTAAATTTTCTACGAAATGGTGAAGGCAGATCTGCTATTGATGCAACAAATCAGTTGTGCGATGAAGTTAAGAAGAGATCTCGGAAACGCAAAGTTTCGGACGATTGATTCCCAAGGGATTATACTGAATCTTTATTGCGCAGATATTGGCAGTATACGTGTATTGCCCTATTTATTGATTGTTGGCTTAGTTAGAATAATATTTACCCTTCGTGAATATTCTCAGCATTGCCAATCCTTAAAAACCTTCCCAGCAATCAAATACCGTTAACGAATAGTAATAAGGAACGCTAAAGATTAGCGATTGTTTATTTTGTATATATACGAAGAATATAGGAGTTAGCAATAGGTTTATTACTTGATATAATATAAATAATAATTATTAACAAGACATCGACAACTGTATGCCAGCAAAAAAAATTCATAAATTTGATTAGATAGCAATTCATGATTGAGTCTTTGTTATAGTTAGTAACCTTGCGGTCATTTTTCATTAATAAACTAATCTCCGAAAATTTAAAATGTCCTGGAGATTTGATCGAAATTAAACAAAATACGTTAGGCACTAGTCAGCTTTACAGAAGCTTTCTAGCTAACCTTTACTGTTATAAATTACGAGTACCTTAATTTTGAGAATATGCTACTATTGTGCATTATATATTACTAATAACGCAACAGATTTACATTAAACTCCTATTTTGTAGCGTATTCACTCATCGTCTGCAGTATCTGTTGACATATCGTGCAAAATAGATTAAAGCGACACCTTGCTAGAGTTATACCGCTTTCAATCTAGCAAGATTTATCGAAGTTTTTACGGTCCTTCATGTATCATCTTCATAAACGTGCCAAACTGGGATAGGACCCTATTTTAGATGTACAATATCTCCTTATTAACCCTATATGCATAAAAAGTACATGAAAATAATACCGTACCTAACAATCCTATCGTAGTATAGAAAAATAAAATTTTCGAATAATTAATAGCTTAGGACAATACGTATGTAACTCCTTAATCAGTAGAGTTTTCCCCAGGTAGATTGCTATAAATATTATCCGCCTTTTGTTGCATAGCAGCTGCGTCTTCAAGGAGATTCTGTTGTTTATAAATTACTGCGATATTTTCATATAACTCTGCAATTTCTGGATCATTCTCTCCGTAAACATTAATCAAGACACTAATAGCTTTGTCGTACGTTGATATAGCTTCAGTAAATTTCGACTGAGTATCGTATATGCCCGCAATACTTTTGTATGCCGATGCAACTCGAGAATGACTATCATCCAGTACCTCCAAATCAATTTTTAACGACTTTTCATACATATCAAGAGCCTCGTCAAATTTGTCTTGACTATCATAGGCTGTCCCAATGTTGTAATATAACAAGGATGTGCTAGGATGATTTTCGCCATGCGTTTGCAGAGTAATTTCAAGCGATTTCTTATACGTCGAAAGAGCGTCATCATAATTGCCTTGCAGATTGTAAACGCTAGCAATGCAATTCCAAACAGTAGCAACATCAGGATGATGATCGCCATGTACTTGTATGTAAACTTCTACTGCTTTTCTATACATAGAAAGAGCCTCATCATATTGCTCAAGATGGTTATAGGCATTGCCAATGTTGAGGCATGAACTAGCAACATTAGGATGGTTATTACCGAGTGCATGCAAATAAATTTGGAGTGATTTTTCATGCAAACGAAGAGCAAGATCAATCTCATTCAGCTCAGTATAAGTAGTTGCCAGATTTTCATAGGATTGAGCAACGATAGAATGATTTTCGCCAAATAGTTGCATTCGAATTTGAAGTGATTTATAATACATTGATACAGCACCCTGAAATTTGCCTTGTTGAGCTTGCAACATTCCAATGTTATTATAAGCATTAGCAACAACAGTATGATTTTCACCGTATATTTGCAAGCCAATTTTCAGCGACTTTTCATACATAGAATGAGCTTCCTTATATTTGCCTTGATCACTGTATATATTTCCTATATTTTGGTAAGATTGGGCAACATCAGGATGATTTTCGTCAAATAATTTCAGTCTAATTTTAAGCGCCATTTGGTGTGTAGAAAGAGCCTCATCGTATTTTCCTTGCTGATCGTGAACAATCCCTAAATTGTTATATAACTGAGCAACTTGAACATGATCATTACCAAACCTTTGTAGTGCTATTTTCAAAGCTTTGTTATACATAGAAACAGCATCATTATATTTGCCTTGGCTCCGATCAACATTACCAATATTCATATAAGTTGCTATAAGTTCAGGATCATTTTCATCCAGTATTTGCAAATTGATTTGAAGAGATTTTTCAAACATAGAACGAGCATATTTATACTTGCCTTGTAAGCCATACACACTTCCCATGTTGTTATATGCTGTAGCAACATGCTCATGATTATGATCAAACAGCTTTACTAAGATTTTATGCGATTTTTGAAACATAGACAGTGCATCATCAAATTTATCCTGGCTAAAATAGATATTCCCAATGTTAGTATACGAATGAGCGACGTCTAATTCTTCGTCTTTCATGTATTTTTGCTTAATTTCAAGTGATTTCTTGTAATCCTCTAAGGCCTCGCTGATATTACCTTGTAGTTTTTTAATACCGCCTTGTTTATCTAAATATCGAGCAAATTTTATTTGATCTTGTAGTTGATTAGCCAGTTTTAGTGCTTTCTGGCTAAACTCATCTGCTTTTACAAGATCACCTTGTCTGATATAGATATCAGAAATATAAAGATAAATATCGCATTGAAGATGGTCAAGATCAGCGGAAGGGTTTGATATTGATGGAATTTGATCAAGTGCTTGGGTCAAATGAGAGAGTGCCTCGTTATAATTGCCAGTCTCGTAATCTTTCTTGCCTATCTCAAATGGAGATTGTATTTGCTGAGGGATAGTTGATTTTGATGGTTTATCTGCCATACCTTATATTCTAAATGTATTACAATAAGTTTAACATTAAACACTGTATGCTATGACACTACTCCTTCCTTCTTACACTATTTTAAAGTACGAATCAGTCAAGTTTTATTCCAGATACAGTAGATGACTTCTATTAATGCTGTTGCATAAATAAGCTATAGTTCATTTATTAGATTGTCATATGATCTATATTTCAACTACCGGTTTCTATTAATTTTTAACATTAGGTTTAATTAGTGCTAAAAAATGAAATAGATGTATCGTAATGTGTACCGTTCACTAATTATCAGCCTTATAGAAACCTATTACCCTTATTATTATACTGTTTCCAATTTTAATTTGGCAATTATACATTATACCCTTTATTACAGAATAGAATAATAGTTAGCATAAGAATAACATTAAATTACCATCCACTAGTATAACTTTTCTACAAAATCAGCATAACAAAGCCTTTTGATGGGGAAGGAACCAGGGGCAAGATCAAGCGCAATTACATGTTCTATAACACTAATTCGGGAATACTGTAGTATATTTATATTTGTAGTATATTCATACTGTAGTATTTTTCGACTTCACTCCTGTCTTTAGCATATTCTTAAATATAGACATTTTGTATTGCACTGAATATACAGTACTAGATAGCTTTACATTACAGTCTATTCCTACTATACTCAAATATAGCTTTTTTGTGCCTATGCAGTTTATATTACACTAGTTCATTGCCTGCCACCTTACTGTTGATCGATTGCTGGAGGTAATTTTGATATTTAATATTTGCATTAATTATAGACGTGGCAGCCATAACGTTAACGCTGATGTTTTATCGGATTACTTCTAGTGGTCTACATGAATATGTGGATAGTATTGGTTATGTTGTGTTTGAAGATTTTCGATATTATGTGTTATGGTCGTACTTATTAGCAGGGTCCTTAGTTTGGCATTTTTTGATCACTGAAACCCTTTTAGTGTTTGTTGACGTTAAATGATATACATTTACGGTTCTGGCATCAATATAATGTACTTACATATATTTTCAAAATTATATGATGGATTTCAATTTGCTTGGCTTACAGGTAAAAGTCTTCTCTCACTTGGGTTTAAACTAACTTCAGTCACATTTAACACGTACTAATTTTTACACTCTGGTAGTACAAATTAGTTATAGAATTTTTGCAATTTAAAGGTTAGGACAGAAATTAGATCATTAGTTTAGACAGTTTTATCTGGAGGGGCGGTAAACAATTATAAGGCAAATAGTACAAGTACATACAATACGCAAAGTATAACGAGCGGGGTTCTACTAGTTGATTCTAATTCTAAATACTGTAAAGGGACTTGCGGACAGACACATATGTTATACACACATACATATATGCGTATACTGCACATAGTTACATGATATTACAATTTCTGTTTCCTATATAATGTAAAGATGCAAATCATAGACGGTATTTACAAGTGGAATTTTTTCTTTTGCCTTGACAGATGATAAAATTAAGTTAACGGTATACGACAGAAGCTGAGCTCCGAATAGAATTTTATTATCAGCAATAATGCCTCTACATAACTTGCAGCTACACAGTTGTAATTGTATACAACGGCGTATAATGCAAATAACGGATAACATCAGCACAACGCATGCAGTTACATAACATGTAATAACAGTTCAGAATAATAAATTGAGGTCATTTTATAATTATTTTGCTGATCATCTCTTCCGTCTTTCTCTGTACAGAAGTTTACGATAACGTTACTGTTGCTTCATAGTATGATCATTAGTAGGATATTTGATATAATAATGCACTTTTTAGTATAAGAGTACGGCACTCAAAATTGCCATAAAAAAGTTCATTCCGAATTCAATCGAAGAAATTAAATGACTGGATTACTTATACATTTAAAATAATCAGCTTGCTAGTTAATGTACTCGGTAGAAATACAACGGTATAAAAGTAATTAGATATTATGTGACTGATGCAATTGAGTGAGTAGTCACCATAAAGGTGAAATCTATTATACTATCGTTCGATATCCAACTGCCAATCACAACAACTATAATATGTTATTAATAATCCTTTATATTTGAGTTTTATCATACAGTAGAATGCAGATTTAAATTACAATTATTTATGGTCCTAACCATCAAGTATTCAATTTACTCTATCTAAAATTAAGCATCGCCATCGTTATCATCAACATCATCGGAATCGGGTTGAGAATCGACGAAACTGTCTAGCATAGCTTTCACACGATCATCATCGGTACTGTCCTAAAATTGATATAAGACATAATAAAATAATGTCCATTTGTGCTCCACATACAGTTCATCGAAATAATACGGCAATATAATTTTGGACAACGTTCTTACCTCCGGTTTAGCAGTTTCATTTGTGTTTGTAAGTTGCATCTCCGATTGTTCGAGATCATCACATGTATCTGTTTGTTGGTTATTGATATTGAATCGAACACGCTTACTAACTGGTTCTGTATCTTTACTGGTAAAGTTTTTCCCAACACCGGCACCTTCATCAATACTATCCATATCTCTTTTTAGCGTTGGTATCTGATTTGTCAATGTATTCGGACTATCTTCCTGTTGTCTACTAGACATGGCTGCAACTTTTTCAACAGAGTTCATAGTAACCGTTTCACTAACATTTACGTTTGGAACTACAACACCCTTATCATCATTTTGCTGATCTTGCATAGCAATTTCACGACGCTGTATCGCGTTCGATGCCTGAAATGACATAACATGTTTATTGTCTTGGTCTTCAGTTGTTGACGAATCCTTAATGATTTCAAATTTATTACTGTTACTCGCTATCCCATTTCCATCATCGTTATCATCACTAAGATTTTTTACAACTTTTAGTTCATCCACAGTAGTAATAAACTGATTTGATAGAGCTAAATTCTTGTTATCTTTAAGTGTATCTCTAACTGTATTCAAGTGATTAAGACTGTTAACTTTATTGAATAGGTCTTGCCCACTAGTCAGGCTGCTATTAGTCGGTACAGTTGTTGGCAAAGTAGGTCTAGTGGTATGGATTAACATCGTACAAGTTGCCAGTGCTTCATAGCAAAATTTAATAATTTCTATATCGAAATCACGCTTTCCGTGGCTTAAAATCTGAATTGCATAACGTAGTATGGTCGGCATTTTACTACAACAGGATACTTGAACACATGATAATAAGCTACGATAAAGCTCTAATCGGCACGCTCCACTTGAATATGGTACAGGTATAGTATTACCAGACGATATAGTAGGATTGCAAGTGAATCCTTGCTGAATCTGCATCAGCGATTGAGTAATAAAGTTAGTGATCGTTTGGAATAACGTAGCGTCAATAGAAGAACCTAAACATATAATCATCGTCTGTAATAATTTCAAAGCTGCTGTACATATCTCCTGATTAAGAAAAGGATTTATCCTGTTGTCATTTCTAAAGTTAGAATTGATATCTTCATATTGATATTGTCGACCTTTTCGCTTCTTTTTACTTTGGCCAACTTTGGATTGACTTGAATTATTGGCAGTAGTGGAAGCTTGTAACTTTGTAGTATAAACATTAGGCTTCATATCATACATGATATGATGAATGAATTCATCAGTATATTGTAAAGTATCTGTTGATACAAGTAATAATAACTCAGACAGGACTTGATAAGTTAATTTTCGTAATGTTAAAAAGGGCTTTCGACAATCCTGAGGCCAATCTTGTTGTTGTGTTATCTCCAATACTTTGAGAAGAATTTTCGTTATAAGTGAATAATATGGTAGAAGATGGCAACGACTACTATGAATTAATGCAGATAATAAATGAATGGCATGGCAATGGAGTTTAGATATACAAGATAAAAGCAATGTTGTTTCAATGTTACGATGTTGATCTTGTTGAATATTGCGATGATTGACATTGATGATGTTGGAAATAATCTTGATCAACGTAGCAATGGGAATTGATACAGGATAGGCAAATTCTTGTTGTAATAGCAAGGTTAAACATGTACATCCAACCTGTACTTGATGTATTAAGGTATACGTACGATTGGGTTCATCCGTTGGCAATGGTTGCCATTGAATAGGTGATATCGATGCATTGGATGGTATTAAGACCATGCCTTCTCCTTTTAATTGATCGATATCTTTATATAATTGATGCCAATCCGATTGTAGTGTGGCGATTAATTCATTGCATAATTGATACCAATTTTCAATATGTTTACTCCCTGCATTTCCACTTCCACCGCATTTTGTTAATGCAATTAAATTTTGACATGCTAAAGGCCAAATTAGATCATGCTGATGTTGCATGCATTGAATAATCCATCTCCTTAACGGTTTATGATATTGTCCACATGCAGAAGAATAATGTTGCAACAATGTCGTCAATAGTGCTAAGAATGATCCATCGACCTGAGTGGAATCTAACTTAGTCATATACTGAACTAATGCAGATAAATGATGAGTTATAAATTGATTAGCAGTATCACTTACGCGTGCTATTCTAACTAGCAATTTCGCTATAGCTACATTGACTAATCGCTTGAAGTTGGGTCTCATCGATGCTATTTTCCCTTGCAGTAAATGCATCAACATTTTATACCATGATTTATAATAATCTTGATAAGCAGAGGATTGATCTTGTTTCAATAAAGCAATCATGATCGTTAAAGCATAAACCTTACTTGACCAAGATGATTGATTGAAAGTCTCCTCCAATTGCTTGATTAGATGTTGATCAGGTCTGCAATCATTATCACTTCGCTTGAATACTTGGAGACTATCGATGGAATCTATCCAATGCATGATATTCTCATCATCATGTCCCTTATCGATCATGGACAAGAGATAACTAGGTAATGAATTATCTTCCATCGTCTTTATCTATTGATGGCAATGTTGATGATTGATGATAGCTCAGATCGCAGCTAAGCACTCGTATGCAGCTTTGGTGGATGCACAGCCAGCAATAACTAGTTTAAAATCTCCAGCCAACCTGTAGCAGCAATCGTTAAAGCTGCAATAGCAAAACTCAATCGGCATGCTATCCAGCACTACATTTACTGTATAGCAGCCTATGGATTTGGTTTCTATACTGCCCATGGTAGGAAATCGGTGTCTGCCAGATCATTTATCTAGCACGTGTTGGATAGCGACTTTACACGTCTTATTTTGTTGGTTATTTTAACTCTTTTTTAGCTATAGGATTGGACACTACCCTGTCTAGCACTGCGCTCTTTCAAGTCGCTTCCAAGGTTGGTTGCATGCAGTATAGTGTACACTTTTAGTCTTTTGGTACTGTAAAGCGACTGCTAAAATAGTCAACTGGCACAACAACGGCCTTTGGCTAATGACATCTATTTTGCACAGTATGCTTTGACTGAAATCAGCCAAGGTGTCCAATTTTCCTCAATGATCACTGTCATGATACGCAAAGCATTGTCCGTGAGTTATATTGATTTATGATCGTATGGGAGTAGGTGGAAGAGGGTTCGATTTTAATTTTTTCCTCAAGTTTAGGAGTCATTTGAACCCTACTACTACTCTATATTTGCCCTTAAGATGCAAGTTCTACATAAAAACTAACTATACGTACTCCAATCTGCTCGTAAACATTGACAGCAACTCGAAATCTCTCTATTTTGGAGCTGTTATTCTTGATTTTGCATCATGTCTAGTGTCTGCATGCATCAATAGTAAATTGTATCAATGTGAGTCCTAGTCCTATACTAGTGTACAAGTATGTTCTTCTATCGATCACTGCAGCAAGGCTAATGGGCAGTAACTCTAGTTAGTATGTACTCTCTTTTTGCTCTCTATATCTCCTCAGATAAATTGGATTTACTTTTATAGCGAGCTCTTTTTCTATTAACTTCGTTTTGGCTACCCTCTTAGAACCAGGACTAATAGAGGACTTGGTGCAGTTTCACGTTGTTATGGCAACGCTTGCTTATTTCACGCCCAATTTCCAGTTATTCTGATAACATAATAGTCCAATTTGAATATTTTCCTGACGTTATTTCCCCTTATATATTGTGTATCCTAATATACTCTGTCATGCTAACCAGCTCAGAGTTGTGTCGATGTTGTAGAAATTGTAAAATAACTTGTCTACCATCGTATCGATCATTTCAACGCTGTAGTTATTGAATAAGAAATATGGACAATTCGAAACAAGAGTGAATCCTAATTGCTACTGATCAGCGATTTTAATCCACGAAAGAGGTAAGCATAAAGATCAGGATATCATTCGTGAACGTAGTAGTCATGGTTTGCTCATTATCCGTTTGTTATAAAGTTGTAACACAGTAATAGATTTGCAGTATTTCATCAGCTTAGAGTAAATCAATGATGCATATTATTTAAACAGTTATTTGATGGTTAAGGCGCAATAATCAACTTTAAATTAAAGCCTGTAAATATCATCATTCGGGTATTGCTGGTATATTTACTACAATGAATTCTGCTTTACTTTGTACATCATTATAATTTTTGATACTGTAAGTTACCTGCTAGATCGATCATTTGCCGCAGTAAAAATGTTACTGCTACAATTTCGATTGTAAAAGTACTATAGTAATATCATCAATAATAAAGATAGAATAGTAATCAAGCTTACATAAAACTCTTGACAATAATTTTATTACGAGTAAGATCTTGATTAATTTTATCGTCTCATATTTAAGCTAAAAGCAGGAAACATCGTCATGGAAGATATTAAGGATGAAATATTTCCTACCAATTATCCATTCGTTACCGTCCAGGATATATTGAATGAAAATTTCAACCAAGATTGCCAAAGCGTTCTGGACACGCTTTTGGCTAAATATCATAAGCCATTAGATCAAATCCACTCACAAGTCCGTGATGATTTAGCAAGAGAGCTTCGTCAACGAGAGGAAGAAGAAAAGAAAAAGATGATTGAAGAAGAGGCTAAAAATCATGTTGAAATACCTATTGGCAGTGATCGATGTATATGGAATCAAACTGAAATACAAACCATTCGACAACTATTGACAAAAACTCAACAAGAAAATATGAAAGCAGCTGCTCAAAATCAAGTCAATCAACAAGAAATCCGTCGCTTAAATGAAGTGGTTCAAAAACTACAGGATCAAATTCAAACTTATTCACAGTTAGCAACAGAAAATAAAAAAAATTACAAGAAAACTCGCATCAAGTGTGATCACTATAAAGAACAACTTTTACAGTATCATGAAAAGTTAAAATCACTAGCTTTAGAAATGAAACATTTAAAACCTAAATACTATCAAGCTGTGAAAGAAAATCAAGAATTAAAGCAAGGCTTACATCGTGTTACTATACAACGAGATCAACTAGCTGATTCATCAGATAGTCAACGAATTCAATTCCAGTTAGATTTAGATAGGAAAGAAGAATTATTACGTAAACTTCACGATGATAAAATGAAACTAGCCAATGATAGAATGGAAAAAATAAGATTAGAATTAGATCGTGAAAAAGATCAACATCAAGCTTGTCAAAAAGCCTTGGAATATCTACGAAATCATTTCCTAACTATGAAAACTACAGCCGATTAACTTATTGTACATTCACGTGTATGCAATGCAATAAGGAATTGCTACACTACCGCAACAAATGCCATCATAGATTAACTATCTTTATTTATACAGTAGTAATGATTTTCATCCTTAATTTTGAATGTAAATTTTGAAATGGTAATATTATGTAATTTAAATAAATACCGAAAAAATTTAGCCATTTACCAATGACCGTATGCACGTATACGTTTTGGTTGACTTTTTTTCCCAGTAATATCTTAAATAATTATAGTAATGTTGAAGTGTCTAAATACTATATCGACATTAAAGACACTTATTGGATGCTCGCAAATCTCATACAATGCGTAATCTAAAATAGAAGTGAATTACACCAATTTTCATCCATTTTCCTATAAAATAGAGACTTGTGATAAAAACCATTATTTCTTTATTGCTTAACATTCGAAGCCCTCAATACCAGTAACCCTTAAGTAATGGTGTGGATGTTATCATATTGTACAATATAAAATAGGAAGATACACCGTTTACACATGTTTTGAATTACAAAAAATGAAAATCAGTTCGTTAATGGCTATGCCAAAAGGATTATAATTAGGCATAAAAATTGAGATCTATAGGATAGGCTAAGTTCTGGCAATTCATACATACGTATATTTCAATTTACAGTCACCCACAGCAGATAGTGGCAACAGTTTCCGTTACAGTCGGTCGGCTTACAAACATGTATACAGAAACGGCTATATAAATATTTAACAGAAATGAAATCCTTTGATTTACAACTAAATGCACGGAATGGAGATTAATATAAACAACACATAGTAATGGAGATAAAACTGCTAACCAAATAATACGGCTCAATGTAAAAACGATTCTTTCGTCAAACAATTTACAAAATATTCAGCTAGAGCTTTACAATTTTCATATTTGCCTTACAATCTTATCCTTGATAATTTAAAGACATGATACGTATGAAAAACTTTGTTAGTTTTAACAAAGGGCATATTAGATTGGGATTAGATCGTTTAAAGATAGTTTCTACAACTTTTCAAATAGTATAATTACACATTAGGAAAGCTACATTTTAACAGTTTTTCTTAATAACTGATCGAGAAAATATCCTATTTCGCGGAAATGACTGTCAATATTAGGTAACAACAAAAGTTGCACGTTTTTCGCTGCAACAAAAATCAGTAGCGTTATAATTTCTGTTAAACTATGGTCTGATGTGAATCAGAGATATCTAAAATACTATTATCAGATGATATTAATGGATTTCTAGGGTCTCCAGTGGAATAATTACGTTTTCTTAAATCACGATTTAGGCTAGTATTCTCAGAGGCTAATCGATCTCCCAGCATTCTTGTTCTAGCCATTTTTTCAAGACTTAAATTCAAAATCTTTACCTAAATAGAACGTTATTTTAGTGTTGAGCCACTTTGCTCGAGATATTTTAATATTAGCCGTAGCGTGACGTAATCGTTCCAGAATACGTAACGATATTTCATAACACCGTATCATAAATCCATGAATTTTACCATTAATCATACCTTTTCCGTGGAATAAATACGTAAAATAATATCTGGCAGAAGACTAACAAGAATTAGTAAAAATGTCTTAAACCAAACTGCAGGCGTAGCTACCAACTTTAGAAATATCCAAAATAAATCAGAACTACCATTGCGGAAAGTTGGCCTAAAGTAGCCAATATTAATGATAATAAATCAAAAAATAAAAATTAATGACTTTAACATTGGCAGACAGTGATACTTTATCATCGAATGTTATTATTTACCAATAAATTCCGCAATAAAATAGCGTAAATAAATAATAAGACAAAATGGATATCCATATAGCAAAGTGATTAACCCATGTCCAATGTTCAGTGTGCAAAGCAAGCTAAACATAAAATAATAAAACGATTGATGGCATTGCTATTATAATAGTTGTTATAAATCACAAAATTAGTTTTAGGTAGCATTATCCCAGAAGTCATAAGCATACCTTCAGATTGGTGACTACCACAGTCATTGTATAAATCATTGTTCCAAAACACCAAAGATCAAATGTCTACAATAAAAATAAAGGGACTAGTTGTATTAGCTTATTCAACATAAAAATCATAACCACATACTCAAAATTAAATACAGTACAGGTATTCCTACCTTGCCATCTGCCGATAAAACACCTTCTTGTTCAGCAAATAAAAAGTAGACACCGAAAAAGAAGACTAATGAATGCCAATAGCCTAAAATGACGTAATTTGGCAAAGTACAATAGATAAGGTTATTGATTTAGTTGATTTCACCAGATATGATATCAAAATAAATATCTATTAACCTAGAAGAACCCAACAAGCAAATTCCTTCATAGTCATATATTTATTCCTGGCAAGCATTTTATATAACGAAGGATTCCGCAATAGATGATGTTCATTGAAATCTTGTTCAAATACTCCAAAGATTAGGATAGGTAGCGACGTAAAAGCCAGGTTGAAAAACATGAGGAAAATACTGTCGTACATCGACTGAAATATTTAATATTTAAAGAATTTAATACTTACAAGGTATTGATCTTCAAATTGTATTACTGATAAAATGCAACTATATACCCATATTATGTTAGATCTACCTGCGCTGAAAATCCGGAAAAGAATGCGAAATAAAATTCTGGAGTTATGAACGCGGCGTTCTGTCATTAGATAGAAATAGAAGTGTAATTATTTATTTCTATCGCTACCATTGACGGTAATTTGCAATTAAAGTACGAATAGAATGAACAAGCTTTGTACATACTTTATAGAAAAAGTATTGAACTAAGGTTGCGATACGAATATAGTACCAGTGACCATGAACAAGTAATAAACGCTTTAAGTATTTAAACTTGGCGATTGCATAATCGCTGCATTGCGTAGCTTGACGGCCTTCTTTACCCATGATACCAACTCCGACATGAGCTTCCTGGATCATACTACAATCGTTCGCTCCATCACCAATAGCAAGCGTTGTTGGGTGATGGCCATTTTCTTTTACCATTCGTACAATCTAGAAATTACAAGCACAAATTAGTCTGCTTATTTACTTGTTTATATAAGCTAGAACTAGAGTCATAATTTAGAAATTAAAGTCAACTCATACTTTAGCTTTCTGTAGCGGTGACATACGACAGCATAATACAGCTTCGCAATGTTTCGTAACACTAAGCAGTAGATCTATGAAGAAACAAAACGCCATTAACAAATGCCTAATCAAGAATTAGTAGAACAAGATATGCTTATGACCTACCTTGACAACTGCTCAACGCAAATGATAGACTCATTCCGTTAATAACAAGTGCGAACTTAGTTCCACCTGGGCTTCCATCAATTCTGATTGAAATAGACACGTAAGTTAATTAGATCAGTAACGCATGATGTATTAAAATAGTTGAGCTCAATACATTAGCTAATGACTGCATTTGGAATGTAAGATAATAAATTTAGCCGCGAAACAGTTTCGATAGATTCTATCGAAATAATGACGTACTTGACTTTGACATCTTGCAATAGTGACGAGCATTCCACGTTATTGTTAGCATTTACAGTCATGATTTCCATGCCAGTCTATAATATTTCAAGCGAAAATGTTTAGATATTACCAGTACGTTGCTATGGTAATTTAAAATGAAATTTTAGATGATTGTAGAAAACATACACTAAAGTGTCCACAGGAATGGCTAATATTAACAGCAGTTTCCTGTTTGTCACCGGTCAGAACCCACACCTGAAATAATTGTAAACCCGAATTATGTTATCATTTTATTAAATTAAGTTTTTATCTGACAGAGTGATCACTCTTACGTGTATTTACTTTTAAAGTAAAACGTAATGTGCGACAAACCTTAATTCCAGCTTCGCGTAACGACTCTAGGGTTTCAGTAACGCATTCCTGTAGCTTATCTTCCACAGCCGTTGCTCCAATAATTGTTAAATCTCTCTCAACATAATCATATGCACTAGCAAGCTATGATATATAATCGTAATGAACAATACTCAATATTTTCAATGTTAACAAGAAATAAGCGTTTACATTAGCTGACTTTACTAAAGGTTTCAATACATTACCTTTGCATCTCTATCGCCAATAGCGGTTTTAGCTTCATGAAGCTGTTTAATAATAGAAAAAATTCCATTCCATAAGATAATCGACTCAATTTAATAAAATCATCATGCATACATTTAATACGTTATAGATGATCATATAATATTTTCTCACCTTTTCATTCATCATTTCATAATCTGCAACTGACAACCGACGAAAGGCAATAACAAGGGTCCTTAATCCATGCTGTTTAAGGTAGAACATCCGATTACAATAAGCTAATCAATACGAGTATATGATTTCCAGTCATTATGAAGCATTGTTATTTAATAACCTTTGCGTAATAGTTTACGTCGTTATTAGTGTGAGTAATAGCGCCATCTTTCGCCCGACTTAATACAGAAGATTCAGCGCCCTTGCAAATCAAAATAGTATTACCTACAGAAAGGCGAGTAAATTTGTCACATAGCTGTTATAAAAGTAATAAAAGTACTCTGTATATTATTACAAAGGCAATAAATTTTACCCGATGGATCTTTGACGATAACGCTCATTCTTTTACGATCAGAATCAAACTCAAGAACGTGTAAAATTTTGAACCTACATTACGAATATGAAGCGTAGCACTCACTTTATGACAGATTCTTATTTAAAATATATTAAAGAAGCAAAGATGTTTATAATGAAACCTTTGTAATTTCCCATGTACCAAAACGACATGAGCGTTATCAACACAATCACGAAAGCTAACACCAAATCTGCCAAACAAACGAAATAAACATGTCAGGATTTATTTAATTATTTTCAGTTTCTACCACCAGGATATTTGCATAATATCTAAACCATATGAGAATCATCATATAAAATAATTACTTTGAAGCGGCTTCAACGAGAGCTTTTTCATCCGGTGATGAAGCCTACAAGTCAAATAGGTCATTTATTATTGGAGTACAAGATAGGACTGCCAAATGTACAAGTATCATTTTAGAGCAAATTTAATTATTCTTACCTGATATACAATACTATCTGTTGAAGCTTCATGTTCTGTTTTGACAGTGTGACACACTGCTAGAGCAATGAGAAATTGCTGCAGTGAATCCTATAATGGGATATAAAATTGATTCCATGGGTAATAATATCTATTTTATTATAACGCCGCTCGTAGTAAGATATATTGCTAACCGATGAATCTTCCAAACTTTCATAGTTTTGATCCAATAAAAGCTGCAAGTTGCCATCAATTTCCTAGTCAATGTGTAAATTGCGATCAAAAATTATTTAATAAAAGAAAAATTTAAACATAATCGTGTACTTTAATGTTATAACTAACCTTATATCGTTTTCCATATATTGAACACTGCCGAAATTGCATATCATTCTGTGTTAGAGTTCCTGTCTTGTCGCTAAACAAGTATTCAATCTATATACGCGTGGAATAGATGACAAGAGCGCATCAAGAATGTGCGTCGGCGGGAAATTTTTACATCAAGATTACGCTGATAATACTAATTTGGGTAGATGTGCGGTAACTAATTTTGAAATTTAAATACCATGTACTATAGTTATAGCAAATAATACCTGTCCAAGTTCTTCATTTAAATCTGAAGTATTTGCTTTTGCAACTTCATCCATTTTCTATAATAAGTCATCCGATTTAAATTATAATTAGCTTGAAATTATAAGAGAGCCAGGTCTATTGAAAGGTAAAAGTAGATTGTGATCATCCTATCGTAGGCTATCCAAGTGCTTACCGAATCGTACATTTTTATATCCCAGCCAATAAACATGGCTCCGAAAAATTTCTGTAATTCTGAAGATAGAAATCTTCCTTTAATTTATCGTACGTTCAACATTGAATACATTCTATCAATACGCTCAATGTAAGGGTAAAATTACCACATACCAATTGTGACATAAAGTGAAATTGGTATAATATAATTAAATAAGACTAAAAATGAGAGGAAAATGTTGATTATTCCAGAAGCCTACAAAAAAGTTTAAAACATAGCATTAGTTTAAAAGTAGTCATTCCATAATGATTCGATAATTCAGCTCACTTCTGTCGCGCGAGATATGCCCATATATGCTGGCAATTCTAGTCTTTGCCATACAGTACTAGCAATACCACAGAATATTACTTGAATAACTAGCAAAACCATAAAGACGGCCAAGAATTTATTCAATGCTCTAGAATAGTGTCATGATATAAATTATTACATCAGCTTATTTTATTAGGCAACATCAACTTTGAATGTTTGTGTTTTATGGAATCGACTAACTTTTCAACAGCTGAAAATTTGTGTTTCTTTTGCTGTTGGTTTAGAGCAACCTGTTTAATGAGAACCAGTGTTAGATAGGGTAATAAGCTAGAATCATACTTTTTAAATTCATAGCAAAAAATTAATTCGATTGCTATCACTTCTGACCTTAGTATCAACACCCGTATACACCGCCATTCCAAAAATATAATCAGTGTTTCGCAACCGCGCACCACGTAGTAGTAAATTATCCGAGCATAGCGATCTACAGGAAGTAAGATATATACGTATAACTATATTGAAATCAATTGATAAATAATTATAAGTGAACAAATAACAATATGTTTGGTTCTTACAATGGATAGATAAAAACATATTCTATTATTAGCATACCGACACATAGGCGTTGAAGAGTCGGAATAAACATTCATGCGGCCATCAAATCTATTTTCAAGTAGGAGTTGAAAAGAGTATAGTTAGTGTAAAGGGTAAAATAATGATCAACGATGATTTATTAGTCAGTGCCGAAATCGGCAGAATGTATTACTTGTAGAGATCAGGTGTCGGGAGTTGGCAGTCTACATCAATATCGAGTGATGAAGAAGTTATATCTTCACAGCTTCGCCATGCTACAGTATCTGATAATGCTAATCGTGGCTTTAAATTTGTTTCGCCATCGAGGTTCATGGTCATGATGTAACAACTGCCATCCACTTCGCTTGAAGATAAGAGTACAAGGTCGCAAGGTAGTTCTTGTTCGTTAGAAACTCGAACTACATCTCCCACCTTTAATTTTTGTAAAAAAAAATGCATTCATTGTTTTTACACTAGCATCATTTCAATTCTCGTCTAGTTTTGATTGATTGCTTACAGCAACATTTCGTGATGGAACGCCTTTCAGAGTGCCATCACGAACAACTTCGATTGATCGATTATTGACTTTGTTATCAGATTTATGTCTTAACCAATCTTCGTAGGCCTATTAAATAGGAATAACATTGAGAGGAATGTTATTTTATTCCGATAGAAGTCAGTATTGATTTGGTGTAAGGAAGTCAATTATCTATCGGTGAGATTTATCAGAAATAGTACCAAATATATTTATAATGATTACAAGATACAGTCTCTATTTTTTCCAAATGTCTTAGAAATTACAACTGGATTGTGATTTCCATACTTAGAATAATTACCTGTTTAATAGCAGTGATGGTAACGACGAAGAGTAATGGTGCTACGCTGGTTACTGGACTAACAGGGGAATTTCTTAATGAAAGCTAACCAGAAGATTTGTTTATAGGAGTTAGGATGAGTAGAATAGAAGTAATAACTGCATGGCAATTAGAATGATTCCAATCTACTGGATTAAAATGAAGAAATAATATATACTAGAAGTCTTCATAAAATAAATTGCTTTACCTGCACTACGGCAATGCAAAGAAAGTAAAAGTTTGCGATTCGGCCAAATTGTTCGAAAAGATTTTTTGGTATAAAATTCCAAATAGTATACTAAGAAAATGATCAATTGAAATCCGTTATCCGATAAAATAGCTGGAAGAAACTAATATTAACATGAGTGAACATGGATCCAATGGTGGTCTTACCCTAGAAGTGACAATAGTATTGTCAGGAAACTTTTCTTCAGTTAAAATAGTCTTGGTAGTAACGCCGCTGTGTGATCTTAAATATCCAGTCGTATCAGTTTGATCGATAACAACAGCCGATTCTTTCGGGCGACGACTTTTACCAAATAGGTGGACAGTGCGCCATTGCTTGGCATTATTTTTGCCACCTTTATTTCTCCTTCCTAAATTCTAAACATTACAAATAGATATGCATAAAGATGAGTTATTCACCAAGTGAGTTTGTTGTCGAAGTCTTGATATATGCAAGATATTTTTACCAAAATGTATCCTATCGCTCTACTCAACATTCTCTGTCACATAGCATATATCCTTATTAATACTACTCTAGTGTCGTAACAGTATTTACGTTGTGAAATTGTTCTAGCCTCGTCTCAGAAGGATCAGAAATAAAAAATGTCTGTATAAAGTTAGTCATGAGGAAATTGAAAATGAGATAGCAGATAGAATGTAAGACTACTACCCTTGCAAATTCTGGATGCCTTACGATAGCATAACATCAAAAAGCTTTAGTACGATAAAGCTTAACATGATTCAATCATTATTAATGAAATCGTTATGTGTAGGAAATGCTATTGCTGTTGAAGAAGTTAAACGATCAACGCTTTCGATGCTGACGATTATCTTGATAGAACGTGTCAGATAATGTGAAATTGTCGATTTTTATACCCATTTATAGCACAATTTCATGCCCATGTAGGGCTGAGATTATTGTTGATATTCTTATTTATCCTACTTATCATATTTACTTTTTTCAATAGCAAAAGAGGACGATAGAGATCAAGTTGTCCAATAACGAATATTATATCCAGACTGATTAGTAAAGGGTAGTTTCCTTTTAGTTATTCATTATACTTGTATCATTTTCAGTCATTTTACCGTAGCTTCTATCAACCTTTCCATGCTTTGAACTTGAACGATTGCACCTTACTGTACTTTCAATCAAGGTATCCATGTCCATTCTCCTGTCCTATACAACAATCTATCTTCAAATATAATTTTACTACCAATCGCTTTGATCCCAATGGCTTTGTAGTGATTTGAAATACCATTACTCGACCTTCTTCTGATTAAATATAGCGATTTGATCAATAGTCATAATGACTGCATTTGTTACTTCTTCAACGTTAACATTTGCTACGATATTGCCTGCCATTAATTGTTTTATAATTAGTTCTACAAGACTGTACTGGAAATTACTGTATTTATTAAATTATCGATCGTTATTCTAAGTCGTTATTACGGTTTTACTCTCCCAAAAAGTCTAAATAATGTTAAAATAGCTATTCCTTAATATACGCGTATCTCGTAGGATATAAAAAGGAGCGATTGGCATTTCAAGCAGTTACATATTATGCTTTGCTACCCAATTTGTTCCGATCGTATTGAACAAACTCCTATTCAAATAACTCTTAAATAAGACGTTTATAAAATTGCTCTATTCCATTCTCGTCTTCTCTCAGCATTCATCAGCGGATTAGTCAGCTTCTATCGACTGGTATTCTTACCAGTTGTACGTATACTATGATTTTACGACAAAGTTTGTTGCAATTAGCACTGCACAAACTGTTGTTAAAATGGCCATTGATATTGAATAAGTTAAATAGATGTTTACACATAGATTAATTTAATTCTCATCGTGGCTTTATCTGTACTTTCTCAGTAATCATCAGCGGATTAGTCAGCTTCTATCGACTGATATTCTTAGCCGTTGTACGTATACTCTAATTTTGCCACACAGTTTGTTGCAATTAGCACTGGACACACGGTTGTTCAAATGGCTATAAATTTACAAAGTTAAGAAGATGTTTACAAATAGATTAATTTTCATTGTGGTTTTACAGTTAGTTATCTGTACTTTCTCAGTAATCATCAGCGCATTAGTCAGCTTCTGTCGGCTGCCATTCTTAGCAGTTACACACAATGATTTTACTGTAAAGTTTGTTGCAATTTGCACTGCATAAACTGTTGCTATCATGGCCATTCATAAGTTCACAAGATGATTACAAAATTGCTTCATTCCATCCTCGTCTTCTCTCAGTATTCATCAAAGCATTAATCAGCTTCTATCGACCGGCATTCTTCGCAGTTGTACGTATACTATGATTTTGCTACAAAGTTTGTTCCAATTGGCACACCCTGGCGTTAAAATGGCCATCCAGAAGATGTTTACAACTGGATTAATTCAATTCTCGCCATGGCTCTACAGTTATCGTGTACTCTCACAAATAATCATCGGAAGAATCATTAACACACTTGTCCGTTTCTATCGACTAGCATTTTAAGTAATGGCGTCGAATGGTTCTACTACAAAGTTTGTTTCAATAGGAACAACTTGAGCAGTTGTTAAAATGACTATGGATAACTTGTTTAGTACAAAATGAATTCGATTATGAGCGAGATTGGCCGTTAATCATTCCATTCTCATCGTTCATCATCATCATCATCATCGCTTTAGTCAGTTCCTATCGACTGGCGTTGTAAGTAGTTCCATATCACCGTTGGCCTACTACGTTTATTTGGATAGAAACTCCATAATAATATTGTTGTTCAAATGGCCATCAAGACGATGTTGACAAATGGATTAAATTCAATTGGAGTCAAGACGCAAGAATGATCGGTCCTAACGTAATCATTATCCACAAATTAGGCAACTACGGTTGACAATCATTGCCAGCAATTATGATAGTCTTGCTACAAAGTTAACTCTGATTGCCATGACATAAACTACAGCTTTATCGACGATCATGAGAGCCATGTTTACAAAAGTGATTAATCGACTGATATAAATGAATTAATTAGTAGTTTCGCACTGTACTGTAAACGGCTTCGTAGCCATCGTCAATACGTTTACCATCATTATCATTAGCCAATGGATCACGTCTTGACAAGCAGAAAATGCCTTCCAGTTTAGTATTTTGAAACGTTTTGAACTTGGCTATTATACTGTAAAGTAGTAGTAGTAGAGTGTTTTATCCTTTCAATATTAATTAACAATTTCGCCATGACAGTATACGGTATCGTAGTCATCGTCAATATGTTTATCATCATCAGTAAATTGATCACGTCTTGACTAGTCAAAAGTGCCTTCCTGTTTAGTATTTTGAAACGTTTTAAACTTGGCTATGATGAGACTAGAGAATTTTATCCATTCGTATTCTACCTTGTTCACTTTTCAATTTGCATCGATTATACTGTAGAACAAGAGAGTTTTATCCATTTCTATTCTACCTTGTTCACTATTCAATTTGCATAAGAAAATTGATTTTTTATCATTCCTTGGGAAACATCGACTAGCTATCGACTACGACTTGCTATTTTCAGTGTCGAAAGTATGGATTAACCATGCCATTGACATGTACGATTAATAGCCATGTTGCGATTTACGATGACCCATTTTATCGACTCCTTGTACTGATATTTGAACACAATCCAAATCTAGAAAGCTCCCTTCACATCTTTTACTTTTCGCAATGTGAAACCATGTCAATATTCCAATGTTGAAAGTTATGTTGATCGGTATAACAGAAAATAAATCAATTTTAATATGAAACTAGAATGAACGAGAAATAAAAGAGTGGACAGTATCGCTATGACAGGAGTTTAGTCCATTGCTGGAATTGTATTATTCTACAGGAAGAGTAAGTGTATATATCGATGTTGTAGCCATGTTGAAGTCGATACGAGCTGGAGCTTGATGGCATCGACGTACATGATTCTAAACTACTGTCGATAAGAATCCTAAACATATGGACATGACTACAACCTAGAACCTTCCTATCATTGTGCCAGGTGCTATGATTGTAGATGAGCATAAGCTATAGCCTGCAATATTCAGGTAGCAACATCGTCCATCAGCATCACTCCGATGCCAATCATTGCAATTTGGTTCCGTATGGATATTGCCCCATTAAAGTAAGCTACCGTCTAGATAGTCATGTCCATCATAATCATCCTATCTGATGGAACGACCCTGCGACTCTCCAATTTTCTCTTCAAAGTCTTGAACTACCATCAAGTCATATAGGATAACTGCTAATTCAATCATAACGTTGCCTATCAATGTTGTTTTCTTCTGCCAGTAGATACGACTGATGTAAACACGATGATGGTAAAGACAACATTGCTGGCTGATTTTGGATGAACTTGGAGAAATGAATTCAACTACACGATTACTACCTGCTCTATCACGTCGTTATGTATCCTGCTCTATCACCTCGTTATGTATCCTACTGTAGCCTTGTCTCGATCACCATGCAAGCAGAATACTGTGGTAGGATAAAAGCATCTCTCATCATCACTTTGCACTACCGTCTTGGCTTCTGCGATTATCCTTTCTCAACGTCCATCTCAACCTCCAAATTATCCCTTAATAATGACACATTGAATCCTCTTCTAATCGTAACTGATGCTCCTCTACGTTATCAACGTCCATCGCAGCCTTAAAATGACAGACTACAACACAATTTATGATATGCCTTACCATCATAGGAACAGTATCGCAGTTTGAATTTTTCCTTCTCTCTTGGACCAAGGTGATTGGAAATGAAATGGACCAACAATGACAATTGCTGCTGCTGCTGCTATACGATGTCTCTTAGTGTTTACCGTGGCGTAGAGACAAAGATCAACGATAACGAAGAGATACAGAATACAGTTAACAATCTCCAATAATCTCCCTTGCAAATCAATGCCAAATAGAGCCTAAATTGCAATTAATCTTGCTGGCTAGCTGCAGCTATTGGGTAGCCATGATGGACGAGCAGATGTAGAAGGACCGGTTGGCCTGGTTGTGAACGACCAGGGTGAGCGGTGTGGGTTAGGGTAGCCACTATAATGGATGGAGATTGTCCAGTCAATTCTAGACAAGCGATGGTAGTAAGAGGAATTGTATAGGGCTTAATAGACTGTTTTAAACAGTCTATTGAGCACCGAGCGAGTGTCACCATCACATTGTGACGTATGGCTGACCCCGGGTTTGAAACATTGCGCGTCAACCGTGGTCAGGTGAGAGTCATAGCGGCTGCATGAACTGCCAGGATGACCACGCAAATCGCGCTCTCCGTTCTATACATCAGACTAGTGATGAGCCATTGCCATGTTTACCTATGAGATCAAGCCAAGTCAAGCGCTATTTTCGAGCGATTACGTCAGGCCTTGTTTGTAAGTGGACTATCGCTATAGAGTGTATCCAAGATGACAACAAAATACAGCTTTTTGTATCGATCAGTAGCGTGCGTCTGTGAGTCATCGACACCAACCGGTGGCCATTCCACGCCTGCGTATTGCCCACCTGTCGCCTCCTTAGCAACTGTACCATACCATACCTAAACAGTAGTAGTGTATCACTAGTGATGATGTAGTCTTATTCATACAGACATGACTCAAAAGTTATTTTTAGACACAAGCGTCATAGGCAAGCGATGTGTCAATCTACGCAAGCCCAAAACGCATGTACCCTACTCGATACTGGATACTGGTGTCTTAACGACAACATCATACACTCTACTCTATCAGTATCACAAGGCATCGGCGTCCATACTGTTGTCAGTCCGTGCTCACGTTGGCATCATGTGACCGATGGCCGGCCGACGACCACCCTCCCGGTGACTGAGTCTTGGATCGAGATCGATAGTAGCAGTTGATCAACCCACTCATTCAGCTGTCCTCTACCTAGGTACCAGTATGCCCTATGGATTGACTAGCGTATTGGAGTGAAATCGAGCGGAAAAGTGGGTGTCAACTTGCCCACCGTCACGCTAACGCTTCAGTTCCATACACCACGTCACAAGCGTGGTTGTAGTATGGCTGGACGTGGTGGCGCCTTGCGTCATCTACTCTGACCATGTCTATTTAAGCCCGCCCCCATCCTCACCCATGGGCAAGGTTAGCATTTAAGCTTGTGCATCAACATCCATTTCCAATTTGTGCTCCTCATCAAGGCATTGGCACATTCCAGTTCTTGAATTATTAGTCACTAATTGCTTGCTATTTGCCAACGATATTGTCGCTAAGAGCATCAGGTTGATATTGACAGTCGCTAATAAGGGAATTACGACAGCAGTAGAAGGTGATATTGGCTGAACGTTTCGTCATCTTCTAGACAAGGGCTTTGCAAAGGAACAAGGAGATCTTCTCTATTTGGTGGTTCTCGCTTTTGCCCAATTCATCTTCAGTGAGATTGCTAGAAAGCATTGATTACTGTGGTCTTAATATGGTGTATATTTTAGACGGTCAGGTCTTGCAGGATGATGATCCACGCGTACAACAGCGGAAAAGAAGTAGCGAACAACCACGCCAAGCCAATCCCAACTACCGTTCCAATATAGCTGCAGCCAGTGGTCGCCATGCTAATCGTGTTCGACCTCAAGCCACACAAGGTGTTGTCGGCCAAATCAATCAGCAATTAACATCATTTGGTATACCTCAATTTACTATTGCTAATCGAGTTGTTGAACCGATCGCTTTAGTAGGTGGTCTCATCTTGCTGATGGTATTTGGAGTCCGTGGTTTACTCCTGGGTGGTGTACTGTGGTTTGTTACACAACCCAATCCAAATAGTTAATTTCAAACTAGCAAACAAACTCCAACCACTCTGCATGGGAACTCATCGATCCTCTTTACCCTTTCTCATCCAATTCTTTCATCATCGTCCACTCCGTAGAGGATAAAATAAACGACTTGATCTTACTAGTTTAATACATTACAAATGAATAATAAAATCATTATGCTGAATGGCGATTGCATCATGGTGATGCCATTTAAGGTGCATGCAATGTTGTCGAATGGCATCGCATGGCGATAGACATGATCAATTGATCATTCCGACTTGCCTTCATTTCTCCATCAACTATCCACAGTATCTCTTTCGCTTCAACAACAAGCATCAACTACAGCAGTTAGAATAAGATCAAGCTCTAGACCGTATCTCTTATTGGCTAGATTGCCAACTTAATCTTATCATATCTCTTTAATTAAACAAACATTGAAAATGAATTCACTCGAACTAACTTCTACAAATTAATACAATTTTACATGATCGTATAACCGAGCTATTTATTGTACTTCTTAGTTGCTGTAAAACACTATTGAACTAAGGTTCTATTGCAACCTTAGCGTGGATAAACTTGCTTCATTCTGTATAGAGCCATAGCAATATTGTACGTTTCGTGATGCATTCATCGGCTATGCCATACCTGACAAAAATAATATAGTATTGCGGATATTAAACTTTATATTTTGTTTGTAATTACTCGATCTATTTTCCATCCTCTAGACGTATGCCAACAAATGATATATAGGGTTTAATATTCGCATTCAAGATCATCTATCTTGAACTGAAACTGTTATTCCCAAGTACTGAAGCTGCTGCATCCTGTATTGCGGTTATGTCAATGATTTTGCACTCCTAAGCCAAATTGAAGCTATAGACTCAAGTACAGAGCTTCAAAAGTCATTACGGGTAATCACTTTATCTATCTCTGTGCAAATCCAAACCCCCCCCCCCAAAAAATGACGTAAAATAAAGTAAATTGGTTTGAAGAATGACTACGATCTAACTGTAATATAGCACATAAAAAGGTTATATATACGCACATATATATATATATATTCTAATTCATTCTTGTACGTATCTAATAGTAAAATACAATCCTGTACCAAATTTGAAAATGGTAATAAAAGTCTATATTGAATCACTAAATTGAATGTGTCCCACTTTTTCCCCTGGCCTTGGTAATATGGCACATGAAAAGGGTATATATATATATATATATATATATATTCTAATTCATTCTTGTACGTATCTAATAGTAAGATACAAGTCCTATACCAAATTTTTAAAAATGCCAATAAAAGTCTATATTGAATGACTAAACTGAACGTATCCACTTTTTCTCCTGGCTTTGCATGAAGATAGTCAATGGACGTCATCAATCTAAATACGTGTCAAAGCTTGTTTAATAACTTTTGAAGCGGCTGTAAAAGTAGACATGATAATGTAATCATACGTAAACACTTTTATTATTGATTTGACTAGAAAAGTAACAATAGTCTCAAATCAGCATGATGCCAGCGCCTGAATAGACTTGATCATAACAGGATAACCGCAGGACATTACTACATACTATCTTTAGCAATTTTTCCCTCATTACTCGTATTGATGAAGTAAAATATTAAGCTGTACATTGAGTAGGTTAGATTGATATTGTGTAATCTATAGTACTGTAGTTAGTAATTTTCCAATGGCATAACGTCCAAATGAATAAACTAAATGATTGAAAGTAATTGCCTCATTCCCGTAGAAATCGTCATATCAATGTTAAGCCGTCAGTAGAGGCATGCATCTAAAATAGCTTTGGTATAGAGATTGGAGAATAAATTAATGATAACATATTGCATGATTGTTTTTACCCTTCTTAATCAAAAATTGGAAATATTAAATTACTGAATGTAGGATAAGACGTTAATATCCGATTGAGAGAAATCTATTTTAGTGAATTTACTTTTAGCTAGTCCTATCAGGATGGCATGAATCCAACTGCGGTAGGATGTTGTAATACATCTAAAGGGAGTAGTATAGAATACCTAAGCCTTTCCATCTGTTCTTTTAGCATACTTGATTAGCATCTAGCCAAGTACGGAAAGAATAAGTGATTACATTAAGTAATTCAATTTCTAATAATCAGGAATAGAGGTTACGGTAAAACTTTCTATGTACCATAAATGACGTAATCAGGTCCTCTAATTTTATAATCCGGGGATGTAAGAGTACAGTATTGATAAAGTTATTCGATAGGAAATAAATGATGGAATGTAGCTATATAATTTTATAGTCTATCAAGTCTAAGATAGAGATGACTAATACTCGTGTGTCGAATTCTTCTTTGCGTTCTGAAAATCCTCTAATTTTATAATCGCGGGAGTTCAGGATTGATAAAGTTATTCGATAGGAAATAAAAGATAGAATGTAGCTATATAATTTTATAGTCTATCAAGTCTAAGATAGAGATGACTAATACTCGTATGTCAAATTCCTCTTTACGCTCTGAAAATCCTCTAATTTTATAATCGCTGGTGTTCAAGATTGATAAAGTTGTTCGATAGGAAATAAACGATAGAATGTAGCTATATCGTTTCGTAATTTAATCATCAGAGAGTGTAAGGCACAGTACTAATATTAAGTTATACCCGCATTAAGATAATCTAGCTGTGGACTTTCTTTTCATTCACTGCTTTGTGCAGATTATATTCCCGTTCATTTAAACGGGTAATTTACTAGGATATTTAATTCCTCTTTGTGCTCTAAAAATAAGTCCGCTTTTGTCCCCGTGTGGAGATGTCTAAACAATCGATAATTTCACCTATTATCCAAACAGTTGTTCCTCCTATTTATCGGTTATCATTTAGTGATTAAATGAGCAATATAGTTAATCTAAGCTTGCCGTTAAATCTTTAATTTAAGATTCTGAAATTGGCTACAACATATAGGACGGCAGCTTACTGTAACACAATAACACCATACGCGTAGATTTATGTATTAAATCATCGGTAAACAGCACAATGATTGCTATAAAAATACCCTGAAATCTTAGGTGATGTAATAGGTTTATTTATAGCTCTGTATTAGGACGTTATAAATCATCCTATTTTACTGATTTTTAACGATAGATTATAGTCTATAAAAGGCAATCGCATTCATTCGAGGCTCTTAATTCGAGATACATCCCGGACAAGCCCGAAATAATCATTTTTGCAAGCTAGATAATAATGCTGGTAGATACTTGTACGTTATGAGTACGCACTGGTATTAGTTGGTTTCTGGCATACCAAAGCAAAACGAATGATAAGTAGATTATGGCCTGATTTAATCCTAGATGAATTAGCTATTAAAACATACTTCATCTATAAGAAATGATGATATACTTTCACGTTCTTAAATTCATTATTCGATGCTATGATTTTTTTGGACCATATTTATGATATATGTTATAGTTTTAGACCAGTAAGATAAGAACTTAATATATGTAACAAATTTAGATTGATAGTAAATAGTTTGTACTGTATATCAGTATGATAAGAACTTTATACCATTCGCAAATCAAATTCAAAATCGCAGCAGTATCTTGCCAAATCATAACTTTAGACAAACCTCGGAAAGAGGTTAGTTTCAAGAAGGCTACACTATGATAATATTTCGTTCAGTTTTCTTTGCGGTACTTGTACTATCAATGATTAGAATTGTAATTGACTTTGCATTCTTACATCTGCAAATGGATGCTATGATAGCCTGGATTATATCCAAGATAAATGTTTTAAATATATCTATATTTCAATAAGATAAAAAGTTTTATACCGTTATTATACTTCTACAGCTCCGACTATTAGTAAATAGCAAAGATCAGAATTTAATACAAGTAGCAAATCAAATTCATAATCGTAGTAATTTTCTTATTAATACGTAATATTAGATTTGGAAAGAACTTTGGTATAGAATTGATTTTAAATGGCTACGGTAGTGTATGATAGAATAAGAGTTTGTACGGCTTCAATGAGCTACGTTATCGATAACCAGTACCATGTTGTACAAGTAATTTCTTATATTTATCATTCTGTACTGTGATAGCAGTTATCGTACGCTCGATTAAGGATAATTATTTTTAATTGACACAACTGGAAGATTAGATTTTATACCGGCAACAAACTAAACTCAAAATCGTAGTTACTTCTATCTAATCATGATACACATGTACTATTTTATATTTACCATTCGATACTATGATAGAATTTATTCTGTACTCATACTTAGGGTAACCATTTTAATTTACGCAACGCAGAGATTCGATACTACGATAATATTTCTTACGTTTAAACTGAATACTTCAATTCGAATATCAGTAAAAGCAGCACTTTACACTTATAGCAAATCATACTCAAAATCTTAATCATTTCTTATTGTTACTTTTTGGCATTTGGAATAACTCTCAGTAAACTATGTACAATTAACGGTTTAAAGTAAACGCATCGGCAGTTCATGCAAAATATGCATAGAAAGTCTAAATAATCACTTAGTAAGCTATTCAAAATTAGCAACCTGATACTATTTATTTTATCAAGTTTGGATATCAAGAGTAAACAGCCTACCAATCCTTCAAAAATTTACGTCCATGACGTAATTTATTCCGTACTAGTATAGGAATTTTATACAATGTATACTTTACCATACAATACTGCATTCCTGTTCTACTAAGTAAGCTCAAAGGTCAAACAAGTTTAGGTATTAAATTTGCGTTCAATTACAATGTCAATAGCTGACTGCTATATCAAAGTAAAAATAATAGTATCAGCGAAATCTTTTATCTCAACTATGAGCATCTGCAATTCTACAGCTTTGAAAACGTTAAAAAAGGAGCAGAAATAATTCGATAGCGCCATCAACTTTAAAAATTGTGCTATTATTTTTATTATTTTGCTATCATTTATTCACGAATACAATTGAAAATCGGAACACTATGCAACCTAGCATGCTTGGCATTTGCTAAAGTCAATCAACTGTATATGGAGTAGCATCATATCATATTGGAAATCAAACAATGAGCAACGATCAATATATAAAAGAATTTTTAGCCAAAAACAAGATAAAAAGAGGAAAGGAACATCTAAGCTATAGTATTCCTGTCACAATTTATTATTTCCTAATTATAATTCTATTAATGTACAACATAATATACAAATTGACCAACCAATTAAAAGAATGCTATTAGCATTTATGTTAGATAAAATTTTATTTTTACATGTCATGAATAATAGTTAACGTAGTTGCATTGTTACCATAACAATAGTAGAATAATCACAATTGGCAGCAAATTAATAGCATTGAAATGATCATTTATGTTAGATAAAATTTTATTTTTACATGTCATTAATAATAGTTAACGTAGCTGTATTGTTATCATAACAATAGTAGAATAACATAATTGGTAGCAAATTAAAAGCATTGAAATGATCAATCAGCCCTGTTGCATGATGGATCCAATTACTATGGTAACTTGAGAACTATTGACCAGAGTATTCCATGAGAAGAAAGCAATAGCCTGTTGCGATCAAAGAATTGGCAGAACCCTAAAGGAAAAAAGACGTATAGACCACATATAGATTACTTTATTACAGTAGTTACATTTTGCCGTTGTCCATTAATTGATGTTTAAGTTAATGACATGATTATTTTAATTTAATGACAACGTGAAGTTGTAATAAATCAATTTAATCGTCGTTGTATATTATCCATCAATTAAAACTTCATCCATAGAGTCCAAGATTATCATCAGGTAAGAGCTTTAATGCAAGCATCAAATACAATCCAACAATATGGCGATTAGTCATGATTTACAGTATCAAACATTAATCTCTATCGTAGCGAGACAAAATTGCATTTAATTGTTTGTTGACAATATGGTTATTTTTCTAGCTTAGAAAATTAACGTTAACACCAATAAATGTCAACATGGGTTGTGGATCAAGTAAAAGTACTGAAGTTCAAAAATCAAGTAACTTACTGACTGTTCCCGACCCTCTAGAATTGGTAAGTTGATTTACTAGACAATAAGAAAGAAAGACATAAAAGAGGATGAAATAAAATTTTTTTCGTCCGTAAGCATTTCATACTGGCAGAAAATGTACATATACAATTTAGCAATCTCCAGTTTTGAGGTTGATTTATCAACATTTGCAAACAAACTTAAACTTGGCAAAGCGTAAAGGATCAAATTTTACTTGTCTAATCCTTATAGATTGAAATAATACCATTGATCTTTTACAACTAAATGAACCTTCGTTCGCATTTTAAAATCGATTAATTTGTGCTATATTTTTATGACACATGCTAATATGTATTACACTCATCAGCTACAACATAAAAGATGTAGCAAGTTGTATTAAAGCTGGCTTTCAACTTCTTTTAATAGGCCAATTTTATTTCTTAGAGTGCAAGTGTTACAGTCTTTTAACTCTTCTTTAATTCTATCATGGCAATGCATGTAGACTTATTGGATCTTAACCTACATGAAAAGTTTTGATATTACCGTAAATATTATTGTAGTTGCTGACCGACTTTAATCTTTCTTTCAATTTAAAATTACTGTCTTAGTAACACTATAAAAACATCCTGTTTTGATCTTAACTAATTTTTTCTATTATTCACGCTTGGATGGCTTTTATTTAACATTCGTTGAAATGACTAACAATAATAAGTTAAGATCCTTTACAATATTTTGTAATATCTACGATAAAATTCCCATAAAAAATTTACCTGAATAGATAATTTTATCCTGGCTTCAAGATATTTGACTAAAGTCAGTCCTCATATTCTACTATATCATTTCTTCTTCAATACAGCAGAAATAAATTAGTTCATCTATTCATAGGCTTTTTTTCATTTATTCTCCTGACCTAACGTGATAAATTATCATGAATTCTTTGCGGTAGCTAAACGTCTTTAAAATTTCAACCAAATATTATATACTATTTCATCGTTTCTTGATTAACAGTACAGTATATAATTATTGTTTTTCTCCGTAAAAGCGCAAATATTGCCAACACAAATATTTTTAATATAGTCTACACGCTAGCTGTTTTTAGCTTTATATTCTTTAAATTTTGTCTATGCAAATCTTATTTCTATGCTAAGTCGTTTCGAATAAAGCATAGGAAGCTTATTAGCTATCTATGCGAAGCGCTAGAATTTCACTAACTTACATCTACGCGAATTTCACTATCTTACATCTATGAATAATTCTTAATTGGAGATAGTTCCAAATTGAAAATTTATATCGACTCTATAACGATCTTAATGTAATAGAAGAAAGCAGTAACTGATCTATCCAGATACTAGCGTAAAGATAAAAACTTAATTCATTTCTACTTTTATCGGTACAGCATCGAGATGGGCCAATTAGTAATGGAACCTCGAATCATTCCATAAAAAATTCTCTTCCACATGATAGCCTACAGGAGAAGAAGTCGGAAATTATTCTTCAAGAACAAGAAGGTAAAAAAAGTACAAATAAGAATGATGAGAAATTATTTCGGACCTATGATCAAATAAGCTGATCAATACTGTACATATATATACATCACTTCAACCTTAATTAAAAGCAGTCACTTAGACTATATCCATCTTTAATAATCGGTTATTCGGTTTCATTCTTCAAACTAATGTTATTACTTGGATTGAAGATGATCAAACTAATGCTAATCCACAAGTTGAAGATCACGAAAAAGAGCCAGCAGAACGTAGTACAACGAGCTCTGAAAGAATAGCCAGAGATGTTTCTATAGATACACGCATAACTTACATGGAACCTACTACAAATCCAGGTGGAGGTAAACTTTCTATGCAGAAAAAATTGTAATTATTATGAATTAAATAAATCATTCCATCAATAATACTAATCAAGATTATAATCAATCTGTTAAAATACCAGAATCCAAGTTAAGCCTAGTAGATGAAACTAATGAAAAAAATGAGGAAGAAAATGAAAACAGGGCAAGGATGGATCAACAGCCAAGCAAAGGCGAAGAGAATAAAAATCCTAACCTCAATCCTGTCTTCATAATCGGTCATCACGACGAAGAGGCCAAATCAACCTTACCGACTATTAAAAGCAGTCCTGTTATCATTACTGGAGATCATATTGAAAATGCACCGAAAAACAATTCCTATCCTATCATCGTTTCTGACCAGAATAAAGACATAAATCTAGGTGATCTACCACCTCCAAGTACTATTGAAATTACTCGTGAAGATATTAATAATAAAGTAAATGAGCTAAAGATCTCCGGTGGAGGTCTCAATATTGAAACTGCATCCAACATGCAAGCCAGTAGTATTATTTATACCGATGCAATAAAAGATGATACTAGCATTGTTACGCCTTCGATGGCAGTACCTAATTCTTTTGCAAATGATAATTGGAATTTATGGGAAGCGGTTAAATACGACAACATTGATGAGGTTAGTTAAATACGGCAGGAAGAAAAATTGTTGACAAATTTTAGAATGACAGATGATGATTTCGACCGACAATATAAAACAATTTGTTAAACTTCAGACCTAGTTTTTGATGTGGTAATAACTGTAGTTATATAGTATATATATATTAGCATTTCTATTATACAAAGATAATTAATTTGAAACATTTCTTTTATAGCATTAGTTTCTCAATCATGAGTGAATAGAGCAATAGATTTCTAATCGTATTCATGGTATATTAACTAGGTTATAAGGCTATGCCAAAAAGATTCTATTAAATTAGATGCTATGATGGGCTTAGAGAATAAATCTATTCTTCATTTAGCAGCTGAAAGGAACTCAGTGCAAGTAAGTAATCATTTTTCAGTAGCTTTATTTTGCCTAAAATAGCTTAAAATGAAAGCTAATCTTTATCCTTGGATATATTGCTAATTGCATTGAGTACAAGTATTAACCAAACATCGTCCAATATTGAACATTAAATAAAATTTTACAGAGTGCTGAATATTTACTGGATTCTGGAAAAATGGATCCCAATGTTAAAGATGAAATATTACAGGTTAGCTTTAGAAATAGCAAAAAAAATGTACAATTAAATGACTTCAAATATAAAATGCGTGCTGCATCAACCAAAGTATTAATCCTCTATCACTTGTATATTTAATTTAATGTTAAATTAATGAGAATCGGCTCAATAATTGCAAAGTAGCTTAATTCTTGGACAAAGAGTGTCAATGATAGTTCTATTAAAAAGAAGAGTCGCGACTTGAAAAGTTTTTAAATCTTTCATATTGCTCATATTAAAAGTAATATAAAAGTATCCATGAATTTAAATCTACTGTTGTGACAACTAATTAACTATTGTGTCATCAATGATATAATTTTGTTGAGTAATGAATCATATGTTAACACTTAGCCATTAATTAACTACTATAGCTATTAAATGTCATAGAAAGTGGTTGTGATTCTTGCTATATTTAGCATGTAGCCTTGGCTATAAATTTATTGTTTTACAACAACCAAGTTTGCGAGGCTCTATAAAAGCCCCCAAGTTCTTAATTGTGGGAGTTGATAAGTTAGTCTATAATAGATGGTTATTAGTTGTTAGTAGTAGATTGTAAGTTGTGAGTTCTATTAGTCATTTTAATAAATAGCTATTAGAATAAAGTTTTGATTCTTAACATGAGTACTCTATCGTCTCTAAGACTCGAATCTAAGTTTGATAGATTAAAGAGTGTTTAGAGTTAGTTGCTACGATAGTAAAGACTACTTTAGATGAAAGAATCCCGTTAATTTTTGTGTTGCAATCTCGGTTGTGACAACTCTATTACTTACTGTATGTAGCATGCTACTCCAAACATGAACAAGTACTAACGCCGATTTAGTGTTTCTTTGTAAGATGTGCTTGTATAGTGATAGTAATGATGCTATAAGTAAGTGCAATCCATTTTACTGAATTCTACAAGAATATAATTCTAATTTACGAGTATAAACGAGCGAATTTGAGAGAATATGTGTATATCTTATTTATTTCAAATCGTTGATTCCTAGGGCATTCCATTGCATCATGCAGCGGAGAACGGTTGCATTGCAGTCTCTAAATTGTTCATCAAGCATGGAGCTTTGGTATGCTATTATTGTAGAATAAATTACAAATTTATCCAATCATAAATAATTTAATCTCAAAATTCAAATGTTGATTTCTCTTATTAGATTAATGCTGTTGATTTACTTCAAAATACACCTTTGCATGTAGCTTATGCGGAGTGTCAGGTAATATATTTCTGTTGCTGTTTCGACTACCATAGAAGAGGATTACTTTAAAGCTATTATAGTATATCGCTGAAACTATCGAGTAAACATTTAAACAACTGAAATACTATTATCATCCAATTTAATATTGCAATTAATTTCTGCTTTTAGGATGAGATGGTTGAATTTTTGATAAAAAATGGTGCAGACGCAGAATTACTTAATTCAGGTACATTAAAATTAATATACTGAAGTGAAAAATTACTCTATTACATTTGCATAAATTCTTCTTTTAACAATCTTTTCATGTTGCGCATTATATTTCTATATTCTATAGATGGTGATAAACCTTTAGAACAGCCTAGAGATTAACCTGAATTTTGAAAATATAAACTTACAATTTGTAGACAAGGCATAAACTGATCACGAAATTGCACGCTGCTTTTTTTACTATGATTTTCATAAAGTGATTGATTGACTATGCTGATTTCGTTAATTTTATCGTCATTAAGACAACTTTTTACTGTATTGAATAATTTATACCTTTAAAATGTCTTAAATTTACGCAGATTATCTAACTATCCATGGAAGGTTTTATTAATTGTACTGATTATACGAGAAATATAATTAATTATTTAAAATTTATTCATGAAACCATCGCTTGCTGTATGAATGCGATTGGTTAGCGTGATTTCTATGAAATGTAATGCCAATTTTTGGAAGTTTTGGATGTTCATAACTTGTAAACATTTGTAAGAAAATAGTAGATTACTTATTAATAAATACTCTGATGTTATACCTGAATATCATTGAATCAGGCGTTAATTAAACTTGAAACATGTGAGGAAATGATATCTTATATGGATAGTTCATCAGTGTGAATCTGTGGGAATTGCACTTAAGCACTTAAGTGCGATATCATTATTGTAGTATTTATCAATCAGCATAGGTATTGGATAGAATAGAAAGGGATGGAGGTATTTGTAGGATAGTAGAATTACTATCAAATCTTGAAGTCTACTAATACGCGTTAAGTATCAAATTATTGCTATCGCTTATACACGTATACTTAGCATAAAAAAGACTAAATAAAGTAAGAGAAGTAGATTCTTCGGTTAGTTAACAGCTAGGACGTAGGGATTCATGTAATAACCAGCGCAATTAATGATTAAATGTAAGTAAATAAATCTTTACTATTCACATATAATTCAATACAGCACCCAGGCACTCGGTCGTATGGGAAGTTTCACATTCTTTTACTAGTGCTCACAGCGAATCCCATTACAACTTAGTAATTAAGCCAATTCAGTTCATTTGATATTAGTAAATCACATAAACATCTCAAACACTCCCTTATAGAAGCCTATGAGTTACGTTTTTCAGCAACTCATTACTCGTATGATAAGAAAACAATTAAAAATGTCTTTCAATAAATCCCTATCTTTCATAGCTTTAAGGTATTTTAAATGGCTATTTCAAACGTGCTGAAATAACTTCCTATTGAGACGATACCGATATTAAATAGTAAAATTTTACAAATAACTAACAAATTAAAAAGTCTAAATGCGTATATAATTACATTTGTACATTTATATTTCAGTTTAAATATAACAGAAATGCTAACTAAGCAAATATTGTACTATGATATAATTCAAGGTTAATATACTGTACATCAGTATGAAATATGACAATATCAATAAAGTCTAACATGCTAGTAGTTCTTATATACTAAAATTAAAGGCGATTTAAGATAATCGTTCATATGCCCAAAATAATCTTATTTGTATCTATAAACCTTCTTTTCCTTATAGTGAAGGTGAGAAGGCTGCATTAAGCAAGTAATTATAATTTACAAGCGGGAAGAAGAATCAGTTAAATCTCTGTCATATTACGGAAGTATACCTTAGCAATCTTCAAAGTAAGGCAAACTTTTAACTATCATGATTCATATTGTATGCGCTTCTTTCGCTGTAGTCGTAAAGGGCTCTTCAACCTTGGTTCTTGCTCTCTATAAAATTCGTTAAAATCCAAACGAAAGCACAGAAAACGTAGGCTTACGTCAGCTTTTGAAATAAGAGATAATAAAAAGGTTCGGATAGCAGCCTAGAGTGAAACCAATACGTATAAAGGTAAATTACAAAGATAAATATAGATTAAAAACAGACAAAAATAATCGTTTATCTTCTACACTACCGTACCTTTGAAGATTCCAAAATTTTATTCAATTTCTTTAAGGTAGTAGGGATTGTGGTAGAAATAAATTCCTCTACTCTTCGTTCTTCTATTTCCGTTTCAGTATCAGTCATTCCCCACTGGCCCTAAGGTATTTCGGTAATTAAACGAAGTGTAAGATTCCAAATAACTGCTAACTACGTATACATGTACATGCTATTATTAAGCTTACAAATCATATGATGTCAATTTCCGGGCGATTTAGATTTACCTGCTTGCTTCTCTTTTCTGCATCACGCTCTATTTTCTTTTCCGAATCAACTTCATATTGCGCTGCGGAAAAGAGACTTTCTAGCAAATTTTGGAATTGAAGAATGAAATTAAAAATCGACCTAATTTGTGTCTGTAAGTCCTATTAGATGAAAAGAAACAAAAATTATTGACGTTAGATTCAAGAAATTGACAACAGGCGCAGCAACAATTTATTTGAAAATAAATGTTTGTAACTTACCCGAGAATGCGAGTCTAGTAAAGAGCGAGTAATAATGATTTCTTGAAATTTGTCGTGAGCATCGATAACATCATCGAGGTCTTTAGCTTCTTCTACTCTTTTTACTAACTCGTCCCAAGCGCACTCTAGGACCTGATTAGGAATGATTGTATCATCAGTCATTCGCAATAAAAAAGAAAGCGGATACGTAGTCTATTCAGATACTTACTTCGAACATAATATAATATTGCATTTGATTTATAAAATGGATTAGTTCCGCTGTTAAAATGTTACTTGCATGTAGTAACGGTAGAATTCCTTTTGAAAGTGTTGCAGTTTAGTCAGGAAACACAATTACACTCAGAGGATACAAAGGTATAAAATGGTTAGCATCAGCCTTACATAAGAAATTTTATTACCTGGCAAATGTTTGTAAATATTGAAGCATTTGAGTTGGTTACGCCATGTCTCTCCAAGAACAAATTCCATTCGCTTCAAACGCCATAGAAAGTTAAACATGCGCAAATAATTAATCATGCATTGTGCAGTAAAAACCTGTTGTTACGAAAAAGAAATGAAAATATTCATTTAGCTTTAAAAGGCACTGCAATTTAGTAGGGTGAATCATTCATTCATATATAAAAGCATACAGTACTGATGGGTCCATCTACATGATAATCAAGACTGAAGATATCCCATCCTGTATCTCCTGGAGATACCTGTTCGTCATGAAAGCAAAATTTTCATATCATTTTAAGGATCAGTATGTTCAAATAGAGTTAAATTGATTTTATTAACCTCAAGTAGCCTAATATCTAAACGTTTTATAATATCTGCGTCATCATATTGTGCGTTCGTTGCTCTTATTGCTGTTTCGAGGACTCCAGTCAAGTTGTGCACATATAAATTCGACGCCGGCTTATTCAAGTCTGGTCTGTAGGAATTGTAGTAACACATGTTAAAACTTTTAATTTCGGTATTTATATTCAATTAATAAATTAATAAGGATTCAAGTTAATCATGAAGTTAACGTACGCCAAAGAGTCCATCAAATGTATTACGAAATCGCCTTGGCCAAGCAAAAGATAACGACGAAGAGCCTGAATTTTTATTATCAAGTTGTCAACGACATGCCATGTAATTTTCTGTCAGAAAGTTAAGATAAGAGCAGCTACTTTCAATTCGGTTGCAACTTACTTTAAGATGATCCATAAATTTATATTTTTCATTTAATATCTTTAATAGATGCTTGCTTGTTGCTGTATAAACAGAATCAACGATCACTTCAAGTTGCGAGCCGATTATTTTTTGAGTGAAAACTAATTGCACAGAACCTATGGTATAGAAAAAATGATAATGTAATTGCAGGTTGTTACAATAAATTGATAAACTTTTATACAATTATAAAATAAATTGATAATGCTGTACTTTCATCTCCGTTGGTAGCAACTGCTGTAGTAGGTTTGATACCGAATATTGCGCTCCTGTCCATACAGACTTGACGAATAAAGTTGATAGATTTTCCAATTAATAGAATCTGTAAATATTTGATATATAGCCTTAAGAAATGCAGATTTTTCTTAATTGATGATGGGTGATTAAAATACCTTCTTTGCAAGTGCTATTGCAATAAATGAGGGCAGCATTGATTTGGTAATGCCATATTTGTTTCGCCATAGGCGGTTCTCTTGGACTGTCGATTCCGATGAAATAAAGAACTAAAAAAGTAAATAATTCGTTCAAGAACGATATTAACAACGGTATTTTTCAATTATCGATATGAATGTTATATTAGTAATGCAGGTCAATATTAACTTCGTGATGTATATCAGCCAGTTGCCCGTCGTATATCCACTTGTGTAGCATAAAATTTAAAGGTTTAACGACCTACATTTGAACAAATACGTCATGAAATTAAGGTATTCTTTCAGACTTTGAGAATGCGATAGGATAAATTTAGTTAACTAACACAGCTTAGTACTAACCTTCCCAAGGACATCTTTTATTAAATTACGAATGGATGGATTACCATGTTGATAGTATGAATGTACCGTCGACGCTAAAGCACCACCTTTCTTACCTAATATCAATATCATCTAGTCATTAAAGCTGTCTCTTCGTAACATATTCAGGGTAGTAAGATGATAATAGTGATTCATCCATTAACATACCAGTACATATATCAGTTAATGATGCAAGTATAGTTAATCGTTGCAGCGGCTCGTAAGTCCAAACTGAGAGTCGGTGTAAAGACAAATAATTTGCATTCGTAGGACCAACTGATAGCTGTTGTTCCCTCTGTACGCAAATAAGTAAACAACATTGTAAATGAAACTGGTAACTTGATATATACTATATAAGAGGTAAGAAAAGTTGGTCCATTTATTTTGTAACACAGCAATATCTTAGATACGTTTAGGACGAAACACGGAATACCTGAGCGTCCAATACAGCGATAAGCCGATAAAACTCTGTCAGCTCGTCTTGGAGTGCAGTGCAAAAACTCTAAATTTTAGTAAAGGCAAGTGTTGATCGGATAGAATTGTATTTATTATCAATACTCTATACTCATAACTTTGCTTGCTGGCTATAAAAAACTTAAGAATGAAAATGAGTTATAAACCTGGCCAACTAATCCATATGCTTGATCAGTAGAATGTTGATCAATAAACTTTCTAATCTTTCGATACAACCATCCAATTTCGGCTAATTTATGAACTAACTCTCTTGAATGCTTTGGCACACCGACCTATAAATTGGTATTGTTATCGAGTAAGCTACGGAACTATTCTAATCTAGTAAGAAAAGGCTGATCTGAATAAAAACCTACATTAAAATCAACACGGAACGCATCAACTGATTGATCTAACTTGATAACTTTGCCATTTATTCCTTGAAATGTATATATTAAATCCCTTATCAAAATATCTTCTGAAAGTTCAAAGGAAGCTAGAATGGAAAGTAATGATAGATATGTTGTCAAGAAATTATGTAATACAAAAGTAATACCGTCAATTTTGACAAATACGATCAATAAAATAAATTTTGTAATATGCAGCGTATATATACTTACTATTTACGGAATTGTATGGATCACGTGCTGATACTTTGCTATGTTCACGATATTTCTGGTTTAATTTAGTGGATAGTGCTCCAGTATTAGACCGATTACTATGTTCCAAGCGGGAAGTCACTAACGTATTGATAACTTTTTTGTTCGTAATATCTAAGGAATGCATACCATTTAAATTAGTCGTATGGTAGAATACCAAGTCCAGATTTGATTAAAAAAAGGTCGTAAAATTAAATAATATCCAACTCCAGAAATTTTGTCACTACGGATATATTTATATATTAGATGTAAATAACGCGATAGAAGTGTAAGATATATACCTGTCGGTTGTCTTATGCCACTGGGAGTCGGTACAACTAAAGTTGGGTCTATAGTAGCGTTAAAGCTAGTTATTGTACTTCTATCAGTTTCATTACTACCGCTGCCAATACCACTGCTAATTCTACTACCAGTAGACATGGTAGCCATGGATGGTGGTAAAATTGTCGTAGTTTGATCGACAGAACTTTGTTGCATGTTTATTCGAGTGATCATTCTATTTGCCATTCCAGCGGGTGTTGATTGCACATTGCCTGGCAATCCATCACTTAGGAATACTACATCCTGTCACATTTGATACAATGCGTGTTTTCAATCATTAATCATGTATTATTAGCATGATTACGTTACGTAGTGAAACAAGAGATTCAATCATAGCAACAGGTATAGAGTTAATGACGTTACCTCATTTTGCTTACTACTTTTACTGAGATTTAATAGCAAGTAAAGGATTGACCAGCGATTTTTCAATAACGGCTGCAAGAAATGCAAGCGAGAGTATTACTAACATAAAAATATTGTACTTCGGATTCAGATTTTAGACATATTACTGTTCTATCTAAGAAGTTAGGATAAGACTAAAACTCGCCAAAATGGTTTACTTATACTTTAATAGTATTTTACACACCTGGGATGATAGTTTTCGCTGTAATTCAGAAAATACAGCAGCATCGACTTCCTTACCATTACGTACCACTACAAGTTCCAAGGATATAAGTGGGCAAGTTATAAGTACAGTAAAAGGTTGTGTGGTGTAATAGGTTATCGTATTTTTAATTATACTTGTACTTTGTTAGATCAATACTAAAAGTTTCTTACGTTTTCTTTTGATTCTCTCTGAAATTTGAAATTCATCACTAACTGCGGAAGGTTCTATACGACTAAGTATCATACATGCACAACGCGTATTTTAGCATTGTAGATAAGATATGTTATCGATGTCAAGTTATAAAATCAAATGCAATTGACACAATTTGACCATTGCAAGTTGTTGTATGTAATCTGTAAGCTTAATACGATCAAAGTACATGTACTGTACGTATTTATAATTTTCTAGCAATACACTCCATGTCATGAAGATCGACGACGATAGTAAGATAGATTAAGTTAAGAAAATAAATGTATCCATTTTACATCATGATCAAACTGACAATAGAAATTCTAAGGTAGTAGAATGATATACCTGCTGATAAGTCGACATACATATTGGTATAATCTGTTTGCATCTAGTAAAGAATCAAATCAATCCAAGTTAGTATTTGCAATCCGTATGAATAATACATGATGTTCTCTACTGTATGTAGTCCCAGTAAAAGCTATAAAATTAATAATATACTACTATCGGTTAGGTTACAGCAAGGACTGAATTTTTAAATTTTGTATCGCTTTCATCATTACAAATGAGGGTCACGATACTGTAATAGGATAGTAAATTGAGATCGTATCATTTCATGATACTACTCTTCCGTTCACGTGTACGGCGAGAAAAGTGAGGTAATTGTCAATACCACATTGAATTTGAGTAGTCTACTGTAGAGATTTAATTTGGCTGCTACGACTCCAACTAAGAAATGGAAGCTACCAACATGCTATCCATTGCATCCTGGCTTAATGAATGTATATGCTGTACTCGTGCAGTGCAGTTCATTCATTCAAAATGAAATTAGATTGGCAGTGAAATGTATTTCTTACCATTTGCGTTGTCATCGGGTAAGAAATTCAAGCATAATTTATATAAATAAGCGGCTGGGCTGAAATCATCCACGATAGGGCCTCGTTCCGTCATGATGGTTTTCCGCGAGCCACTTGCTAGTGCAATCACGAGCAAGGCAACTCGACTTGGAACTATTCACTGTCACTGTGTACAGAAATTTGCTGATGAAAGTATCTCCTCCCTTCTCAGCAAAGATGGAGTTGGTTTGGTTTCGAGTGAGTAGATCGTAGATACGAAGATAGACCTGCACGAATTACATTCGTACTCGAATAATTTGGAGTAATGTTATCCAGTTGAAGTCTACCGTCAATCGGTGGCACAAGGGAAAGAGTTTGGCAATCAGTAATTCAGTAGTATTCTATAATACTCTACACCAGTTTGAAGAAAAAATCAATTTGCAACGGTAGAATAGAATTCTATAATCTAAAAACCAGCTGAAAGGTGATCTGATATCGTAAGATTTGCAAGCAGTAAAATCTTTAACAGACTTGCTGACTCCCACACTGTAAGCGAACCAACTTGAATCAGTTGTTATTTGGATTTTTTCAAAGAGAAATTCTTCCACCCAGTCAATATCTTTGAAAATTTCGATGCTTTAATGTTGATTTTACTTGTAGGGAGAACTTGAGGTGAGATTTTCATAAGAAATGGCAGCTTTTACAACGCTATAAACTGAGTGTTGACAGGATTGCCAATTGGCAATGGCCGCAATTTAATTCACTGTACAAATTGTGCTTTGGCAGTAGCGTTCAGTCAAACTTCAGTCACTGTGAAGTTGACTTGAGGTAAAAGTGCACTGTAGGTGAGGTTTGGAGCCGGATCGGATCGGATCGGGATCGTGAAACACAGTGAAAGTCAAGTAAGTTTGGACCCGTTGATCAACGTGCGATCCGAATGCGTACCGTACCGTGCTGCTAATAACCATTGCATGCCGTACTGTGTTGACTTATACGATTATGCGATAGAGTTCATACTGAACTGAGTGAGCTGTTAGCGTACCATACGGTGATCTGTACCGTTTCAACGGGGCTGTGGCGCCAAAATTTTGAAAATACGAAGAGGGTACTCATACAGTACTTGACTAAACGTTGAACTGTACTGTACTCTGACGACAGTGTGCAGTGTGCACTGTGCACTGCAGTAGCACGGACAACTGGAAGAATACCTGGACCGGACACGTCTTTGGACGGACAGATATTTGTCCCCCCTTTGGTCCACCAATTGTGTCCAAGACTTCACTATGACCGTACTTGAGTATGCAGACAGTCGATCCTGAATGGACTGATTTTTTCTAAATTAAGTAATATTACATTATATTCTATTGCCTGTTCTTAAGCTTTGCTTGGAAGCTGTAGCTTTAGATCATTCATGTTATTTAAATTAATACGAGTGATTTAGAAAACAAGCAAGGAAGCTCCATACCGAGTGACTATTTTTCCCCATTTTTGGGCCACATCTTGTATGAAAAGTCCGTCCATCCGGTGGCAGTAGCCAGGAGCCAGTATTGGCTCCTTCTGACCACCGTCCTGTCGAAACTACAGTACACTCAGTACAGTACAGTACTATGGTACAGTGTACAGTATTAGTCTTGAGAAGTCCCTACAGTATACTGTAGTACTGTACAGTACAGTGTACAGTGTACAGTACAGTAGATCTCTATCAGTACAGTACATTTCATAAATGTACTGTACGTACAGTACAGTATACTCAACTCTACAGTACCATGTCGTGATCTCATCTTCAGACTGGGCCGAGAAAGCAAATCCAATCGCGACCCAATTACTTACCAAAAAGTCAATCTACACTTGGAGTAAAGGGCTCCAATGCAACATCTTGAATGGTAAATGCAATGCAAGCTCTCAGCCGAATCCATTCCAGAATACTGATGAGCCAGAACATCACGAAGACCACTGCTCGTGCAGTTTGCACTAAATTAACCCTGCAGGATGTCATGCACGATGAAGCAAAGAGCGAATTTTTCGTTCAACTCGACTCCGGTACTTGTATACCATGTACACTACACTGTCTGTTATTTTTCTACTGTGTTGACAATAGTTTACTACGGTATATTGGTCGGTAGATGTTTTTAGTGAAACCTATTTCAACATAGTTTTACTCATTGAAAGACTAAAATTCAACCTATTAATGTTGTTGTTGTTGTTGTCGTTTTTTATACCAGACAAAGCTGTCTTGCAATATTCATTAGCTCAAAATGAAGGAGTTATAGATATGTTGCATACGGGTGTTCCTCCCAGATTCCGTGGTATGGGTGTTGCTAAGCTATTAGCTCAGGTTAGCGATAAAAGAGATACAACTTGCCCATACCTTGCTGGTATACTTGTACCTGCCATTCAAATTAAACAGACATTCTTTGATACAATCCAGAATTGGAATAGTACTTTGATCATTACAATGATGAAATTTGCAGTTTACTTTGTAAATCGGTTGATGTTGTTTTTTGCATGTTATATCGACTTGCTTAACAGCAATTTGTCAAGGACTCCATTGCGATTCAATTGTTGTACATGTATAATGCTTTCTTATTTTGCTATCCTAGACTGCTTTCGATTACGCCTTACAAAATCGTTTCAAAATGAAATTATCTTGTTGGTACTTGGCAGAATATCTACAAAAAAATCCTAAGAGGGAATATGAAGAATTGGTTCTAAAATAGTTTCAAATCCGATTCCGTAATCATTTCGCTGACGTGTACGTTATTCTACTCAACTTGGCTGAGGATAGTGTTAAAGTAACTACGTGCTGTTTTGATGCCGATAGATATGACCGTACAGGTATTTCGTTTGAGAAATGTACAGTATTTGGATACTACAGGAAAGGCTTAACAAAGTGTACTGCTGAAGTACATGATTAATGCTTACTTTCAAATTTTAAGAGTACATTACTAGTCGAATTGACATTATCTATTTACAATTCATATTTAAAAATGATCATCTAATAATGATAAATAAGCTCATGTAAACAACTAAACCGAGCATCATCAATTTATAAAAATCATTATTGAATTGCCTTGTATTTATATGATATAGACGTTACTAAATGCATAGAATGTGTAATGAAATACCATATATAGATGTCCTCGTATGTACTGCATTGACGATGTATACTTTTCATATTGCTATATTGCATACAGCAGATACCTTTGATCTACAAAGTAGCAGTAGAACTGTATCGCTTCTAATAATAATAAAGGCTAAACATAGGAAGCATTGACTAGATCAAATCCAACATACGTTACATCGAATTAGGCTGAACTCATAAACTATTATAAAACTGAACTTTTACACTATTCTGATTCATTTACCCTCAGTTGTTACTCTGCTTAGTAACTACAACGTTACTTTGCACGAATTTTTAACATTGAAAATCACGTATTTATTATGCATTACTCGAAGTTACATTGAATTCACTCCTCTAATGTCGTACAATCAAGAATCTCAGAAGACGTACCCGGTGCGCTACTTTATTTTTATTATTGTGAGAAGAAATCTCTTGCACCGATCGTTATTATGAATTTTCTACTCCTAAAAATTCTGTTTGGTATCGGACTCCGAGAAAATTTGAAATCAAATCAGCCTAATTTAAATACCATATTGAAGCAATGCATTTATAAACTACCTTTAGTTTATAACACGCTAAAAGCATACAGTACACCCTAATTACAAATTCTATAAATGAGACAATATTACACCTATACATAATCCAGTCTTACGACCCCGAATGTACAGGTGTAGACAAAGTAGCGCGAGGTATCAAAATAGCAAGATCTTTAAAAAAATACATGGAGCATTTTTCGCATGTACTCTACCTTATACAAGATTGATTATAATAGGATCCAATGTAGAAGCAATTAGTCGAAAGCAAAACTATGTAAGGAAAAGTATTTTAGCAAATACACCTCAATATCTTTAATCCCTAGTGATAAGTATATCCATGCCACTGTAAATATGTATATATATCTGTTATGTACGCGTATATATTATCTCGCAGATTGCGTCAAAATGTATATTACTACAAATACCTATTGAGAGTGTTATTGTCGTTATTAATAATATCTATAATCAAATATGGCATGGAATAACACAATGATATAAATGCCTATACGCTACTGTGCAAAAGAAACGCGAAATTGCAATCAAATAGAAATTAATTGACAGATTCTAACAACAGATTTATCATATTATCATATCAGTATCTGTCAAGTAAACATAACAAGTCTATTTTAATTCATGTTTTACAATATACCAATTCACAAAATGCCCTACTAAAGGTTATTAGTATCATAGCAAGATAGAAAGAGTAACCAAGAGATACTTTTACCATAACAAGAAAACCCAGATTACACAAGTATATGAATTTACCTTGGAACTATCGGTACAAACGATCTAACAATTTCCTCAATATTATCTAATGTTTGAGCAGTTAGATCCAGCCATGAGAGAGTAAAGTCTTTCATGGTTATATCCTCGGGGGCTTGCACATCAACACTTCGATTGCAACTCATACCGCTGTTACTAGGCAAATCATCACGAAACTCAGGATCTACAATAATTTAGAACATCATTAAAAGAAAATGAACCCTTATTTGAAGCATTCAATTCCTAAAATCATTCAATACTGTAATATACACCTGCTACTTCAGCTATAGCACGAATGAAATTGGCATCTTCGCTATCGCTAAGGTTATCATTCATATCCTGGATAGCTTCTGTAGTGGGTGTTTCATCTGGTCGATCTTCTTCATTGCCAAGTAAATGCTCTCTTTTAATCTTAACCATATTACATAATATTAAAGCGTATCTTTTAGCGCCAGCAGCTGTTGCATTTATGATCTTTTGAGTATCGTAATGATGCTTAATTTTACAAATTTTAGTTATATTTTCGAAATTGAGTCGATTATGTTGCTTAGTATTAGGGATAGTAGCATATGCCGACCATGCTCTTTCGCATGTAGAAGCATGCGGCGTAAGAGTAATTATTGTAATGGCGACGGTAGATAATTCCGATGTCTCTTGTGAGTACTCATTCCAAAACGTGATTGGCGCTTTAGCCATATGATTCCATGTAATTTTATCATCGAATGGAAATCGTTTATGGCAGTACGCAATATATTGCTCCATAATTAAAGCAATATCCACTTGTGGATATAATCTCTCCACAAATTGCGAAAAAAGTGAGCGTACCCTTCGCTTACCAAATTGGCTTAAGCCAGTAAGATAAATGCGAGGATCTAGCACAATCGATATTATCTGATGATCTTCAATGAAATTTTGTATCCTTTTTTCAATATTATTGAATATATTTATTCTAATGGTGTTGTCTACTTCTGGTGCGTTATTCAGTAGGCATAATAACCACATCCATGTTATTAGAAATTGGCTAGAGGTTATATCAGATCTTTCAGACATTGCAGCAATAAAATTAAACGGTGTTAAGATGGCATAAGTGCTTTTAAGATCACTCCAAAAATGATCATCGTTTATTATGCTTTGAAGGTTACTTTCTGGTGTGTCAAATGGCATAAATGCGTCGTCTGAGCATTTACCAGATGCAACTTTAAGTTCCTTTTCGATGCACAATATTTGCTTTACACACATGGCTATTGAATACCATTGCGCTTGTGTCGGAATCCAAATCGATATATCTTGTATATCTAGTTCATCTCGAAGTAGGCCATAAAAGGATTTCGATTGATGTGTAAACCTGGCAATTTTTTGACACGTCCCAATGCTATTGCCAAGATACGTTAGGTTTCTTATAACATCTTTCATGATGAAATTCGATTGATGGGCTAAACAACTTCCTGTCAAGCCTATTCTCGCATCTGGTTGCTCTCGTACTTTTTTCTTTACTGCGGCGTCTATATCGGAACTATCGCTGCAAAAGCTTACTTGAGTCGATACTGGAAGTTTTAACCTACCAATAAAGCTATAAATTTCTTCAAAGATATCTGGAGCAGTTTTAGCACATGGGCGAGAAGTAATATATATCAATTCTGAATACGCGTTTTCATTTGTTGCTACCCAATTTGTGATGTTCCAGTTATCAACACTATTGGTAGCATCGCACGATATCGTCAAATATGTCGAATCCAGTAAAAAATTAGTAATATCTTCATCTGTTTGTAGCTGTAATTTGTTGACAATTTGCTCGCAAGCTTGATATCCACTTAGTGGTTGAAAATCCGGATGCAATCTCATTTGAAATTCTCGAAAGTAGCCATTGTCTAAGAATTTCCAAGGAATATCGGAAGTAATAAGAGCAAGCACCAATGAACTATATAAGGCTGTATGTTCTAAATTGGTCGGCTTTGCCATTCCATAATCAGAAATTTTTCGTTTTTTGCCAAGCGCTGGAGGTGCAGATAGGGGATTAGCGGAAGCTAACCATTCAGCATTGTTTAATGCTGTGCATTCCATATCGCTGTCTGCGCTTTTATTGTATTTAATATTATGATATTGCTTTATTTCACTTGGAACTGCGCTGCAGTTCTCTAAAATATGTTTGGTCATTTTCTCGATCGTACCATAAAATGCAGCATGGCAGTATCGACAGCTGACATATTTTTTTTTAGCATCGATCTGGATAAAGCTTTGCCAAATGAGGCTACGTTTTCTTCCAAGTGATCTATGACTTACTACAATCACAGGAAATACATACTGTATAACTCTTCAATTACTCTTAACATCAGTAGAAAATGGAAATCTTTAATATCGTGCTATTTGAATGCAGTATTTCATATATTATATTATAGATAGTCTATTACGATCGATCCAGCATGTAGGTGTAAGTTTTAATTGTGTATAAGTTAGTTTTTCTTTATTTTCTTAGTCCAACAGTACACATGAATACTGTCTATGCAATCCCTCGACTTATTACCATGCTACTATCGAAATAACGGATGTGAGAGGTTACTTCCTCACTAAATAGCTTTAATTTTAGAGCACTAACAAGTGAAGCCGCGAGACTTTGTAGGCGTTATGGCTACACTAGCACTGAATTAATTTGATCATAACACTAGCTTACCGTGGATGTTCTGCTCACAAATTTTTAATTTAATTTAATAGAACTGTTCGAGGTCCGGTCTTCAAATCCGTATCACCGACCAATTGCGTAGACTTACTACCCATCGACTCATAGACTATTTGCAAACTAAAATAGGCTTCTCTTAGGAGTATTGTACACTGAGAGAAGATATACACTTGATTTTAGACTGTGCAGTAGACTTGACTTATTTTTTTTTCAACTTTAAAAATAAAGGTAAAGAGACAAGAGAGAATCCCTATCATAGAGCTGATTTGGAGCGCATACCCACCCGTTAGCATAATTCATTCATGAATTAATTATACACAGCAGAATAACTTATAATTAAGTAAGAAGAAAAATGCTGCAGTAATATCCTATTTTACTAAGTTCTGCTTGCAAGTAGTTGTAACTATTAATACATGAAGTGTAATGATGAAGAAAGCCGACTCCGACGATCCACATTTACAACTAGTAACTCTTTCTCGACATTTTGGCCTCCATGGATTGACCCAAATCCGTCCATCCGACGGTGACCGAGAGACGGCGACCGTCGTCCACCGCAATACCTTCTAGTCTATAGTAATCCCATGCAACGATCGCTGTCGTACAGTAACAGGCTTATTCTAGCATGGGTGTCTCGGGGTCTATACAGTCGTTACCACTCACGCGGTCGGCTGGCGTCCGTCCGATGTGACGACAACCACAAAGAACTGGCAACAGCCTGCTAATCGTGCTGGCACGCCTTGCATGACCAGATGATTTATTGGAAATATTCCATCAGCCGACTAAACAGAAAGCATCAGCGAGAGATTTATGGAATGACTGTCGAATGCGAATATACAAATTAATGTCCATTTTCAGTTTATACTCTTGATGCTATTCATCGACTGAGGTTATTGGTCACGGAGATTATCGATCGATTGCCATTATCGTACGATCAAGCTTATTCAAATTCATTTATTTTAGCCCAAGTGAATGACTACTTGATCGATCAAATGAGCTCATCCTAGGAGTAAGTAAGTAAGATATAAAGCATAATCTGAAGAGAGAGGAGTTGTTCATATCATTAGTCAGTATTGACTGTTTTAAATGATCACAGCTCAAGCGTACGCCTGGTATCGACTCGATTCTCTGCTATCATATCAAAAGTGAGTGCTGTCCTTCCATTCGATTAAAACGATCTGTTAACACCCTCGAGGTATAGTTAACGGTAGTGCTGGAGCATTGACAAGTTATTGATCCAGTCATGATGGAGAATACCAATGGAAATTCCAAAAAGGCTCTTGCTATTACTGTCAACAAGAGTGATAAAGTGAACTTACCTGTTAGCATATCATTATTTGGCTTTTCCATCGATTCTTGGTCGACTTCGTCGCAGTTTATGGCAATGTCTAGCGGTGTTTTAGCTTGCTACTTAATTTATGGATACATTCAGGTTAGTTGTCAGCAATCCATCAAAGTGCTACTAGTCATCTACTCTAAGAAGAGAAATTCACGTTGCAACGGTTACATCACAATAAATCGCTTATCCTTATGACGGTAGCTGATATCTGGTTAATTTCACAGAAAATAGCTAATCCTCAGCACCTAACCATGGATTGAATTAATAATAATACACTTCAACTCTGCACCAACACTTTGTGCACAATCGTTTAGTAATTAGTAATTAATTGGCAAAGGTTATATTCAATTGATGACCATTTTAATAGTAGTGTACAGCATAATGTATTCTCCTTCTGTTATACGCTCAGTATTATGCAGAAATTCAAGTTGGCTATCAAGAATGCTTGCTAATGACCCCCGTTCACGAAATAGATCGTATACTTATAAAATCATAAGCTGATGTTTGGATATGTCTTAATTCACATAAATTTCATTTCCAGATATTTATTTACCGATAAAAAATTCAAATTCAATATGATAAAGTACTTGCTTCTAAATTGAAGCAGTGTGCTGCTACTGATGGACTATTTACAGTCTTGAGTTTGCTGTGGGTTTCAAAGTCTGTTCATTCAATTTTGGATCAACTACATGTCTTGAACTGAACCCTTACAGTTTGATTAGCAAATTTTGTAAAAGTATTTTTTTCATATTGAGACCGAAAACACGTGCCCATTTGTCCATACACCAACGATGGAATCCAGTATCGTTTATAAATGCATGGGCTAAAAGATTGACAGTCAAGATGGAATAAGATTTATTATAGAGATAGTACTGTCACTGAAGTTTAGGATCTTAGTATTAGTATCATAAAGCGCTGGGAATAGATTGCAATTGGGTTCTATATTTCGTTATAGCATGAATGAAGTACATCATCTGATAGTTTGTTCATCTTAGGAGAGATGTTCCCACTGAATTAGAGTAAAATATCAATTGACACACTAAGCTGGCCAATTTAAGGAAAATCCTTGTTGATTGAGTATCGAACCCAATTTTGTGTGCGTAGTTGTGTAAATTAATTAAACTAGCTGATACTTAAGTTAATGGCCGCGTATCAAATACCGTACTGGTTGAGACACTTAATTGTCGATATCGAGACAACTGCATATTACAGTAAAGTGTACCATAAGTGAAAGATTGCCAACACGGAAATGCCTTTACATTTCTGGACACATTACTAAGCATCAACAACTATCCCTGTGGATTAAAATTTCATTTGTATAGTCGTATGCTTGATCATAACATCCTAAATGCAATGTGCGTAGCTTCTAAAGAATGATTATATTAATTTTTAATATCCATAATAGGAGCGAATGTTTCTCATCAAAGGTTTCAAACAATATGGATGGTACTTAACCCTTGTTCAGTTTGGCTATTACACAATATTTGGTGCAATAGAAATGCAGCTAAAAAATCCGATTGCGCGAAAGAGGCGAATACCACTGCGTATTTATGCGATTATTGCATTTTTAACTGTAGCAACTATTGGCTTATCCAATACATCTTTAGGATATTTAAATTACCCAACTCAGGTAGGAATCTTAGCTTGTCTACCAAAAGATAAAATTTTATTCATGTATCGGTTTTTACCATTATATAAAATTAAAATGTGTCTTAATTGTTACTACATGACTGAATTGATCTTTTGATTATCATATTGAAATTTTTGAATAATCAATTTTTGAAATCTTTTATCATCTTCAACTCTATTCTTGAATGAGTTTCAAAATAGCTATTGTCGTCGTTTATAAAATCTGTATCATTAAGTATTATCTACATCGGAGACTTTACCAGCTGTTGTTAGTTCTCTTTATTTTCAATTCCACCTTTCATCTGAGTAAAGTGTTAACTAAACTAATAGGAAGTAATCATCAATAATTATTATTGTTATTGTAATAGGTAATATTTAAAAGTTGTAAGCTCATACCTGTCATGATTGGTGGCATCCTGATTCAAGGGAAAAAGTATACTCTTGCGGATCTCGTTGCAGCTCTTTTGATGTGTGTTGGTCTAATTCTGTTTACCTTAGCAGATAGTAAAGTTTCACCAACATTTGATTCCTTTGGCGTTATTCTAATTTCTTTGGCTTTATGTGCTGATGCGGCTATCGGTAATGTACAAGAAAAAGCAATGAAAGGATACAATGGCACCAACTTAGAGATGGTAATGAGCACTTACTACGTTTACTTCATAAAATTCCATTTTTCTATACTTTGGGATATATTCATTCACATTTCACAATGCCACATCAAGCTAGTAGCTAATGATTTTCTCTACTCTACCTTCATTACTATTAGCTTAGATCTATACTAATTGCTTTTACTTTTGTTGGTAGGTATTTTACTCGTTTTCCATTGGGTTCGTATACATTTTTATGGCTCTATTTATCACTAATCAGTTGGGACCGGCATTTCGATTTTGTAGTCATAAGGCATTGACCATTTATGGCTTTGCCGCAATACTCTCCTTTACGGGCTATATTGGTGTTAACATGGTTTTAACATTAGTTCGTGTATTTGGAGCCCTCATGGCAGTCACGGGTGAGTTCTTTTGATAACTATTCTATTGAAGTAATTGCACTTCTTATAATAAGATAGTCATTTTCGACGTTAAACGCTTGATTCTGATCAAATGTTGCTTAAATTATATAGTTACCACATTCCGGAAGGCGATAACTGTCGTTTTATCGTTTCTCTTCTTTGAAAAGCCATTTACAATACAGTATGTATGGTCTGGCTTGATCGTATTATTAGGAATAGCTTTAAATATTTATAAAAAGAATAAGTCAGTAATTGATGACTGGATTAATGCCAAACTTCGTAAGACTAAACTTTTTAAACAAAAATCTGTCGCTGAACAAGTTTTACTTAAAGTCTAAGACTAATTGTAAATAAATTTGTTGAATTTTTTCAATATTATTCAGTCTTTGGTATGAATGCCGTTAATCGAAATTGAAATCTTGTTTTCTATTTTTATATCTACCAATGTGTACTGTGTACAAGTTGGAATAACTGCTTACAAAAATATGCCTATGATATTATTCTTTGCTTGTTCTCCTAAGATTAAGTTTGGCTTATAGCTACCGTAATTGATATGTATCATAGCTTTTATCTATGATGTATAATCATAAGAAATTGTAATTTTTACAGAGTGTTTATGATAGTACATCTGATATATACCTTACTTTGATAATAATATTGAAGATGTGTTATTATATGTTGGACGTGAGAAAATATAGTAGACTGTTTTATTGATTATAAATTAATAGTGAATCGAATTTTGCTCAAAAGTTTAAAAGATAATGATACCTTTATTTTTTCGAGATGGCTCATTTTACGAAGGATAACTGTGAAAGTTATCTACAGTTTATCTCGTAATCAGTCATTCAGCGTTATATTCATTAAAATTAAATACTTTTTTATAATAAAAAATGTAAAGATTACTACTTTAAACTGAGAATCAAAGTCTGTTCTCAGTAAGAACAATTAAAAGGCATATGAATGAAATCGAGAATCAGTACACTAGTAACATGAAGAAAGGATAACCACTTTTTGGCTACAATCGCGCATTACTGAAGTATTAGCATTTCTAATCAGATTCCATATATTGATGTTGTAACATTGCAATATTTGGTGTATGCCATACTTACTTACATTGGCGAATAACACATGTGCTATACTGTACAGCAGATTCCACAAAAACGTATCATTTGCTTTAGATACAACACAGATACTGTACTAATAAGTTGTGGCATAATACCATAATTATAATAGAATAGAAATGCTTATATTCCTATTTTAGAGCATCGTCTTTCGTAATATGCGTATGCTCATATAGCTTTATAAGACCGGTCTCGAAGGCAATACATGAGTCTAAGGACTATTCTCATAATCTATAATTGATCCCATTGAGGTGCTACATCTTCAAGGAAGAATCTCTCTACTAATTTGTTGATTTTATCCGGCTGACGCTTATGTATGGCATGCTTTCCATCTGGGACTATACATAGATGGGAATGTTTAATATGCTCATGTAGATAATGTGCATGAAGGGAGGGTATCATAGGATCTTTTTCACCATGAACAATTAACGTAGGACACACTATTTTATCAGCGTCTGCTTTGCAAACATCTCCACCGTTTTTATATATTTGAAAGAAAGTTTGGTAATAATCCTTATTCATCTGTGCCAATGTTTCTCGACCATATATTCCACTTAAAACATCTAAGGTTTTTGGATTCCATTTCGAGATATCCATTAAAGGCTCCATCAGATCACAATCAGCCTTAGTAAAGTATGCACAAGCATTTAAGAGAATCAATTTCGAAACACTTTTAGAATTTGTAGCTGCATGAATAATGGCAGTTATACCACCATCACTCCATCCTAGTAAGCAATATTTGTCGAAACCTAGCTTGTTCATTAACTGGATTGTATCATCGGCGTCGATACGATAAAAATCGACAGGAAATTGTCGATCGGGAGGCCTTGAATTTCCATAGCCGCGAGGATCAAATGTAACAACAGTCATACTCTCCGATAGGGCATAAAAGTTATGCTTAAAATCGCTCAAACCAGTTCCGAAAGAGCCTGGCATGCAGAGTACTACTGGCTGCCCTTGGCCTCGTTTACTATAATATAACTCAACACCGTTGATTTCAATCTTACCCGATTGCACATCCTTAGGTAATTCAGACGTCATCCTGTTATTATACTTGCTATAATTGGCAAACCAAGATTTGCCGTAACTAAATCGATGCTTTCTACAGTAAAGGAAATCAGTTGCTATATTTTGTCTAATCCGACGTAATGCTTGTATCATAGCAGAGATTTAAAGAGAGCTGTTGGCAAATTAAGAGCTTCTCCTAGATACGCCCGAACGTCGTAGAAGGAAGCTCTTCTGAAAGTAGCGGGATTGCCGTACGGACAGCAATAAAATATACTGGGTGCTGTATGCTATAGGAATACAGACACTAGTATAAACACTATAAATATAATGCAATAAATAAAAGTGAGAAATGACCATTCTCCATCTTCCAGTTCCAAGGTTCAACAGCTCATTTTACAGCAGCCGGTGAGGTAATCGTCGATGTTCTTATCCAGCTGCAATCATTATTATTAAGTTTACTGGAGAAATTGGTATGCACCGAGCTATTTTACTACAGTAGTACTCATTGGCCTTATTTTATCTTGTCTAAACCAACTAAGTTAAGCAGCTAAAAAAGCTTGCTGGCATTTATTGGAGCTCTAATCAACTCCTCTACTGAAGCACATCAGGAGTAACTGGGCTATAATTCGCTTGCATACAGAATATTTTTCTCCTAAATTAAAATTTCTATACTTTAATTCAATCGCAACTACAGGAGAATCTACAGTAGGTACAAAAGAGTAATAGCCAAAACATAGAGTTTTGGGTCCTCAAAGAAGTCGGTCGTAAATGCGGTACACTGTTTACTGAATAGAAATCTCCAATTGAAAGGACAAACTCAAGGTGATTTATAGAAAGGGCGGCAGATTTTTTTTTACTATCATGCAATTTTAGCCATACCTGGAAGTGATGATTGAAGCATTATAGGGCGATTTTCATGTTATGCTTCCTTGCTAATTCTTTAAACGAATAGCCTTAGACCAGCTCTAATAATGATTGATATAACTTTACGAGATGCCATAATTCTATTTATGGGGTCCATCATTGGTTTACTAGCATCTGATTGTTTATTTGGCGATATAATATTACGATTTCTTAAATCAATGATAAAGTTCCCTTTTAAGTTATTAACTTGGAGATATTACGATAATAAGCTAAATAACACATCAGAACTATCAAGATTTTACGATATTAATCAATTTCAAGAAAGTCGAATGGCGATGAATTGCAATATAGACACTTATTGGATGAACTTTGGATATTGGGAAAAGAGGAGGGACGATAAGGAAGGTAATAACATGACGACTATATCCAATTTTTAGATTTCTTCATTTATTACTGCAATGCAGTGATGAGCCATGACTGAAGGTTTTATTGGTTATCTATCTATTCTGATAGTTAGCGATTGTTTCTGATTGAAACTTTAGTTACTAAGCATTAAATTCTTCAATTGAGATTGATGATCAAGCGTAAATAATTGTATAGCATTGAATGGTATTAAGTATAGAGTCTACAGAGATCTAATCTAGCTTTTGATACCCCTTTGCAAAAGTTGTAGCGCTGTACTACGATCAAATATTGAATATGAAATAGTATTATCGTTGCAATAAAATTTGTCAGGTTGACTGATACAAATTCAGCTACCTGAGATACTATCTAAATAATTCAGTTTTAAAAATGATTATAAAGTATATACTTAATTCTTAGATAATAAATCGAAATGTATTCTGTGATTCTACTGAACAAATATTTTGTTCCGGACTATTCTCTTTCTGATACGGTGTATCAAGTTGGTAAATTAAAAAATTTTTCTGATTCACTAACACACAGGTATTATCATTATTTCCGGTATAGTTATTTTCCCTCAAGCATGTTCCAGAATGGCGGGCAAATTAGCTGAGGCTGTCAATATGCAACCTGGCAATCGATGTTTAGATATTGGTTTTGGATGTGGGGATCAAGACATATGGTGGCATCAACACTATGGTGTTGATATTATAGCGGTGGAAGTTGTGCCATCCCAGGTTATACGTATGATTGTATCAGACCTAACACTTGTTTATAGCTCACAGTTAAGGTGAATCTACAGTATTATAAATGCTCCTATTTTTGAATAAAATTTACTCAGGTTGCGGTTGCCAAACGGCGTGTCAGGGATTTAGGGTTAGAGAAACGCGTACAGCTAATGCTGGGGAGTGCGGATGATCTAAACTTTGCCAGGGCTACTTTTGACAAGGTTAGATTGTATGCATCTAATTAGAAAAACAAACTATCTATTTTTTATTCAATGTACAAATATGCTCGATTGATATTACAGCACGTGAATTGATTATAACATTGTATGACATTGCTCATAACTTATGTATGATTTTATGGGCTTATGACCTCATGAAATTTCGTTTTCTTCTTGTAATATAATAGATTGTCAGCCTTGATAGTGCTTACCACTATCGTACTAGAGAAGTATTCTTCTCCAAAGCGTATGCCTTGCTACGCCCAGGTGGTTCGCTAGGTCTAATTGATTTCGTATTTAACAACAGGTATCAATGCATAGTAAAGTGAGTGTTTAAAAATTGTGCTTTTACATATAAATTAACTATTTCAGCTATCCTGCAATTTCTACTTCGAAAATGTAGTAAAAATCTTATTTATAGAAATTAAGGGTTTCTGGTACTCTTTTGACCGTAGGAAATCATCACTATTACAAGAGTTAGTCAAGACTTGTGCCTCAAAATTCTTCCTGGTTCCAAAAGTGAATATGGTATCCATGGATACTTATGCGTTGCAAATGAAATCTGCTGGTTTTTGTAATGTCAGGATTGTGGATCTTTCAGAACATGTATTTAATGGTAAGTGATGCTGTTGTACAGCAATATACGTCTATCTTGTATTAATTAATTATACTTGCTCACGATAGTCGCTGACATAAACATTGCAAGATCGTGCATTTAATAATTTTTACCGCTGATCGAGTTAGTAATGCATAGTTTTAGAGTTTAAACTATAAATAAGGTGTATTTGAGGAAATAATGTCGGTATCTCCTAATTTATCTAATTATATTCTGCATGAACAGAGGGTAGTTCACCTTATTAAGTTCAATTTTATATTGCTCCTTACTTCTATATTAAGGAGTTTATAGCAGGTATTGTCTAAAGCATGGTGACCATATAGATATTAACTGTTTCGGTATTATTGGCCTCTAATAGGGTTTTATGAATACAGTGTCAACCAGTACAAAAAATATTCTGGTTTGATAGCACCTCGTGCTTTTATACAACTACGACTTGTCGGAATGGCAATCAAATTTGTTGGAAGATATACCAATATCAAATGCATCTTGGCTACTGGTGATAAACTTTCTAGCAAATGAAATTTGATTTACTAACGTAGATATAGTATTCTTACAAGTTTATGGTCTGACTAATCATCTCAAAACAAGCGTATTATATTGATAAAAAATAAATACTTCACAAAGACAATGATGAAATTATTGCTCCTAGTATCAAAATTCTATTGTTTTAATATTAAGATATAACAGTATGTCCTGCTTGCTTCTGTTCTCTGTAATACATGATTCTCTCAATGAATAAAATATTTCGTATTTGGAAAAATTTTAAAGTATATTCACAATTTTACATCACTATCGGAACCTAACCATCATAAAGCTCTAATCGGTTAATAGTAGTTTTTGCAAATTCTTCATATACAGGATAATCATAAATTTTTGTTACAATTTTGACGCAATCAATGGGATAGATTCCATGACGTTGCAACGTCTCAGAATAACCAAAATATTGATTAGGTCTCAAACCCAATCTTTCAAAGTATACCAGATCCCCTGGTTGAAGAGATAGTTCCCTATTGTCATCTTTAGCCTTGTATTCCTTAACAGCGACATGTACTGCACGTTGGCGATGATGGATTATATAACGATCGCAACCAAATAAATTATAGGCTTCATCTAAACTGTATATAGTATGACTTATATCGTGCCATAGATAAATTTTTTTAATTTCATATACTAGTCTTCCTACGTTGGATGACATGGTCACAATAGTATAGTCACTAGCAGCTAAAAGGTAGATATCAACGAGTGCAGTTTCAAATCCTCTCTTTGAATATCTTGGTGATTTATAGTAGCTCCCTTCAGCAAGAGATGTAGCATCATAATCATTTATAATGGTATATTGATGACGAAAGGACTTTGATTGTTGGGCAACTTTTGTATCATCCGTGGCTAAAAAAATGGCTTTGTTGGTATCATCGGAACTGCCATTGCTAGCTAACGATTTAAAATAGGAATCTGCAATCTCAAGATATTCCTGTAGTCCGTAATATTTAGCTTCTTTAAATAGTTTATCTGTATGACGAATATGAATACCGACCGTAGACGACGGATATTGTAAGCGTTTTCGAGCCATTAATAGTAATGATCGCAATTTCGATGTTGGTAATAGAACGTAACGCATGACTAAAGAATGCCACCATAAAACAGGATCATCACACCAAGGCAAAATATCTGCAACTAGATCAGCCGGAACCATATAACCATATTGGCGATGAAGAATATAGCCGAAAGGAAAAGCGATGACTTTATGATCAAGTTGCGCAAGATCGTGTCCCAACCAAGTGAAATCATATTTAGCAGCCTGATTTTGGATATCAGGCGTTACAGTACAATTGGTTAATGGATAAAAGTAATCATTCCATTGGATTTCATATCGAAATTCTTCCCAATCAAAAACAACTGTCCTATTCAGTCCATAACCAAAAATTAAACAATAAGCTAGATGATGCAGAACACTTCCTAAACCATGAGGTGGCACTTGACATAGCAATAGCTTGACTGACGAACAATTTGGGGGAAATTGCAAGCCATGCAATCGACGCTGAGTTAATAGACTAACATTAAGAGCTTTTAACCTATACTTTTCATCAATATTTTGGTTAGGATTGATCTTGCCTAAGCCATAATCAACCTCAAGATGCTGAGCCAGAAGTGATGCTCTTCTCATCGTCGGCATGTATTGCATTGAATCAGTTAGTACGTCGAATTGGGCCGTTTCATCTTTCTCTGCTTGAAATTGAGCTCCTACATGAATACCAATTGTCATATACCAGATCAATAGTACAAAGAATATCCTAATCCAAAGCATGACGAATCAGATATCCTGTTTGATGATGAGAAATGGACATGATAGAAAGGCAATGGAGGGGTATTTGAAATACTAAAGTTGGTAACTAGAGCAACAAGGCGGTGGCTCACAGCAGGATCGACTGGACTAGTAGACATGCGTAGTTTGTTTCCATCGTCTAAATGAAAGCTTTCCTGCTGAAAATTGTTGTTTTCATTTGAGAGAAGGTCGAGGCCATTTTCGATAGGAAAGAAGTGTTTCGTTGTCCCTAATTCGACATTAGCAGTTATAACAGTGTTTGATACAGCATTGTGAAAGGACCAAGGCGACTCCATTTTCCTCCCATAATTGAAGTCAATCCGATTCAATATCAATATATATAACAATTAATCATGAGACTATTTTGAAATTTATAAGCTCTTGTTGACATAGCTTAATGAGAGGAGTTGACTAAGCATCTCGAATAGTGCCTGTAAACGTTATTTGACTTGATAGTCGGCTGTGCCGCGTGTCTGTTCTAGGGAATTTCTCTCCGAAAATCCCTGGTGCTTGGACATGACTGCAGAGCCGCTACCCGGTTAAGAAATGAATAATGGGCAACTATCTAGAGCTGCTATCGAATTCCTGTACGTTTAGCATTATGTATTGTAAGGGTTTATAAATCCTCTTTTTCCCTCTATTTTAGTAGTTGCTGATGATATTAGCAGATATTATTACTGTAGTAGTAATACTGAATTGGAAATGTGTGTTGAAAGTTTGTTTACTCCTGTCGATAATAATTTTGCGTTGAACGAGGGGCACACGGCACACTGCATAGGGCAGTGAAAGGATTTTCACAAAATCGTAGAGGTATCTCTATGATCCAAACTGACAGTCCAGTCCAGCCCGATGACTTTCATGAAACCGTTGTAGCAAGATTTTAATAACATTTTTATTTCGATGTGTACAGTATACTTATTTTTGAAGAAAAATGGAAGCCTATTTTATGTCGATGGTTAATTCAGGGATATTTGAAGTAAATGTATCCAAAGATTCACTTACTCCACATTGGAGTCAGACGAGCCTATACAGTACGTCGATTACAAATTGATTAACCATAAAACCAGGGACTACTCAAGACTCAAGTAAAAATGTTACCCTTTTTCCACCGTCTTCTACTCCTCTCTCTTGGATTGCTCTACTGTATGTTTATACTGCATGGATATAGTAAGAGAGAGGAAGTAGGAGACGGTGGAAAATGGGTTTTCTTTGAGCAATCCCTGCTAAAACCATCATAGACTCTTCCATCCAATATAGCAGTCTCTCAGGCGTGACAACTTTTGTCTACTGTACTGAACAATGGACGTAGAAAATCAACGGGCTCCAACTATGTAAATGAATTGATCCATAATTGAAGTAATACAATAAAATCTTATTAATATAGTTCAAGTTGAGATTAGGTATACGTATTAGTGCTCTTTGCTAAAGCGCTACTTCGTATTTCTCCAAACTGCAAAAAAATTGTTCTGTTTAACAATTTCGTGTTAATGAATTATTTGTACGCGCTCGGCGCCGTCACTAATACTTTTGGCTTTGTTTACCGGCTATCAAGGAGCAGCAAATTGTAGGTGTGCTTTAGACTTTTGTTTTGCATTGGATAGTCTATCACCCACTTTTAGCTCGATCACTCGTTGAAGATGGACAAACTTGGCAGCGATGTGCACTATTCTGTGAAATGATTCGTCCAATGTCAGATCTTTGTGACTGCAGCCACTTTCCGCCCATGTCATTTTCTTGCTTTTAGCTTGGCATTGGAGCATGGAGTCCCTGTTGATACTGAGTTAGTGTATTTGCAAGGTCACCGTAGCATTTATAATCATGCTTAGCAAAATAGCAGCCTGCAGATAGTATCGCTAAAATTGGAGAGTTTCTCCATCATCCAAGCTGTACAGTACAATACTGTACTGTACAGTACTGTATAGTGTAGAGGTACTGTACCGTACAGTACTGTACAGTACTGTAGTCTCCACTTGTGTTGTACTGTACTGTACATTTTGGAAACAGAACTACAGTGTACAGTACTGTACAGTACAGTATGATGAAAGGTCTCTACAGTACTGTGCACTGTACACTGTATAATGGAGACGAGACCTGACGGCGAATGAAAAGCCAAAGGTTAAGGAAAGTAATGGAAATCCTATCACTATCACTGGATATCACTATCGGAACCCGGAAAGTACTGGACATTCTATCACTATCACTGGATATCACTATCCAAACCTAACCATCCTAAAGCTCCAATCGGTTTTCTTTCGGTAGTCCTTGATGGAAGGTCTGTACAGTACTATGCACTGTACATTGTAAACGTACACTGTACACTGTACTCCGGAGACGAGACCAGACGGCGACTAAAAAGCCAAAAGAAATTACTGGCCAGCAACCAAAACTCAACAGTAACTCGCCTTCAATTCATTTGATATCGATGATGGCATGGTCATTTTACCTTGATGCTTTCCCTGTGGGCCAAACAATCAATGCAATGGATACATTTGGCTAACTCAAGTTGAGCAGTCTGACAAGATCGATCGAAAATAATAACGCTAGAGATCCGTACAATCAAGAAATTGAGTCTATTAAGCCATCTCAAGTCATTGGATTGATCGACTGCAATTAAAAGGAGAGATTCATTCTTTGCATACTGTGTCGTCATTTCAGTCCATTCCTATACTGTCTTATTATTCATTGACGCTTGTATGCGCCGTCAAAAGCTCATCTCCATTTCACTCATCCATAGGATACTCAACGTCCGGACATATTGTATAAAAAAAAAAATCACAGTCTAGCAATTTTCACGCTTTTTCTCCACCCAAGGCAGCGATATTATCCATTGATAAGCTCCCATTCAATCTTTTCATTCGTTGGTTGTGGATTAACTTGCCCACAACGCCAGCAATTTTGACAGGGAGCCAATCGATCAATTCACACCGATTGCATGATCGTCGTAGCCATCTTGAATAAAGCTCTTTGTTGACAAGATATTGCTACAACTGCAATCTCCCACTTTGTTCTACTGTACTCTAGCCAATCAACAAAACCTCCAAAATTACTTTTTTGGGGGGTGGGAGGACGCTATTGGGTTCTACCGTAGATGTAGACTGGACAAATTAGTCCTACTGGATTCATCGTCATCACCTATCAATAGGCTGGAGTTTCCATAGTCATCGTCGTGCCGAACATTCTTTGTTCTACCATAACTTGTTTTGCCAAGATCGCTAGGTGACACTCGTACAATAAAAAGCTTAGCAATAATAAAGTGTTAAAACCGAGAGAGCCTCCATGCTGTTGAAGCATTCAACGTCAATAGTCTACAATCATTGGGGAATTGAATCATTAAACGGCTTACTGGTAGAGAGAAAGAAATAAAAGTAGCAACCACGTATATCCTACGACTGGAAAGCGAAAGTAGACAGTTGTTACATTTTCTGTAGAACAAAGATTAATATTGACTGCATTAGCCCAGTGCTTTCACAATCCTATTGAAACCACTACAATTCCATCACGTAATAGAGATGGATGACGACGACAATCGATCAAGTAATCTCAGACGAACTTATTCGGCTCCTATGCTTAATACCAATTGCCGCCAAGGTCATGATAAATTTTTCGATAGTAATTTGGATGCTCGACGTGCCTCATCATCATACAATCAGGCTGGTTTCTCCTCTTTTAATTCCAATAGCACAATCTCGCATGAACCTCGCAGGGTTAGTTGAAGAAAATTGAAATTTTCTATTCTACAAGTAGATTATTAATTACTGGTTATACAAGTATGACCGTTATACTATTCAACGATTATAATAACAAGTATTGCAATTGCTGTATTGGAGTATCACATGAAGTTAACCGAAATCTTCAATCCTACAGTACATTATATCATATTTTACCTACTACTACCAGGATCATAAATTGATAATATAATTGGTTTATTCTGACTGATTGTCCAATTGTTGATAGCTTCATAGTATGCTAATACTGAGATATTTACAAGCGAGTATGCAGTATCGATAGATGCATCTCGGGATTCACTACGCTCAAGATAAACGTGTAGTTTTGTGCATAAGCGTAGAATAAGTAAGGAATAGTAATAGAATATCAGTAAAACTGTACGATGAAGATGTAAAAATGTAGAAAAAGAGCAACTACAAGAAGGTGAGTTTCATTGCCACAAAAATAATTTCCTCTCTATACTGTAAGATTATAAGCCACTTAACAGCCATTTACTGGAATGTCTCTGAAAGACAGTACTCAGATTCGATTGATATACTGTACATACATCAAAATTGAATTCGGGGGCTAAAGAACTGTAAGTCATCAATGTTAGGTTATAAACTGCATTGGCCCATTCATTACTGACTAGAGAAAACACTACCGATAGTTTTTTAGTCAGATTATTACATTTAGAAATCTCCCTCAAGATCCTACTACACTTGACGATAACAATGCCCTACCATTCTCGATCAGCCTTATTTAGATTGATACTGTATATTGCTTTTGTTTGCATAGCTCGTTTTATCATGATCATCAACTTAACGACTGTATGCCTCACAAAGTTAAATTGTAAACGCAATATAGTACGTACCAACGAGAAACATCAGTATTTCCATGCACTAATTGATTGCTCTTTGTTCTCCTAGCCTTCTGGAAGGTTTTCACCACGAATACACCAAATTAAAAGGGTAAGATAGTGAATGTATACCTATTTAAGAATAATTTTACCTTAGAGTGGCAACCACCATGAACGAAATAGGATCGATTTTTTGACGTCATCTTTGGTAGTATACTTATTGTACAATATACACTTTTGATCTTCATTTAGGAAGAAATCACCAACAGTATTGATAAGGAAGTAGCACATGAAAGGTATTTATATTTACTTTTCAATAAGCTACTGGCACTTTAGTAGGCTATTTTTCAGATACTAATTAAGTGTGATAAACCATAGCCAAACCACAAGCCAACTTTTACTACATAGACGCTGGAGTGATTTTTCCATTGTACGTACGCATATATTAATAACTCAATTTTGATAATAACAATAACGATTGGATTATTAAGTGTTACTCAATCTATTTACTTTTATAGGATGATGTTAAAAAAGACAATGATAGCACCGACTCCACGTCGCCTTTAACTTTAAGCCAAGTTAGTATGATGATACATCATTGCACTAAAATTACTTGATCACATTTCTACTGCAACACATATTTAGTAAGAGAGAGCTGAAACTGATTTTAATAAGGTTGTTGTAAAAAATTTGTCCTTAAATGTAACAAATATGTGTTACAGGAGGAAACTATGACTATATCCAGACCAAATGTATTAGGGATAGATAGCAGAGGTTCAACATCTAGTCCAACTTGGCGTAAAATATTCCTGTAAGTTACCCAAGTGAGCAAATAGATATCCCAACAATGTATAGTGTATATTGTTTTCTCTAGCCTTTAGTGCACTACATATAGCAAATATCTCGCTAATATTGTTACAGGTAATCATAAAATAGCTTTCTATCTAAAAATCGTACGATAAAATTTACTCCGTATTTTCCTCTCCGCGGCAGCACTCGTAAGAGCTCCAGCCCTATTACAGTGGGTTCGTCTAATAGCAACAAGCGTAAAGGTAAATTATCCAAAGTTGCTAAACACTTGAATATAACTGTAGTTCATACTTGTATCATAATCGGATACTATTCGTGTTTTATGGCATATAGGAGAAGATTTTGATATAGATATGGATTGTGGTCCAACAAAACGTCTCGCTAGAATGTCTCCTGGGAGTCCGCAAGATGATCATACATTCTTCTCAAGCGTTCCTGCAATCCATCAGGGCTACTCATTTGTTTATCCATCGCCTAACGCAACGATATCCCCATTAGCTTTACCTACTTCTTCACCTTCAATGATATCCTCATCGACTTGGTCGCCTGATAGTAACCTCAATAGTGAAAGGGATGAAAACGATGCACATGATGAGAAAATTTCGTAATATTAAGTGATTTACTTGCGATTGCTATATCATGGCTATATTCATAGTACAGTATTTGTAATTCTGCTATTAAATTTGACATATGCGTAGCGTAGTAAATCTATCAATGAATCAAATTTACTTGCAGTATATGACAAATGAACAATGTTCGAAAGATTCTATGTATAGCATTGAATGTTATTGGATCGCTTACACTTTTGGCCTACTGACCTGCTCATAGTAGATTAAAGTAGCAATTCTGTTCTGAACTGAATGATTGAATCTCGCCTATTAAATAATATTTGAGTTCTCTGTGAAATAATCACCGATAGAACTGCTTAAACATTGTCATATAATGAATACTTAATGTAATGACTATTTAAGCGTCGCAATATTTGTTTATGATGTATATGTCAGAGTATGAATTTTATCTAAAAATAAGATAGTACCAAATCTAATCAATGATTCTTTTGAGTTTATGACTACGCCTTGAATTCAAGGATTGAATGTTTCTAAACGATGCTGTAAAAATGAATTTCGCACTTTGTTGTGTTGAAAATATTAATGTACAGGATCGTAGTACGTCATGAAAGTTAAAATGAAATTGAAACTTTTATGATATACTACTCTACCTTTGATATTGCTGTCATTAAAAGGCTAGTAGTATTGGTAATGTAAAATATGTAATAAAAGCTACCGTTACAACTTAAACTGCAACTGACAAGATATCTAATCTATTTTAAACTAAAAATCACTTGTCTGCAATATTTAACTATAACGATTTATACAGTAGCTGGTGAATTAGTTCTTATAGCTTAATATATAAAGCCCATTCACTACTGACCAAGTGAATATTGTCATACCGAATACATCGTGCACCATTGTCCAAATAGCAGCCAGGAGCAAACTGTACGAGTAAAGCAGCTTTTTTCAACTTGTTTGAGTTTCTATTTTCACGGGTGATGGCAGATTAATGCTGCTTTTATTGGTTATATCACTAGCTTTAAGTTGATAATCCACTAACCAAGCTAAGATAGTTATTATTTTAATGCTAGCACTAAAACATCACAGTGAAACTGGACTCATTCTGCTATCAGTTAAACCTACACATTGGTAGATTAATTTAAGGCTTGAGAAATGGTGAATAACTGTGGTCAAATTAATTCAATGTAATCATAAAAATGAACGATTAATATTCAGTATAACAAGAAGCTTTTAGGAGAACTCCTCAAGATAATGATGTTTTAACACGATAGTTAATTTTATGCCTAGTGCTAAAACATCCTATTAGAAATAACTGGTTTGATAATGTCGTCAACTAAATCGATATGTTGGATGATTCAACTGAGGCATGAGCATGAGAAATGAAAACTAGGCATATGCATAAGTAAAATTAAATTAAATAAAATCCTAAGACTAACGATGAAACTATCTAGCCTGATGAGAACTCATCAAGATAATGATATTCTAACAAGATTAAGATAATTTTATTATTGCTAGCATCAAAATATCCTAGTCAAATAACTGGTTTGATTTCGCAAGCAATCAAGCAGATTGAAAACCTACACGTTACTTGATCACGTTAAGACTTGCAAGATGTAAACTAATGAAATCTGTTGGCATCAAAACTGTCAGTTCAGATTCATTACCATGTCAATACTTAAATGAAATAATTTGAATTTACTCGCCACAGTGCGATAGTTTCCTGTTTGAAGTACCCTGAAAAGGTTATACTAGATCTAGATAGATAGGAAAGGTATTTTATAATTGAATGTAGGTTTGTGCATGGTAATTCGGAAATTTCATGTACGGCTATAATAATTGTAATTAATGCGTATTCTAAATTATTCTACTCGTAGTTAATAGAGACTTTCTTCTCCAGAATAGTTGGCCAATTTTGGTAATTTTAAGCTTCTCCAAGATTTTAACGAAGGGGAAGATGGACATGTTTATGAAGGCAATGTTCCCTAGAACAACCTCTACCATTATAAAACTAAGATAAAATAGTGAAATATTATCACTAGCCCTAACGATTATTTTGAAGCATCACTAAATAAGTGCAAAGACTTCAGATAATTTGAATTTTTCTCTAATATTTGACAGTTAAATATTCCGAAGCAGGTGCAAGTTGTTTATATCGAGCTAGTCCAGCTTACTAAACTATTTATTCTCGCCATGCGATATACTGTAAACTATCCATATAACGGTATACTGTACTAGTCAAGAGTTAACAGTACAGTAGCGAGTATAGTACGATCGCATCATCAGCACATGGAGATATTTTAGTTTCTCGCTACTTTTTCCATGGTGCAATGTATCTCAATGAATCCGCCCTACTGTCGGCTAGAAATCCTTCTTAGCAACTCTATCGTGATAAAGAATTAGTTGAAATCACTACGCTACAATCAATCCAAGTTAACCAATCCGCGTTGTGAATTTAAAAGGTGTTTAACGTCCATTTTAGTCAGCCAATATGTCCGAAATCAACAGCAGCTTTTCCAAACAATCCGTACAAGCCATCGCTGAGAGTTGTGGAGTAATGCCAATAGAGGATGATTGTTATCAAGTTATAGCTGACGAAGTTAGCGCCAATTTAAAGGCAATTATCCAGGTTGTCCATGTCTGTAAAATGAACTCTTTTCAACGCCTATTTTGGACTTGTCTGTCATGCAATGGAGAGCTCGAGGATTATATGCAATAGCTTGATTTACCTGAGCATGACAGTCCTTAGTGCAAACAGCATACGCGCAAGAAACGTTGCATTTTATTCGAGTTCCAATCTCTGTCGTTATAATTCTCCTATTTTTTTCTCAAATTAATTATCTTTTCTTGTCAAGTAGAGTAAAGTATCTAGAAGTAAAAATTATACTTTAGTAGTTGCATCTACTGTACTAAGGCTACAATTTAGAAGAGAGACTACGATTCACTGCATCATAGATACGAGCTCATGGATGAATTTTTCTGCCTTTTAGTGAGAACGTTAGGAAATCGAGATTTCTCGTTCTACAAGAAAGAGGATTCTTAGCGCTATAGACTACCTATCTCTTGTCCTTTCGATAGCCTTACATAATCTACTGAGACAATATGTACAGTAATCAGGTCTTGCTGTATATTCGCTCCTGATTACAGCTTAACTAGTGGGCACTCTTTTCCTGGAGTGGAAATCACATGTTGCAATGCAGAATAGAACTTTCTCAATCTTTTGTTGCGCTAATTTCAACTGGCAATTGCAATTAATTATAGGATAGCATGAAATTCATGCGCCACAGCAGACGCAGTAAACTAACTCCTGATGACATTGATTTGGCTTTAAAGCTAAGAAATAGAGAGGTATGAGTGATGATACTACAGCCGTAAAATTGGACATGAAATTTCACCATCTACCAGTTGTTGATAGCCAGCTAAACGGCTTTAAAGGGAAATGGAATTATTGATATTTGTTTGTTGACTCATTTTTTGCTTGATAAAATTGTATCTTTCAGCCTCTGTACGGCTTTACCTCTCGCGATTTCGTACCTTTTCGTTATGCAAGTGGTCAAGGCAGAAGATTACATTTCCAGCCTGATGAAGAATTAAATTTAACCGAATTCTTAGAATCACTACAAGTTCCTCAAGTACCAATAGACTCTTACGTACGATGTAAGCTCATGATCATTTAACATTGCGTAATAATAGTATAATAATCATGGTTAAATAGAATTAATTAATGATTGCCTTGCAATATACAAGTATGTGAGCGTGAATGGATCAAGTAAGTTGATCATTATCAAGTTAAATGATGAAGTTAGAATTGTGTCCTAATTAGTAATGATAGACTTAGATGTAAACTGCTAGAAGAAGATCAACTTCGTCTAGTAGGGCCTTGACTAAGGCCTCATCTTAAGACTAGAGTGATAGGATGGCATCAAGGCCAATGCTTCAAAAATTGTAATTATGTATCCTGAATAGTTTGATTAATGCAAAAAATATTATTAGTCTGTGCTTCCACGCAAATTTTGAGATCAACGCGAAGTTACATTTGATTAGAAATCGTGAATCTGGAAGACCAGTTGCTAATATGGTCGGAAGTAAATCCCATGTGCATGTTGTTACTAGGTATCATGATTGTTTAGCCGCAGAATTGTAACTCTAGATAGGTTCGTTTATACTTACTTAATATTTCGCTACGATTACCTGATTTCTAGCAATTCGTCAGCCAGAAAAATCGCTAGTTTTGATGGGATTATCGCATATACGAGATAGTTCATATCACATGTACAGTATAATACAGCATCGATTTCGCGATCGACTACGCCGAAATTAACGTATAATAATATTAGCAGTATAGGAGATATTTTACTAACAGTAATTACTGTTGATGCTTGATAGCGCATTGGTTAAGCGTTGAAGGTACTCAGCCGCTAATTCAAGAAAACCCTGATCCTGGTAATGATAAATATTTTAAACTTTAGGTATCTTAATATTGATGAGCCGGTTGAATATACTATTCTTTACCTGCATGAAAATAGGAACGTAAAAATTGACGAAATCAATAAGTGTACATATTTGTTTTACAGAAATATTACGCAAATTTAAGAGAATGTCTCAAGATGCTTTCGTAGATGATTTCATTCCCAAAGTGATCCCTCCTTGCATCCCTTTAGTTCAATGTAATGACAAATTGAACAACAACAAAAAAATCCCTAAAGATAAAGTAAAACAACACGCCAATGTAGCATTTATAAAGCCGCTAAGCAGCCACGAATTGTCATTGGTGAGCTAATGGAAGAATCCGATTGAATGTATCATTTTGTGATGAATGTGTTTGCTTTTGTACAATGTTGCCATTGCAATATATTCAGTATACCTACAAATTATTAACCTCTGAGACAATCTTTCCATAACAGGAACAGCAAATCTTTTTTAGAGAAATCACGGAGGCCTGCGTCAGCGATTGTGAACAGTTGAGAAAGGTAATAAACCACTTCTAGTTTTGCCAAAAATGCAGGCATTTCAATCTGATCTAAGATGCTTGACCTTAATGCTTACTTCTATTTAAATTCAATGTCGTAGAGAGCCTTAGAATGCTTGCGGCATGATCCTGGTCTCGATCAGATGTTGCCGTACTTTAGCAAGTTCATCACAGAAGGGGTAACGGAACCATTTACTTATAAGCTGTAATTTAAAGTTTCAGCATTGAAGAGGGAATTAAATGATATATGCGATTTGATAGATACGGACCAATATTCACCGAATGGAAAGCACTGTTATCATATATCTTTTGCGTCTAATGGATTCACTTCTTCGAAATGAAACACTTCGTTTGGAAAAATATGTGCGTATACTATACACCATTGCACTTACAGTAAATTTCGATTTATATTTAGCGTATTTGAAAATTTTAATTGATCATATTAACACTCTTTGCAGTTGCACGAATTAATACCAGTTGTATTGAGTTGTATAATCAATAAACAAGTGCCTGTCAGAGACGTGGACGCTAGATTTGTTGTTCAACAGTTAGCTTCATCAATAATAGTTAAGATTTGTAGGTAATGTAAAACTTGATTTAGGAATCTAGTATGCGATAATAGAAGAATAATTTGTGTTTGGCGTTATGTTATTGACGTATTTTGTATTTGAAAAAGGAATAAAGTTTATAACTCGAGCGTGAATAATGTCCAATCGAGAATTACCAAGATCATAGTTGACGTACGAATGTCTCATTTTGTTTCGTTATCCGATTTTATCGATTGTTTGTTGTATTTCTTGTACTTTATTTTATTCGATAGGCCTTACAAAATCAACCAATGCCACTTCAATCGCATTATGGAGCTTTTAATCTTATCGCAAGACTGTGCAACGATAATGTACATAAAATTTTTATTTCACAGAAATGATGTTACTATACGTACCTTATACACTGTTAATGAAATCGATAGGGATTGGAGCAAGCCATCTTACCGGTATTGAAGGAATGGAGTAATGCAGTTGAAAATTCTTTGAGGGACGCAACTGGTAGTAATGGCGTAATTGCGAAAAAATTAAAAGAGTTGATATTGGTTAGTTGTCTTTATATTTTAATTACGGAATGTTCTTTGCTAGGGTACAGTAGATTCTTTATAAAATCATTATCTGCGGTAATTGATTATATTAACGTAATAGCAAACTATCGCCCCTGTAATCCGCATGTTGGATGAGTCTCTTTATACGATGCAAGAAAAATACGGTTACATAGGATCGATAATAGCTCAAAGTTTTCAATGTTCGCAGCAGAGTAATTCAGAGGGCCAAGATTCGGATATGGTAATATGTCAACTAGGAATCTTTATAATACGCTTATACTAGTGTATGAATTGGCTTGGAAATTCCATGCCAGCTTATGGCTTAAAATTTATAATTGTGTATATTTATTTACTTAAATCCAAAGCAATTATAAATCAGATTTTAATGGATAAAAATAGTCTCATGTTAACTATCTCTCCTCAGCTTCGCTTTATCTTATTGTAAAGGATGTACTAGCTTCTCCATCAAAAGCATATACCTATCATTAAACTCACAGAAAGCTGCTTATCGTCTTTAACACAGGAACTAAATGATGCATCTCTCTGTAACCTTTCAAATGGAAAGCAGGATAGTTTGGGATCATTATCGAGCTGTATCAATGGAGCCGAAATTTTTACAAACGCATATCAAAAGTCGTATCAAGTAAGCATTGTTTTGATAATGGATTTTACTGTAAACTGTTTGAATAGAGATGACTCTGTTGGTAAACTTGCTAAATAAGCTAAATTCTATAATATTTACAAGCTACCCGTTAATGTCACGAAAGCATACGATGATTGCTGCAGTCCTAGTATGAAGGAAGATATAATAAATGAAGACGGTGGTGGTATCTACTTGTAATTCTTTTGCTAGGAATGTCTCCAGCTGATTCAACTTTTCATCTTATACTAGAAAAGATGCTCTATCAAATGTTAATTCGAGAATTTAATCACTTGCTAATCCAATGGAACCTTAAGATTTTATGTACGTTTAGAAAACCTCATTTTAAATCAATATATTACCAAAATTTGGTTCAATAGATGGACAATATAGTTATGTATCTATAAATTTGTTTTGTATGTATATCACAAGTGAAGTTAATAATGGATATCGTTTTTCCTGAATAATTTGCCTTAATATACAATCTTGTTTATTATTGCGATTTTTTTACTAAGCTACTACAAATAGTGTCGCTCAAAGATATTTGGTATAATAAATGTCCGTACTCTGGCATTGTCCTAGCAGACAAAAAATTTTGTCGGGATATAACTTTCACATTAGAAAATCGATCCGCACTTTATACCTCAAGTATGATGCAGCGTTGAGAACATTCAACACTTATCGACTATTTCGAAGTGTGGTGATGCACGAATAATATATATTCATCGTACGTAATTCTACGTGCTAAAATTTCGACCAAGAGGAAATAAGATACTAGAATACAGTGTTATAGTAACACCATTACCTAACATCAAAGTGCACCTTATAGTACTTACATTAGCAGCATTGTTGCTAAGAGAAGGTTACAACAAAGTTGATTTAAGACATCAATGTTACATATTCTCCCATTAACTTTGCACATTAGCAGTCAACGATCCTAGCAGAATCATTTCTTCGACTTATTCATTCAATGAGATTGTACTACAATAATTTTATTGTTCGTTTTAAATAGCAACCTTAAAGTGAGTTGCTGAAAACATTACACAAGATAACTTTCTCGGTAATTAGTTAAACAAGCTGACAGTGGAAGTACAACACGTAGTGCTGGTCACACATTTCATACTGTACAGTATACGAGTACATAAAATCATACATTAAGAAAATACATACAAGAAAAATTATAGCTTATTTTACCAAAATTTCTAGAAACAAACTGAAATCATTATTGCTAAAGGTTCATATCGTTCTTCCAGTTATAGGATAGTGTTTTCAGTAGGTATTAGCTGAGTACGCGTACAAACACACTATCTAGGTAAATTATCTTAATATATAATAACGAAATCAGTAATCTAAGTACTGACGATATACTACGAACTTGCATAATCAAACTACGAATTTGAATTAATCATTATGCACTTTGTTGAATATAATCGATATTAGCTGACTTAGCGATGATAATAACGTAAAAAGGTAAGGTTGTTTATTTGTGCGATCGCCTAAGCTTGATTTAGAGGTAATTTTTAACGGATATATTTGCCCATAAATCTTCTGTGAAAACCGGATCTTAGGGTGTCATTTATAAAACTTTTTTCCTGTTTCAACAATCATTATCAATAAAAAATAATTCAGAAGTAATTCATATCAGCGTATTATAATGAAACTTTAAGATCGTTATATCAGTTAGTAAACCTTATTTCTGGCATCTTCCTCCCCACGAGCACAATTTTTAAATACTACTTCGTCATCCCATCTACATATGATATTACATAAAGACGACAAATTTTAGGTCAAGGTGTCAACAATAGAGATGGTATACCAATATGATACAGCATATATCGTGATTATTGATAGTATCTTATTACCTTCGTTTGACCGAAAAATTACTGTTTTCATTCAATAACGGGTTTGCGGACATAACATTCTCCATACGCACTCTCTCTTCATCGGCTTTCTTTTCTTCTTCTACTTTTTTTTGTTCTACTGCTCTTTCCCGCTTTATTCTATTCAATTCGGCCATTAATTCCGCAGTATCATCTTCACTGTAGTATATAACAGTTAATTAGTTACAATAGCAAGCATCAATTTTAGGCCGACAAAGTAGCAGACTATTGTAGGTTTCAATTTCTATAGCTAGAGAAAATATTGGATAAGATATACTCTTGCTTTTTCTTGTATCATACCTATCTTCATCCTTTATAATTAGAGCATCAGTTGGAGTATAGCAATAATAAGAAGATTACCGATAATTGAAGTATTAAAACAATGTTGAAAGTGAAGATTAGTATTTTTAATGAGGCATTTTATTACTTCACAAGTACTATTACAATACATACTTTACGTTGGTATACTTACATCAACATCATCATCATCATCATCATCAAATACATCATCAGCATCTAATTCGGCTGTTGATAAAGAATTTTGAAATAGAAAAACAAAGTTAGTTGCGTGGTTATTCGAAAAGATGATACAATGTATAAATACATGGCTTGATACTACTGTCTATAGCAAAGCGTTATACCTCTAACAAGAAAGAGTAACAATACCCGCATTTATAGTATACTAGTATTGATAGTTTATGTTAACACTGTCTTAACGTCTTACCTATAGTAGGTTGATGCTCTTCTGATCGCGGTTTCTTGGTTGACGGTGGCATATCTATGTATGCGTATATGAATGGAACAAACAGGAATCTTATTCAATCTTTAACACTCCTAATATGTTTATTAATGCATCTATCTTGGTAAAACGTTACGGCTATCCTAACGTCTAAATGAATGATACTGAAGAGCTTTTTATGATTGACCAACCGATAGATCGAGCGGAAATACGATCACGATTGTTCGTCGATTGTTTATCTCGCGTTGCAGTTCGTTCTTTTTCTTCCAATTCCCGACGAAAGTCGCGTCCTTTGATTTCATCGACCTTTCCTTGGCCAGGTTGTCTAATTAATAGCGTCAATATCATAGCATTTTAGCAAGAGACAAAGATAATAAGCTACGATCCTAAGGTTGATTATATCCTTATAAAGATTTGTGGTCAGCAGATGATTATTATTGTTCAGTACGATGTACTGTACGTATAAGCATTATAATTATCGCAGTTGTATACAGCTGTAACTTTTTGCCTAACGACATGGGAGCTTCAATGACTACTTTCAACTCATCTAGTATGAGTATCATTGTATTTGCATAAGAGACAAGCAGGACGATATCAAAATTTTCAATTTATAGATAATGATTATCCTTTAACACGATATACATATGCGTTATTGCAGCAATCAGTATAGTAAACACTTTGCTCAAGGCATTTCAGCTTCCAATGTCCAATTTCAACACATGGACAAGTACGAGTATCATCACTCTTGATAAGAGAGAAAGGCATAAGACTAAGACATTACGATTGATCTTTTTATTTACAAGATTTGTAGTTCAATGATGATGATGATGACTATTTCAAGGTGATATTTATAAGCATTGCAGCATTGCAGTATCCTAAATGCTTTCTGCCCTCGTAAGACGTTGCAGCTTCAACAAGCAAACTTTCAACTCCAAGATGAAGCGTTGAAAAATTGCTGTAGAATAGTCATAGACTAGTGTTACCTAGTCATCACAAACTAGTTCAAATTACAAAGCAATCTAGCTAAACATACCGAACTTTTAACTTGGTATGAGAAGGTAAATCACGGCTTGAGTATTGCTTGCTTAAAACAGTTAAATCGTTTTCACCTTTACCAGTGCCTCCTCGAGCTGGCTCAAATGTTGGACGTGCTGCTGTAGTCATGGCGATTGAATGACTCTATTTCTCGAATAATTTGACCTTAATTACGGTTGAAAATGAATAATTTCTGCAAATTGTTGCTAACTATTGGACCAATTGGTTTGTTAAGGAACGAATTGGACTAAAGATGGCCGTGGAAAGTCTAGTTAAAGTGTCAAAAGTGGAAGTTAAACGCCAGTTCACAAGCCGCTTTGCCAAGAAGGAGACTTCCAAATTATGAAAGTTTCTCTACAAGTACTTTCAGTCATACTGTAGACACTACAGTAACAAGTGCATGGTAGGGTACCTTGCCATACAGCTATAAAGTATACAGCATTTTACTATCGATCACTGTACAGTACGGACAGAAGTACGAAAGTACAGTACTGTCATGGATAGACAGGACGCCGACCCGTCGGAAATGGGTAAGCGCTACAGACGTACAGATGTACGACGGTCGCCCGCCACGGTTCTAGTCAAATCACCCAATCAACTCCAAGAGGCCAAACCGTAAAATAAATTGATTATATACGAGTAACTGCAGTGTAAAATAGGCATCAAAAATGTCTAATTTGGTGGTCCCTTTTATCTGTGGTCATCACTATAACTAGAATGATAGCAGATTCCATAGCCAAGAAAATGAATGATTGACGTATAGCTATATTCGATCAGTTGATGAAGATCCCTACGATGTGCAGACATTCATTTTGCTCACGATTTGAATATCATCAGCAGGCTGCAATATCCAATCGGTAGCAAAAGTAATGTCATCATATTCTTGCTCTATAGTATCAAGTTATGGTCACAAGTTTTGCACCGCTTTCTCGAACACTGTACAGTATAGTAACAATGATGCATTGACCATCGTGTTAAGAAAACAAAGGTCTAAATCAGCAGGCTACATTATGCAATTGCTAGCAAAATAATGTCACTGCATTATTGCTTTACAGTAGTAGGTCATCGCCACAAATTTTGCACAGCTTCATTTCATTTAATACTGTCTAGTAATATAGTGCATTGACCAACTTGGTTAAAGAACAACGTTTCTAGTCTAGGATGATTTGAATATTGTTCTGGTTTAGCAGGCTGCAGTATCCCATCGCTAGCAAAATAATGTCACTGCATTCTTATTTTATAGTAGCACATCATCGTCACCACTTTTGCACAGCTTTGTATACAGTAAGACTGTATACTAATACAATTAAGCAAGGACCATCGTGGTGAGAGAACAAAGGTCTTGTCTTACTGTACTGTATGTACTAGGATGATTCGCGTGACCTGAGTGGACATATGCATTAATACGCTTCCAATTCATCTGTAAGCACTAGCAAAATCCGGTAACCGCATGGGATGATTAAAATACTTGTCTACTCAGTTCTAGAAATAGGAAAACCTTGCATCTGAGGATGTACTCAGCCATAGCAAGGACAACAAATTGTCCCTGGTCATAGACTACTACAGTGTACTACTGTCGATCGACAGATCATGACCCAGTGGATAGATTTCGACTCTGTCTTGTTTTACCAATTTTAGCGTATGAAAGGGAAAGTTGAGCACAAGTATCGTAAGCTGGATTAAAATTCGGCTAGTTTGATCAATTAGCGGTTCGAAGGTGCAATGAGGTATCGGTCTATGAGTTGTATACCATGTTCTCCTAGTTTCATGGCAACAATCGAAAACGAGAAGGAAAATTCCAAGATAAATCCTCTTGGGCATAGAGGTACCTCTATGCTTGAAAGGATCCATCTTTTTGACTCCTGAAACAGTACTTGTACCCGCTAAATTTGATTGGATTTCTAGATAAATCCTCTTGGGCATAGAGGTACCTTTATGCTTGAAAGGATCCATCATTTTGACCCCTGAAACAGTACTTAAACCCGCTAAACTTGATTGGATTTCTAGATAAATCCTCTTGGACATAGAGGTACCTCTATGTGCGTATCTTTTTGACTCCTGAAACAGTACTTGTTACCCGCTAAATTTGATTGGATTTCTATGCCAGCTGCTGTCCACTCTCGTCCAGCAGAAGTACTGTACAATGTACTGTATATGTACAGTACGTACTGTATGCTGTACTCGACACGATTGGGGGTATTGAAGCACCTGAGAGAAAATTAAAAGCTGTTCAGTATAGACTTGCGCAACGTGGACTAGCACCAGTACTGTTGACAGCTAGCGTCACAGTATCGTCGGTGGTCAGCTCAACAACGACGTGGTACACGTCAAGTCAACCCTCAAACCCTTGGAGGCGCTATTATTCAGTCAGTCCGAACGACGACAACGACGACGCGGTCCGTCCGTTGCAATAATGGCCGAAAGTGCTAGCAATAATATTTCCAAACAATCCATTAAATCTATAGCTGAAAGTTGTGGCAATGCTCCAATTGATGATGATTGTAGCCAAGTAATAGCTGATGAAGTAAATGCAAGATTAAGAGAAGTCATCCAGGTTTGTTTATTCTAGACAGTTTTGTATTGAAATCCATTGAGCCAAGTTAAAGAGGCAGTCGATGCAAAGAGCCAAGTCGTTCTCTTTCATTTCTATTCCACTGTAATTATGCCAGTTTTTAAAAGTCTTCTATTGCTTTCCCTTCCAAATCGATTCTATCCCACAATTTGAACAGTAATACCCACTAGGAAAAAAAAGTAGCTAGGCAATACGTCAGTTTTTCACATGAATTCCATCATTCTCAGTCAAGAAAGTCTGTGAAAAGTTTCCCATGATCCATGCATTTCACTGTACTGTACTGTATTTTCAATGAATTTTCTTACATGAAAAAGGAGTTGAATTCACTCCATGACTTAAAACTTAATTCTCGACATTTTCCTTGACATTTTCTACTTTTTCTCTTTACGAAATTTTTGCATCCTTAAACTTTACGTTTCCTTACCCCATTGTTGAGTTAGTGGATGATCTCAGTATGGAAAATGGAGGAAAAAAAGGATCTTTCCTTGAAGACAGTCATGGACTTTTTACTTCAATCACCCTACCGCTGTACTATAGTATACCATTGGCCCTTCATAGTGAATAACCCAAGCTACTCGCCTGTAATTCAGGATGTGATACTAGTTGAAATCCAGTTTAATTTCATTAACAATCTGTAATAACCTCGAGTTTGACTTATCAATTCAAAGTCAAACTTCTTAGCTGCTAAGGTTGAGTTGGATTACCTAATGCTACGACAAGATTGGAGCATTACTGCAGGCTAACGATTACTGTATATTTTAATGTTCTACTTGTGCAGCTTGATTAACTATTTAAAATATCCTGGATTGATTGACATATAGGATGGCTTGAAATTTATGCGCCATAGTAAACGCGATAAATTAACTCGTAATGATATCGACTTAGCTCTGAAGTTTAAAAGTATCGAGGTAAGAAAGTCATCAACTCGTTGAATAATTAATCAATGCTTAGGTACCTATAGTGGGTCATAAAAAAATAAATACATCCATGTAAAGATGTTATACTGTCATGATAACCATTGGATTGACGTACGCATTTCCAGTATTGTATTGTATCTTGAGGAAATATGAAGCTTATTGCCAAGTCATAACAGACGTTGTATGATCCATGTAATCAGCAGAAAGCAGTTAAATTCTTACAAAGTAATAAGTATTCAATTATGATTAATCAATTTCTTCCAGCCGGTATATGGCTTTACTTCAAGAGATTTTGTACCTTTTCGTTATGCCAGTGGTGGTGGAAGAAGTATCTTTTTTCAAGAGGATAAAGAGTTCAATTTAACTGACCTTATTGCATCGCAAGAAGCGTCCAAAGTTCCATTAGATAATCATACTCGGGGTAAGTCCTTAGTTGATACAATAAATGATGACAATCTAGTTATATTCTCCTATCACCAATACTTACTATATAAACAGACAATTTTTCAGTAACTTTAATGCTTGAACATGATTGTTTACTGTTAGTTGCGCTAGGAAATTAGAATATTAATGAATTATAATACCAAGTTATAAATCAATCATTCTATTGCCTGTAGCGTTAAAGTTATGTATCTGCACAAGTCTGATCATCAAATCTTACATATATGGAGTAAAAATTGACTAAACAAACCATCCAATCGGCTAGCTTGTATTAACTTCATTTTATAAACTACTATAGTACTGTACATTAAACACCAACACGATCCTTGCTATTATCTTCTCGCATGACGAATATTGCACGTGTGCCAATCCTCGTTTAATAACGTAGTACTATAGGTCACTGTTTTCATTTGGCAATGTTTGATTATCCACAACAAGTGCACTGCAGATTCATCGATAATTTGTATTTAATATATATTAAACGCTCCATGATAGCAGTACAGTCGCTAGCTAGAGTATCAAGGTAGAAAATGACTCTATCATCGATATTGCACTTCTTTACAGCCCGGATTGCGATGTGCGTGGAGTAAATTTTATGATACTCCCTATTGGCCTATGGAGGTAGATTTTCATAGCGTTTTTAATTAGTCTATTCAAATCATAAATGGCCCTATAAAAACCGTCACTAATCGTAGGCTCTAACCATGGTACACTGTATGACATTGCCAAATATAGCATGCAAACCATAGTACTTTAATTGTAGTTATCGTTGTCGCTTCCGTTGTAGGAAAAACAATTTTCTTCAATAAATATATGTATATATAAAATAAAATATTTGTGTTACAGCGCACTGGTTAAGCATCGATGGCACCCAACCACTGATACCAGAGAATCCTGATCCTGGTAAGTATTTGCTACAAAGCCTATTTATCTGGAATTGCCTTGATAGCGTTAGATATTATAACACGTTATGATACTGTATAATGCGTAAAAATGAAACACCATAATTGTAGATAATTTAATATCTTATATTATCTTTCTTTAAAGACACGTTACATAAGTTTAAGAGATTGTCATCCGATGACTCTTTGGATGATTTTATTCCCAAGAAAGTCCCTGCGCTATTTTCTCTATCCTTTCAAGATAATAAGCTAATTGTAGAAAAGAAAGCTGGTAAAGAAGTAAAGAGTAAAGAAAAGGTAGAAGATACTAGCAAGGCTTCTTTTTTGAAACCATTAAGTGGCCACGAACTATCTCTGGTTAGTCAGCAAATTTATGATATCAGCTCATACTCACTAAACTTTGTAAATATTTAATAAATAATAATTATGTATGTTCATATTTTAATAAATTTATGTATTAACTTGATTAGGAGCAACAACTCTTCTTTAGGGAAATCACCGAAGCATGTGTTAGCAATAGTGAAGAGAAGAGAAAGGTAGAGTTAGTGTAGAATACTACATTGGCAGCATTAACCTAAATACGATTGAAGGTAAAAATCCATGTATACATACTTATTCTACGAAAATTTTTAATCAATTTCAGAAAGCGCTAGAATGCTTACAGTATGATCCTGGTCTCTATCAGTTGCTGCCGCGCTTTAGCAGATTTATATCTGAAGGGGTATTTATATTGCTATGATGTAACTCGAATTATCACAGGGTATAAAACGAAGTGCATGAATATTTCACTTATCGAATAATTAATCTAGGTTCGTGCGAACATTCACGAGACAGAAGATGCGGTTCTCATTTACCTGCTACGTATGATGGACTCTCTACTTCAAAATGAAACACTCAATCTAGAAAAATATGTGAGTATTTGCTCTAGCTCTTGCAGTAAATATTTTGGAAGGAGCTATCTATTTATGCTCGTTTAATACACGAATTACAAAAAAAAATTAACGTTGAATTTTCTTATTTTAGTTACATGAATTAATACCAACGGCGCTGAGTTGTGTAGTAAATAAGCAAATAGCTTCTGAAGATCCAAATAATCGCCTCGTTATTCAGCACTATGCTGCTTCTTTAATATATAAGATTTGCAGGTAGTATTACTAAATTGTCTTCTATCATTATTTTTGCCTCTGCTGTATAAAAGTATTACGTTCGCGGCCAGTAATAAATTTTATGATCTCAGATAAAATTATGCATTTAATTCTATCAACTTATTTAGCAATAAAATCTACAACTCTCCTGTAAATAATGTTCAATCAAGAATTACTCAAACTATGGCAAATGTAAGAATTAATACTTCATACTGTATTATCGGTGGCATATTCCTCTACTATAATATGTCTAATTAACAAAATTTTTCTACTTTTTTTCCATCGGACAATGAAATAGGCCTTACAAGAAGAATCACTGCCGCTACATACTTATTATGGAGCAATATATCTAATGATAAAATTGTGTAGCAATGATGTATGTGCAAATAATAATTTCTTGTTAAATTATTCATCATGTGATAATATTCTTTTGCAGGTCAGGATGTTTTATTAATTAAATTAATATTGAGTTTTTACCATGTTGCTAGGCATTAAAACGCTTCCTTCTACCATTATTAAAAGAAAAGAGCGATCTTATCGAATGCGCATTAAATGGGCAAATCAATAGTGACAAACTGGTCGCAGAAAAGCTGAGAGACTTATTAGTGGTTAGTTAGTGTAGAAATTAACATCATACATTGAAATATGTGAGCCTAAGGCACGTTACTTAATTCGATTATTACGATATATAGCAACATTTAGCTCTTATATTACCGATCTCCAATGATTCGCTGGATACAGTCCGCGAGAAGTACGGCTACATTGGATGTATTATAGTTCACAATGCTCAATATTTAAAACAAACTAATTCAAGAGGGATGCTTGGGGAAACGGTAATAATTACATAATTCGGAATACTATACGTAGACATTTCATAAAATTGGCATACTTTACATTGCTGTATGTGCTTACTAATTATTGCCAAAAATTTTAGACAAAGTAAATAAACTATTACTATATTATGAGATTTATTATGAGAACATCAAATTGATTGCCATATACTTTATATGTTTTTAAATTGATTTTCCTTTTTTTTTTTCCTACTACAGCCATTCAAATATTCTATACCCTCGTCAATAAAATTGACAACAACGAAGACCAATACAGGAACTTCGCCTAGCACTACTACTAATTCAATTACTACACTATCCACTTCTAGTAACACATTAACGTCTTCTAAACAGGAAGACTTTAAAGCTCTTGAACAACCTGCTGTCACAAAAAGTACAGATATATCTAGCCCTAATGCGGCTGATACGGTAACTATTAGTTCTGGTATAAAAGATTCTCGGAAAACTGACAACTCCGATGGTGGTAACGATGTAACTGATTCCTCAATGTCTGAAATTTCGGAAAAACATACTGGCACAAGTAACACCAAGATACATGAATCTCTGACAGAGTCCGCTATGGAAGAATCCACTATGGAAGAGTCCGCTATCGAAGAGTCCACTATGGAAGAGTCCGCTATGGAAATAGAGTCAAGTAGTAATGATGTCGAAAACGCTAATAACGTAGACAATTCTTCAAGTAGAAGTAAATATTTATCTGATGTAAACGATCACAGTAATCCCGATGATAAAACAGAATCGCTTCTAAACGTTCTGGCAACATCGGAACTTGCCAAAGTAGAGCTTATGGAAGAATCTAGTAGCGATTCGGAAGAGTTTGTAGATAGTACAGATGTTGCTCTAAAATCAAATTTAGATTCAGAATCAAAATGTAAAAGTAGTGGTGATATTGAAACTGAAACAATAACTAAAAATTCAAATAGAGCTTCACCTTCCAGGGATTCTTCTTCTTTAAAAGAAATATCAAATTCGACAGAAGATAACAAGTTTAGTACTAAGGATGACGTTAGCGATAGTGTTAAAGATGCGACAAATACGATCATCAAAACTAAATCGGATGAGAATATATCACAAGTACCTGAATCTGAAAATATTCCCTCACCGGTTACTTATAAATCAGAGAAGACTGTTGAAGATAAATTACCGTCATCGTCATCATCTTCTGATGACGACGATTCGCAAGAGTACTTGCCTATCTCAACCGACAATATGGAAGAAACAGCAGATGATACAACTAGTTTGCCGGTAATGAAAGGAACTCCTTTATCTTCCGATCAATCTGACATTTCTCCAGCTATTCCGTCTGTAGATAACAAGCGAAGTAATAGTCCGGCAGTAGATGCACCCATGGAGGAAAATTTATCAACTCCCGCTTCTTCTAAAGGAGGAGATAGTCGAAATGTTTCAGAAGAGCATGACAATTTGGATAAATCAGGTAATACATCTACAAAACCTGTTGATAAACCCTTATCGCCGATAGAAAGACTTAATTCCTGTAAGGAAAATATTCCTACATCGCTAATCACGGCCGACGACAGAACCACCTTATCGGCAGCTACAGGTGCTGCTGAAGGAAACGAAAAGATGACGCCAGAAACATCTGTATCAGCGGATAAAATTTCAGCATCATTGGCTACAATTGCGGATAAACATGTAACATCACCGCCCTCTACTTCTGAGATTAGTAAAGCAACAGGTTCACATATACTAGCTGAAGATAAAATGCCTTCGCCAAGCTCACCCAGTCGTATTGAAGGATCAGAAACGGTTTCTCCTACTGCGGTGGATGACAATACCAGGTTATCAGATGCAGGAGGATCTTCACCTTCTGCTTCCCCTGATAAAGAGGACGTATTAGTAAATAAGACTGAAATATTGCCTTCGCCTTCATCAACGGGATCTTTAGATGAGAAAAATTCAAAACCAAGTATTTCTGGTAGTAAACTTGAAATTTCACCACCTCTTACTCTAGCTGTAAATCAACCGCATTCATCCTTGGCTACAATAATTTCTGAATATGGTGAAGACATCTCATCTAATAATTCTTATATGACAGATGACGAATCTATGGTGGTTGATGAAGAAACTAATGCATCAAAGACACCTTTACCAATTCAGAATGAAGATAAACCGGAAGGATCAATCGATAAGGATGTTAGTAAAGAAATGTCGCATGATTCTGGAACGGATTGTCAAATAGAAGATCAATCGCAATCGGGAGTAAATATTGTTGAAGGAAAAGAAAATCCTGAAGTATCTCCCGTACCTCCGATAGCCGGAAATGATCCTGAAGAACTAGCTACTTCTACTAGTAATAGGGATGAAAGAAATTCATCTGAACCGTCTCATTCTCCGATTGTAGCCAGACCTAAAACACCAGATGCTGAAAGTAAGGAATCTTCTGTGAATACTGTGCACACAGCGGCATCCGAAATAAATGCATCTAAAACCGAATCTATACGGTCTCCCAAGCCACAAACTTCATCATCTGATCATGAACCTCATGCTGTTTCTGTTGATGATCAAACAATATCAGAATGCGCCAACAGTCCAGCTTCTATTGTGCCATCGACAGCGGAACAATCGGTTATTTCTAGTAGTACTAGTATCCAATTTCCGCCTTCAGCTGCAGTAAAGCAGCCAAGCGCAGACAAACCGTCAGCTTCACCTGGTCCAGCATTATCATCACCACAGCAAGGCACCATAGGTATTATTCTTATTTTATATTACATTGCTTGAGAATTGAAAGAATGTTAAATTTGCATGTACTCACATTTAACAACATTATAGAAACTCGACATCCAACTGAAGATCAAACAAATCCTATTATAAAGTCATCTCCGCCTAATTTAGGTAATTTCGTTACTATGTGGTTGAATGTACTTTAATTCAGTACTAATGCCGAAAATTTTGCGTGTAATATGAATCTATTAAAGATGGTGCGAAAGATAATGTCGATAATGACAATTTGAAGAAAATAGATACAGAAGATGTGGAATGCAAAATAGAGCAAAATCCCTCGAATTCTGATGATCTCAAAGGTACAGGCTTTTATTTTAAAGCAAAATAAAAATCTAATCTATTCAATGCTATTACGCCGTGAGTTTAAGCTATGGCTAATAATTGCAGTATTTTGTTTACGATATTGGTAGAATCCAAAGAGGACGTGGCTAGCCCAAGTGAAAACTCTGCTTCTATTGGCAGTAGAAACGTACAACAGTCAATCGCTGATGAGGAAATGGACGTCAGTGTTAAACAAAGTGAAGGTGCAGAACATGCTAGCCGCACTTCAGACGATGAATTCATGGATGTAGATTCATCCTAACAGATATCGAATCTTTAGTAACTAAAAGATTTTCCTCTTCTGTTTCAATCGCATAGACCGTAATGATACATTCCAAAAATTAGCTAGCTTATTGATTAAACTATTATCGATGCATAATACTGATTATAAACACTCTTTGTGGATTATTAGGAAAAATATATTTATTGAAGGTTTGAAAATTTTGTCTATGGGTACTTTACCTTCCTTGTACATGTATCTAGTGTAACAATTGTAAAAAAATTATTTTAATGAACATAAAACATACCGATGATAGCTTATGGCTGCATTGACTAGCTCTAGCAAACATATCTACGTACAATCTGCAGTCGTTTCTCGTTTTAGCAACATATTTCGTTTGTATATTTTTTAAGAGAATTTTTTTGACAGTGTCTTTAATAAGAAATTATGACAAAGTACTTCTAAAGGCTAACCTGACCTTATCATTCTATTACTAAGTTAAACTTATAAAAATCAAATAAATCCGTGAAGTTGATTTCATCTTTTTGTAGTGACAACTTTTATTCATGAACTGTTTCTTGCAGTTATATGTAGTTATAGATCTTTGCATCCAGTTTATGAACTGCAGTACGTCCTATTTCTTGTTAATAGTAGCGAAAGTACTGGAATTCGCAAATATTTGATACCAAATGATAGTTGCTAATAATTGTTTGTACGGATATATTTACCTTCTCATATTTTAGGCCATTATACAGTACAGTTTTTGGCTGCTATATGACGCATATGTTACATAAATACTCATTTTTTGATTTTTTAAAACTGACGTTATAGATTTGCGAATGTAATACAGTGGACATATACGGAGAATACTACAAAAAAATTAAGATATATACTTTAAAATACGTCTATTGGATCCGATCAACTCTTATGCACTTGTGCCAATTTATTCCATCAATAGATCGTTATCACCAGCAGCGATTTCACTTTAAGTCATAACTTATCCATATCGACATCGCAGCCATTGTAATAATAGACACTTTAACATTCTTAAACCTGCCGAGCACTTTCAAAGTATTAACTATTAGGGAGGATAAAATCGGCAAGTAGCTGGTTTATTGATGAGATCCTTGGTCGGGTATGTCCATAAATTAATTCTGTGGTGCAAACCAGATAGAAAGTATTCCCAGTTGAAATAAGATCAATGCCACCAAAGCGATAGTTACAAGCATGAAAAAAAGGGTTGATGACACAACAGGAACTTTAAACAATTTAGCCTTAATAATAGAAAAAGTAAAACGCTTTAAGATTAGTTTTAAGCAATTATAACCCATCCAGATGACGATGCAACTTTCTTAGCTGAATATGTAAAGTCTTACCCTCATTTTAATTTCTGAAGTAAATTGAAGGAAGGAATCAAGATCTTCACGAGGTTCATTTTGGTAAACGAATGGTCGCACTCGAACTCGAATTCCTAATTTTTTCAGCGATCTACAATAGGAAGTTAATCGCGATGCCTAGGTAGCCATGATTGAAATAAATGATATAAATAAATTCTCCGTTCTATCATTTCTCTATAATAAAATTAGCCTAACGAATTAAGACTAAGTTCAATCAATGATTGCATCAAATAAATTTATTAAGATATCGCCTTGTCTTTTACGCTAAACTATTTTTAGGTCGTGAAGAGTATAAGTGTTTTAAAATAAATGCAGCCTTCTATCTTTCCTCCATAATAAAACTATCATATTAAACTAAGAATAAAATAAACTAATAATAATCATAGGCGTTAAATAAATTTATGAAGACACAAAGCCGGCATTTACTAGCGAACGTTGATAGGATAATTAGGCCTATTATCATTAATACTAAAACAATGCTGTAGCAAAATAATTTGGTAAGTATAATGATTCCATAGGCGTAGTGCAGCCGCAAAATGGAGCATGTCTATAGGTTAGATCATATTGGTATTGCAGAGATAGGTGTAGAAAGTCACTGGTAGATGGACTAATTCATGTGATAAGTAACCAAAAAATTATTGCTCTCGTTAAATTATTTTTGACGCTTTAATATATCTATTACTGCATCATACTTGAACGAAAGGGATAGAAAGAAGTGTTAACCAAAGTAGAATTGACAAAATTGTATCGGCATAAGTAGCGACATCGAAATCATCCTGACGACCTAATATTAGAGCATTGAGTCCTATAGAGTAGAACGAAATATGAAATTGAATAATTATATCTTCAAATGATCAACGTTGGAAGCAATGCTAGCATTTGCTTCTGGAAGAAGATCTTATTTTAGTAGCTTGCAATAAATACTCGTATCTAATAAAGTAAAAAGACTTTTCGTCAGCTACCACTACATTAAGTTAACAAGTTAATTAAAGCTCTATTTACCTAAGATTGACGATGTTGCAAAATTAAACAAAATAATCGATGCAGCGGGAGCAATAACATCATTTAATTCTGCTACATATCCAGCAGTATTCTGTATCTCCTATTAAGCATTTAGATATAAACATTAATAGTTAGTCATAATTAGTTGCTCTATTTTATTTGTGATTGTTTAGCGCTATACAGAGAATTTCTGATAAACAGAAACTCTAAATCTCCGTTCCACTCGTACTACTATCCTTAAGCCCTGTATCTAATCAAGTATTACAATTTTATCCTATAACGATAATTGGTCTATATGCTATATCGTGGTATAGAAACTTAAAAACTAAATATTTTCTGATAATACACTACCAGACTTACAGAAGGTGAACATTAACTCTGTCCAATAATCTAATCTTATCAATATTTGTTTAGATTCAGTAATAAGTGATACCTTATTCCATGACATGTTTGAAATTGTAAATGATATGCTCGTAGATTCTTTTACATAAGAAATAGTAATTATAACTAATTCCAGCTTATTTCTTAGGTCTAAATGAATACATTTATGCTTAAATATTGATACAGATGTTCCATAGCCAACTTGGTCGAGGTTAATTACTAGTACTGTATATGGTTACTGCATGCATGATTATAATAAGCAACACTATCTACTAGTAAGTAATTATAATTAAAAAATAATTTTTACTATTATTTACAACAGCATATACTGTATATTCGTGTGCTACTGTAATTTCTAAATTAGCTTGACCGGAATCAATTTCTTTTACTTTAGTAAAAAAGGTATGGAAAGAATTATTCTGATACGTGTTTAATTGAAATTCTAAATTTTATATCTACGTATGATTTACGATCATCAAAGAGCGAAAGGGAATAATATGGTAATACCATACAGTAATGACTAACCTTCATAGCGTTTTCTAAATTACACGTCCGTTCTATGATCTTTTGCTTTAATCCTCTTATATAAACTATTAAGAGTTGGCAATGGCTTGCATAATTAATAACTAGCGCTATATAAACGCTATCAAGCATTATAAAACCAGCTAACAGAAAGAATCCCAAGACAATAAGTCGAGAATCGTGTATTCTTGAATGAATTTTCGCACATAGTTTAATTTGGAGAGAAAGTCAAGGATTCGCATAGAAGAGGAGAAAGGAGTACTTGTTTATTACAGTGTAAAATTCATTTAATTTTCTCGTACTTACAAAAAATTTAAATTATTAAAAATAGCACAAATAGTTATGATTTTCAAATTTACAATAGATCTTGAAAACTATGAATATCCATACCGCATACGAGATATAGAATCAAGATTCTTCAAACTAAAGTTAACGAAATTTTAGTTTAAAAGTTAACTATTCTAGTATAACACAGTTAAAGCTTACTTGATCATTGGATGCCATAACAGAGCTAATCCTTGATCACGATTAATTCTGATAATTAAGTGGAAAAGTTGGATTAAGAAAGATGCACCTACGATGGCAATTCCGGAGTAAAGGAAAACTCTAAATTTATGCCAAAAATAAGCAATGAAATCGTATAAGAAGGATGCGGCTACAAATAGTAATTTCACAGGAAAAGATGGTCCTAAATTTATAAAAAATTATTTCTCCTCTTCGTTTTACGAATCCTAATACATACTATCGTATAGTAGTAGTCAATATATTAGCTCCAAAAGAATTACTTTTTTAGATATAACAATACACAAAATTAAGATGAAAGAAGCTATACGAAACTTGGAGCAATATGTATATTAAACCTTAATATTCTGATTAATTTTTTTTGCGAATTTTCTCCGAAATCCGTGGGCCTTGCTTGCAGGAACGTCTACAGGTAAGTAATATTTCACGCTTTAATCATTTCTACTCTGGCGATATTAGACATGCATGATGCTGTAGCAGTTACACCTTATTTCATTGTAAAATGGCTTACCCTTTGCATATTTGTCTGTAAATGTTCAGATCCAGCAAATCGATATAAGTAAAAGCAATAAAAGTAGGCAACAGAGTGCAATATATCTGGGATAATATATTGCGAAATGATACTATCAGAACAGTGGACGCTTCCATTGATAGTTTTAATGAAGGGCTGCAATAAAGGAGGAGATAGAATATGTTAAATTGAATAAACTAAAAAGGGAATTACTAACACTATTAAATTAATCCTAGAAGGCGTGTTCAAGTAATGGAAGAAATTACTCATATTTACAACGATGATCAGACTATTTTGCTAGAACTAAATGATTGATCATCACCAATAAAACTGAATTAGATGTTACTGTCTAGGATTTATAATGATTACTGGTTGCATAATTTATAGCAGATAGAACCTCACTGTATCGATTATTTTAGGAATGAGTACTAAAATTGCTTTTATAGCTGTAACTAGGACATTTTACTGTGGCAGCAGCTTGTAATTTGGATATACCGTGTCTCGGCGAAAGCAGGTAAAACACTGAATCGTGTAAGCCCCAAATATAAAACAGATGACCAGCACAGGATAGACGAAATTGATAGCGCTTTCGCAAAAAGATTGATTAGATGGGCCAACTCGAAATATTGGCAACCAGCCCAACTGCAATAAAGTACATTTCAATAATGATTGAGAAAGTTAACAGTCTCCCAAATTAAACTGGTTATTGAGTACAATATTGAAGAATGCAATTTCAGTCATGCTGCGATATTTCTTCTTTTTGGCTGAGGTTGGATTATTATTGTTTAAAATAGTGTCTAACTTACAAAAGAAATAAACCTCAGATAAGGCGCTAGTACATGCCGCTTGCAACGATCTAAAGCAATGGATGTAGGATATCCACCAATATATCCTGATGCACTATTATGCGAGACTATTACCTAATAATCAATAAAGTCTTAGTACCGTATAGGTGGGGTTAAATATGAGCATAATGATTATCTTGTAGAATTATTACTAATATACACTGCACAACATTAATTACTACCGGACAAGAGTAAGCTATTGCAATCAATAAAGTGTTTCGATTTTAAATTTTATATATTAAAATCATAACAAGGTAAATGGAGACACCATCTATTGCTAACCGTCTCATCGTTATCGAGGCTATTTCCATTCATAATGTCGTCATATTCATTAGTAATAAAAGCATTTCGAGAAGTACTCGATGATTGACGACTTGTTATTTGAATTTGATCTTCGTGTTCCTATAACAAATATAAATAATTATAGTTGTAATTACAAGAGTTTGCTAGTCAATTCCTTGCTCTATTGTTACTGTCATGGATATGAATTTTAAGTTCTTTCTGAATTGGTTTACTCATCGCAAGTAAACTGATAAAAGACAAGAATTTATTGTAGAATGACATGGCTTAAATAGCTTGTCCATAATACGGAATAGTAGGCAAGATTATTTCACAGCATAGATTTACGATCAGGCACATTAACATCTTTAATTAAATACTTACTACAGTATATGATTATAGTATTGAACTCCATAATACCCGAAAGAAGAATGAATCCGTGCGGTAGTTGTTTTTAAATTATTTTTATCTTTAAGCACTGTAATCAACAGGACTTAATTATCTATTGACTTTTTTTATGGACTTTGATAATCAATTATCGATCGTTATCACATAATTAAATAAGGTTTGCCGTTACTCATAATTACAAGATATTATCAATTCGACAGTTGTAGTTTGACAATATTAATACTCATGAATTTAGTGATTTCATGGCTAAACGGTACCAAATTATACGTTATAAGTTAAAATTCACTTTACTATGATGTAATGGCCGGCCACACTTTCAATAATGATGCTTGCAAACTTGATGATTTTATGGCTAAGCGGCACCATATTATGCGTGGTACGTTAAAAATTCACTTTATTATGATGTAGTAGCCTTACTTTCGATAATAGTACTTGTAAACCTGGCGATTTTATGGCTTAAGAGACCCATACTATACGAAATAAGTTAAAAATTCACTTTATTATGATGTAATGGCCGCACTTTCAATAATACTTGCAAACTTGATGATTTTATGGCTACGCGGCACCATATTATGAGTGGCACGTTAAAAATTCACTTTATTATGATGTAATAGCCTTACTTCCGATAATAGTACTTGTAAACCTGGCGATTTTATGATTTAAGAGACGCCATACTATACGAAATAAGGTAAAAATTCACTTTTATTATGATGTCATGGCCGCTCTTTAAATAATAATAATTGCAAAGTTGGTGATTTTATAGGCAAAGCGACACCATACTACTGTATGCAGGATAAGTTAAAAATTCATTTTACCTTGATGTAATGGCCGTACTTTAAATAGTAATGCTTGTAAATTTGGTTATTTTAAGGCGAAGCGGTATCATATTATGCGTAGTACGTTAAACATTCAGTTTATTATGATGTAATGGCCGTACTTCCGATAGTCATACTTGCAAACCTAACGATTTTATGGCTAACCGGTACTATATTATATGTGGTAAGCTAAAAATTCACTTTATTATGATATACTGGCCGTACTACATTTTAATAGAAAAAGGTAGATAATTTGCAACAGTCACAATCTCTAATGGTCTGGCTACATTTTGGCCAAGAAGTTAGCTGTACCGGTGTTTGGTTGGACGACATTTAGATACGATCACGTACGGTTTAAGATAGGCACCACATAAACTGTTTTGCTATTTAGTGTAAAGGTATACATAGCATCTTAGCTACTTATTAATGGAATGAGTTCAAAGGACTTGATCACTAATTCGAGAATAGAATATCTTATTCTTTATTCACTTACCTCATCATCTTTATGTGATTGACTGGATGAAAAAGTGNGCCATCATATTATAATGA